TCAGTCTAGATATGGCTGGGATTGAAAACATTGCCCGAGGCATGACTGAAATGGCCAAAGTATGACAAAAATCAAAAACATCGGCCGAGGCATGACTGAAATGGCCAAAGTATGAAAAAAATCAAAAACATCGGCCGAGGCATGACTGAAATGGCCGAGATATGACAAAAATCAAAAACATCGGTCGGGATATAACCAAAATCCAAAACATCGGTCGGGATATGACTGAAATCCAAAACATCAGCCAAGACATGACTGAAATGGCCGAGATATGACTGAAATCAAAAACATCGGTCAAGATATGGCCGAAATTGAAAACATCAGCCGAGGCATGACTGAAATGGCCGAAGTATGACAAAAATCAAAAACATCGGTCAGGATATGACCAAAATCCAAAACATTGGCCAAGATATGACTGAAGTCAAAAACATCGGTCAAGATATGAAATTCAAAACATTGGCCAAGACATGATTGTCGGGATATGACTGAAATCAAAAACATCGGTCTAGATGTGGCCGGGATTGAAAATATCGGCCGAGGCATGACTGAAATGGCCGAAGTATGACAAAAATCAAAAACATCAGTCGGGATATGGCCAAAATCAAAAACATTGGTCTAGATATGGCTGAGATTGAAAACATTGCCTGAGGCATGACTGAAATGGCCGAAGTATGACAAAAATCAAAAACATCGGTCTAGATATGGCTGAGATTGAAAACATCAGCTGAGGCATGACTGAAATGGCCTAAGTATGACAAAAATCCAAAACATCGGCCGAGACATGATTGAAATGGCCGAGATATGACTGAAGTCAAAAACATCGGTTGGGATATGACCAAAATCAAAAACATTGGCTGAGACATGACTGAAGTCAAAAACATCGGTCAAGATCTAAGTAGTATGACCGAGATCCAAAATATTGGCTGGCCAAAAGTTGTTTTTATGCTTCACATTGTTAACAACAGTTGTAGCCCCAGTAAAGGCGATCATATCCATAGTCTTATTATGTCAATCGGTTATCATCTGACCGAGATATAAGCTAAATAAATGCAAGACATTGGCTGGCTGAGATGTGACTGAAATCTGAATTATGGCTCATAACTTTCTCAGATCTGAACCATTGTTGAAGATTAGACAACCAAGGTGTTTGCCTAGATGAGTACTACCCATTTGAAGGCAACTGGGTCCAAAATGATCAGTTGAAATTGATCCTGGAGTGGTCTTTTGGTTTTTGCAACAGGTAGACAACTGCACAAAGTCACATTTATATATAATTCAAGTTGAAGATTTCATTAAAAATATGTAGGATAGACCGTAAACTACCTAAGGAACCCATACTACGAACTGCCCTGAGGGTAGGGGGTGAGTGGAAGGGATGTAGTGTAAATGTGTGTTGACCTAGCATTAAAGCCCTACTATTGCTCAACTGACCATTTTCGATGTTTTGGGTCCTTGAGCTTTCTCACACTCAATTTCTTATCTATTTCACTTCCTCAGCATTCAATTCTTGTTGGATTGTTCTGTAAATTTATACATATGATACTGAATATATTGTGAATGTACTCCAAGTTTCTGATTATTAAATTTTGATGATTTGAAGGTATTGATCTCTTATCAGTAGAAATAGCAAGCATATGCAGTATCTCAAACCAACAACCTATTTTGAACTGATCTTCATCATGAAAGGAGGTATATATACTATTCTCATGATATATGAACAGGGTTGATCAGATGTGCAAGGGTAAGATACTGAAAAACATCAAAAATGCCAAAAATGCGATTTTCTATCATTTTGTTCCTGTAGAAGGATCCTATGTGTGTCCTGGGCTGGCTATATAATATATACACTCCAAATAAGCTTAGGAATGGATTTCAGTCATATCTCGGCTGTTTCAATCATGCCTCGGCCGATGTTTTTGATTTCAGTCATATCTTGACTGATGTGTTTGATTTCGGACATATCTTGGCCATTTCAGTCATACCTCGGCCGATGTTTTCAATCCCGGCCATATCTAGACCGATGTTTTTGATTTCAGTCATATCCCGACCGATGTTTTTGATTTTGGCCATATCCCGACCGATGTTTTTGATTTTTGTCATATCTCGGCCATTTAAGTCATGCCTCGGCCGATGTTTTCAATCTCGGCCATATCTAGACCGATGTTTTGGATTTTGGTCAGTCATATCCCAACCGATGTTTTTGACTTCAGTCATATCTTGGCCATTTCAATCATGTCTTGGCCGATGTTTTGGATTTCGGCCATATCTTGACCGATGTTTTTGACTTCAGTCATATCCCGACCAATGTTTTTGATTTTGGTCATACCTTGGCCGTTTTAGTCATGCCTCGGCCGATGTGTTCAATTTCGGCCATATCTCAACTGATGTTTTTGACTTCAGTCATATCTCGGCCATTTCAATCATGTCTTGGCTGATGTTTTCAATTTTGGCCATATCTTGACTGATGTTTTTGATTTCGGTCATACCTCGGCCGTTTCAGTCATACCTCGGCCAATTTTTTCAATTTCGGCCATATCTTGACTGATTTTTTTGACTTCAGTCATATCTCAACCGATGTTTTTGTGACCGACTGACCCATTGACTTACCAACCCATTGACCAACCGACCCCCATTGACCAACCGACCCAATGACCTACTGACCCCCATTAACCTACCCCCATTGACCAACCGACCCCCATTAACATACCCCCATTGACCGACCCCCATTGACCTACCAAATTGACCTACTGACCCCCATTGACCGACCCCCATTGACCAACCGACCCCATTGACCGACCGACCCCCATTGACTGACCAGTATCCTCGGCCCATCTGATATATCAGATCCCTGACCCACTTGGCCCACCTGTTGGTATCACAAACACACCTTGACCAGCCCACCTGTTTGTATCAGGTACATATTTCATACACTACCTACCATACACTATCAACCAAAATCAATAGAAATATCTATGCTTATCTATTACACCCTACACCGCATACCATAGGCCCACCTGTTGCTATCACAAACACACATTGACCGGCCCACCTGTTTGTATCAGGTACATATTTCATATACTAACAACCACACTATCTACCAAATTCAATAGAAAAGTGTACACTTATTTCCTATACCACATACTATGGGCCCACCTGTTGGTATCAGATAAACACTTGACGTCGGCCCACCTGTATTTAACAGAACAGTACATTGATGGGCCCACATCAGCTGGCCTGTTTGGAACAGGGAATTTTCACCCTCAGCTGGCTGTTAGTATCAAGGGTAAAGTGACTGCAGTATGTGGAGACAATTCTGTCGGTCCATCCATTGCGTCTTGGAAAGGTCTGGTGCGTTGATCTAATCTATAGCGAGCTGGGGTAAAGGCCGGGGTGTCGAGGAATGGTTTTGTTGTGTCAGGAGGGGAGGTACTAAGGGCATTGTAGGTGTTGGCACGGCTTCGGCGTTTCTTGGTTGAGGTGTTCTTCGAGGTGGCCAGTGCAGATGGCTCGTTCTGTTGGAGGTGTAGCTGCGCGTTAGGGTGGTAGTACTTAGTAATTGCGAGAATTCTAAGTTGGTCAAAAGACCGGGTTCTAGAAGAGAACGATCAGCAGATCAAGGAAGAGATCAGCGGATCAAACTTGGGGTGCAAGGGGTTGCTTGAGAACAATTCCCCTCGTGGTGGGCTCCAAATTTGTAAGGCTAGTTGTGAGTTCGAAGGGGAAATGTAATGAGACGAAGTAGATAAGTGACGAGCGCAACGGCGAACGAGACGAATAGAGAAAATGTATAAGACGAGGACTTTTCTGCGATAGTTTTCGATCGAGCTTGGAGCGGGGAATCAGCGTCTGGGATTCTGCTATAGGTATGAGTGTACATGGGCGGTTTATATACGTTTTCGAGTACTTGGCTAGACCTGAATGAGAATATGAAGCATATGGAGAGGTGAAAATACTTCAGTGAAGCAAGGAGATCGTGGAGTGTGAGCACAAGGTGAGATAACGAAAGAAAGTGAAAAGGAGATGTAAAGGAATGTATCCGCGTGACTCGGATGTGAAGAGTGACGCTCTTCGCATCAGTGTGTCACATGGACGAGTTCGAACACGTGGCGATTCGATCGTCTTCATTTTGAAGCGCGGTCGGGGCATAAAGGATATTGAATCCTTACAGGACAACCGGAGATTGCAACCCTTAATTCAGATTCACCGCCCCTACATTCTCTCAAGCCTAATCATCATACCTTTCCTTCAAATTCATAATTCATCACCCTACTCGCCCACTCTGAATCCCATCACCCCACCTGGCTTCAGTCAGTCAGTTCCGGACACCACGCTCAGCGCCAATCGCAGCATATATCCACTTTTACCTACTGCATCCACATAGATCCCTACCTCAAATCGCACCTGTGCGATTGAGTACACGTTCAGACAATCTCATCTGGCTTAGATATCATTACACGCGCGTACCTATAAAGTCGCTTCTCTGATAGATTGCATGTCTATAATGGCAGGCGGAAACTGCGGACTGGTGGGGCACGCCTTACACCAGGGCATTCATGGATCTAGAGGCGCAGCAGGACACAGGATCCCTAGACTAGATTGTATTGTCTTACATAGAGTACTACTCTCACAAGATGTAAATTGGAAACAAAAAAAATGTGGGATGATTTCCATGTCAGGCCTCTCTTGCTGTATTTTTAACTGCAGATTAAATGTGGACCGTACGAGTACCTAGCAGGCACCAAATGCCCCCCTCCCCCCATGTTCCGATACCAGCAGATATAGCATTGAAGCCATCGAGAGTCACATGAATGGGCGACTGCACTTCATTTTAACGTGGACCAGAAAACATAAAGGATCTTGGAAAGAAGCTATGAAATGAGAGACAAAGAGCGAGTGCAGATATTAGAATCTAACACGGCACAAGAAAATACATGGCTAGCGGTGACGGAGTGCAATGAGCAAGACTGAGATAAATATGTAAAGCCCAGGGGCGTGCACACCTAGGTACCCCTTTTCTTCAGCCTCTTCAACCCCAAATGGGCCTCACAAGTATGACACCAGATGGAATCGTGCCACATGGCACGGACTGTAGGGTCGCCACGCTTATGGTACGTGCAACCATCCCACAAACATTCAATATAGGCATTCCCTGGCACAGAAAAGTGACACATTTTACCATGGACCTTGAACTCCTCAAGAGTCCCTGTAAATCCACAGGGCATCAGAAGAAGTGGAGGTGAGGGATGGTGCTGCAGTGGAACTAAATTATAATACAACTGGTTGGATATAGAATGTCATTGTATGGCCCAGTGTACGAGGAAGATGTGAAGTAGTTGCCTCCTATTGCAGGAGCCCCAGAGTGGCTGATGCTGGTGACTCTGAAGACCGGATCGTAGTGCTGGGTACCGTTGTCAAGCATTGGAGGGTTATGACAGGAGCCAGCGAGATGGCTAGTCATGATATTAGATATCTGTAGGGAAGAATGCTAGGAGGAACTAACTTGATCGTCGGCTTTGCAATCTCATGTTTGGATGTCATTGAACCCGGAGGTATCTTTGGAACGATCAGTGTGAGAAGGGACCGTCTGGAGAAGTCTTACAATGTCGAGACTAGTGGGTGGACTGACAAAGACATAATCAATGTCATCATCAGGGACTTCCTGGTTGACCGCAAGTTGGCTTCGCATGGTTGTACTGTAAAAGAGAATGATAAATATTATGGCCTAAATGTGCCAAGTATTTATGAAGAAATCCATGCTGGATGGTCCGGGCGAGAAGAGTTTCTTTGCAGTTCTGAATTGACGCGCATTACGCAAGGAATGGCACCAGGAAACATGTCGTAGCCAAGCGATCAATGGCCGCTACTGGCGAGATGGTCTAGAATGGATCTGTCAAATTGTTTCAGGAAAACCCATCCTTGTATTTGTGGCTTGATATGGTCCGGCATGATCTGCTTTCTCCAAAGGATGATGTGAATAGGAAAAAAAAAATACGGATGAGGACGATGTTATCGGCTGTTGAATCAGGTTCCTTTTCGCACTGATTGAGGGTAATGCCTCTCAGACAATTGGCCGTTCTGACAGAGAATGATGAAAATCAACGGGGTGCTGAAACATACATCTGAGTAGTGCACCTTGTTCCTTGTGTTTAAGTCTTCGATGAATTATTAATACTGTTTTGTTGCATAGATTTTAATACACACTAGTCAATGTAATGGATGACTTTCCATAGGCTCAAAATATATAGATTATAATATCATATCATAAATTTGACTACATTAGGAAGGTGTGCCGTGATGCCGCTGTTCATTTGAGGTGAATTTGCAAACAAATATTTTTTGCCCCCCTCTTTCAAACCTTAATTCTATTTTGATCTGTAGGGGGGTACCCCCCCCCCCCCCCTACAGACTTGAATATCGCCTTTCGTCCGTTTTAGGCCACTAACGCCAGCGATATTCACTGACATAATATGCATTGCTCATTGTGCGTAGCACCACTTGAGGTCACACAAAGGTGTGTCGTCAACATCTTGCCAACTTTGTTGACGCATTTTTCTCCCTCGTCTGTTTAGACTTTAATACCAAGTCCTTAGTACAAAACTACAACCTGACTACGCTGCATTGGCCTGTGCCTCCCATCCCACGCAATATCAGCCAGCAGGTGGCTCAACCAATCCCCACCCTCCGTCAATGAAAATTTACTTTCCATCCCTACATTTAGAGCGCCGTTCAATGCGTGTATTTCCACGTGCATTCACATCATCGCAAAGGATGGGTGTCTCATACCAGAGTTGGGCAAAACCTGTGGTGAGCAGCGAGGCGAAGGTAGTTACATAAATACCCATGGTGGTAATAAACGCTCGATCGTTCTGGCTGTTGTATCACAGGATACAGGCAGAAGGATATATCCTTATGGGCTATAGTCCTAAAAGTGCGATACATCTTTAAGTCTAATTATCCACGCTGGGATATATCCGTTCTGTATAGTTATTGACCAGCCAGCCTACCGAACTTCTCAGAATGGCATATACGGCGCTCGGAGGGGTGGCCGTCCATCCTCCGTGAACATATCTTTTAATGTTTTGCCCTCAGGAATCTCGCGATCTCTCCAGGTACCATATCACTAGGTACCATATCACTATGTACTTCTGAGATCAAGAATCACATCAATTAACCTTCACAATCACGGTACAGGATGCTATTTATTCATCACCTCCCTCGATGTACTCACAAGGGGGTGCATCCAAAGAAATCCCCCCATCGACATCATCAGCGCATGGATCAGCATCCAAGTTCGAGGCCACAAGATGTGGGACTCTCTTCCAATATTCCGTGAACACTGCCACTAAACCTCATCGGATGTAAGCTTGACAGCGAGCATAGGCAATCAAACCTTCCTGATCCTCTGGCTGCCCGTCAGTTCGTAGGGTTGCACGGGAGTCCCAAGAGTCTCCCTGCCACCAAAGAAATACAAGAGTACATCGCATTTCTTCTAACAAAAGCTGGATCTCCTCCGACCATCTATTACGACGTGCTCGGGCTTTACACCACTCGACACAAAGCGCTACCGCCGTAATTCAGTATATGACGACAAAAGAGCAAAATTGACTTACACTCCTGCATTCCCTCAGTGTCATCAGAAGATATTCCTTGAGTCAACCAAATCCACGACATTATAGTCGTGCCTTGCGTCTGTTGACCGAAGTCCCTGATTGGTCTGAGGTGTGCCTTTTTCAAAGGCTGGAGTTTATGCTCCCATTCTATCCGATCAAGATGACGAGCCAAGGAGACGAGTGCCTCACAAGCGCTTGCATATTTGGCATGGCTGAGGGTAAGACGTTCCTTGACCGTATCCAGAGTTTTGCGTGTGTGGGTATTGGGCCCTTGGCTGCATAAATGCTGAACCTTGAATTGATATAGCTGACAGCGAAGTCGGATCTGTGAACAGCAGTCGTTCAGAGCGTCGTTGGCTTGGGCAAAGTGCAGGGACCATTCCATTTCAAGAAGTGTCTTGTCGCATGGCACAATATTGCAGACTTCAGAAGGCAGAAGCAACTGGAAGTCTTCTGCCTTTCCTGAAGTGGGATCTGGGACTGGACAGCCACTATCATCACCACTGGATTGGGTCGGGAGGCTTGCAGATATTCGGAGGTTCGGAACCGCTGGCATGTAGAGTCTTTGAATGTCAGTCCATGCGTCTAGGCGACGTTGAAGTGCGTTTCTTCGAGTCAAGATCTTAGTCTTCTGGATATCAGTTGAGTGCTGGCCAAGTGTGGACGAATCAACACGCAAACAACGTCTAAAAATACAAGTATACTTAGCAACGCCATGTGAGAGAGTTGAAATAACTTACTGAGTGTCTTCCAGGTCAATACCTGTACTAATGAGAACACTGCAGGTAACTTCAGCATGGAGGGATATTGCTGAGCCCTCCTCCAATTCTTTTGCATCCCATTGTGCTAACTCAAGCCGCACAGCCGCCTGGGTCATTGCTGTAAATTTGTGAGCAATGTGTCATCATCGCCACAAAAAAAAACTTACCTTCAACTCTGCTCTGGAATGGGTTGCATTGCAAGTGGTCCTTCTCCCAGCTTTCAATCTCTGCCCTCCATGCAGTGAGGGAAGCGGTTCCTGCATCTGACTCATTGATCGAATCCTCAAGCTCCCAGAGAGCCAGGCGGTGCTCCTTCTCAACCACGACTGCTTCTTTAATCTTTCGTAGCATAACTTTACCTAGAACAAGCTGTATAAGCACTATACATTTGTGAAGATGCAAAGAATAAAACACTCACCAAGGCCCGTAACTTTCTTCCAGTTCCAATCACTAAAATGATCATTGAGGGTATCATGTCGGGCCCCAGGGCCCATCTCCTTGGTACTGCTGGCTACACGATTAATGTTGGCCCAGCCTTGCTCAGGCGCTTTGCCGTCAGTCCGTCCCACGCCCAGAGTCCAGTTGAACGAAAATTGAGTCTGGCAAGTTTCGATGTGCGCAGCGAGATGAAATTTCGGCACAAAGTAGTTGATGGTCTTGCTGTCTCGATCAAACTGAAGACGAGGTGGCAGCATGGGCAAGCGATCTCAGAGATTCTTATGCCATTGGCAAGCGATGTCGTAGGAAAAGTTGATTGTTGACAGTGTAGAGAACCTGGTGAGAGCGGAGAAGACAAGGTAATCCATGTTGAGATATCTAACATGAGGTTAGTTAGAGACGGACAGTGCATGCCTGAGAATCAACTTACTTTTCACCTTTCTGTAAGTTGCCAACGCCGTTAGGTAACTTCATATCGTGGCGCGCACAGTCTACGGTGCCCACACCCGTAGCAGCAAGCCCCTTTGCAGACTTTGTGTCTGCCATGTTCACTGCATTGTGACTAATGCAGTTGCTTTTCTGGGGATGCAGATTGTCAGATACGAATTCAAGATATCTGTGACTTGAAACACGCACCTCTTGAACAACTTCACCGTTTGCATGTAGGTGACACTTATACTCCTTTTCCTCGACAAAATAACCCCACCCTCGGCTAAGACCAGGGTCTCTGATGTCGCTCGACACCATTCGCCGCTTGAGCCGGAAGTTGGCATCTATGGCTAGGAAAAGGCCAAATTTCCATCTAAATCATTATGTCAGTTGCATCGTTGTGAAATCAGACAAGTATGTACTGCTCAGGTGAATTTTTCCAGTCATCGGGCAAGTTCTTCCCCAGATGAGGACACGTGGGGCATAGAACTGCGAGATCCCCATCTTAAGTAGAGTTGACGCCAGCAGGATTATGACCGCTGCCAGAACGCTTGAGTGCCTTGGTGTTTCTCCACTGGTAAACTATCTGGAGAAACACTGAATAACGATCCTGCACTGAATAATGATCCTGCACTGGGGTAAGTATGCTGCAAACATGCACGAGGACAGACTTACATGAATGGGCGTTATACCGGTATTGTCAGTCCACCGAGCTAAGCCATGGTAGAATTCATATGCGGAGATTTTGGACTCGAACGAGAGTATGTGAAAGTGCTCCAAAACAGCAAAAGTTGCTGCTGTTCTTGGGTTGGTTACTGTGGAAGGGAACAGGCGTGCATGAAGCAACTGTTTGAAGTGCGAAACTTCGTGCTCGCATCCGCAAAAATTGAGTCCAACAAGGTGTATGACGTGGGTATCGATGATTACAAAGTCATCACCAAAGGCGGGTCTTGGTTTCTGACAGGTGGTGCCTGGTGTGTGCCCCAGTTGTATTCGCAGGCCCATGGACTTCAAAGAGACAGGATGGAAAAATCCATCTCTCCATTCCTTGAATCTATGGAGCGGGGAGTTGAGGTGTGATCCAATGGCACACGACCGGCATGTAAGTTCGACAGAGAAACAATCCTGACAGCGGAAAATCGCATCCTGGCTACCACACTTACATTGCGTGTGTGCGCCCTGACCTCTTCCTTCCAGTCGTATAAATTCGTTCACGTACATTTGACATTCATGGAGCCAAAGGGCCATAGGATTATACTATATATTGTCAGATTAAATGCGCCATCAACATAGCACCAGAGACTTACTCCTGGGGTTTTCCCACCATGTGTCGTTTTGGCTGTTGGTGTCTCAGGTCCTCCAAAGGCATCATCATCTGCCTCAAAGTATTCCATCTCGTTCCAGGGATCATAGTCAGTGGGCATGGTGGAGTCAGCACCAGCGGGCACAGTGTGCGAAGGTATGTTTTCGTCCTCCTTCTCAAGTGAGCTAGCGGGAATGTAAGATGTCCGAAGCGCAATTTGACCGCTAGGCTGCAAGCTGAATATGCGATGCCTGTCAACATGATTCGAGGGCTGATTGGGGTCTGGTAGGGTATGTCTGACAAGCTTGGGATGTTTAGAGGGACGGCCAGTGCATCCAGACTGTGACATGGCTAGTGCTGCCTCTCTAAGCATCAACACATCAAATTTGACTACTAGGGTAGATTAGTGATATATCTAGTGGCACATATGCCAACATACATACCATATGCGCTGTTGGCGAATCCTAGAAGCTTGTTAAGAAGCACAAACGATGTATCGCCATGGACAGTTGAAACTGACCTAAAAAACCAGAGCAATGCAACTCTGCTTGCGCATTCCTCCCATAATCACAGATAACGGTATGTAGTATGAGCTGTATACCGATATTCAGGCCAGAGCTCATAGTGGTTCCTAGATGTCCGAGAGGTGGCAGCCCACACAGGAACAGCACACATGGGTGATGCCCCACTTGACCAGATGGCAATTGACTGGGTTTGATGCTGAAGCTGCGTACTTGACGCTGGTTCATAAGGAGTGGCTGGAGAATTGGCCTGAGGAAGATGTTGTGTAGCCTGGTCGTCCTATAGAGCAGAACACATTGAGTGAAGACGAGAAGTCAGAGCTGTGCGCAGCTGAAAAGGAACGTAAATATGTGAGTTGTCAATACTATTCATAGCCTCTCAGAGTTATAATGACTGCGCACCTGATATAGACCCTAAAATCCTGGCTGACCTGGGCATGGCTTAATCCAAGACGTGCTCGTTCTATGTATGGCGATGGACGTTGCATATTCCCTGTGCCAGATTTATCAGACTTTATTCGTGCTCGTCTTATTGCTATAGATCAAGAGTGACATGTACATATGATATTTACAATATATCCTGTCTGCTACCAACGAAGCTGGTGTAAATTTAAGCTTGTGAAATAACAATAACTTAGAGACTTTGCGGTCAGCACATACAGTAAAAGACCTATAAAAGTCCAACGACACCTGAACCAAAAATGGTGTACATGACTATCTACCTTTCTCAACCAAATTCCAAACTCCCCTTACGAATATACATACTGTTTGCACCACAATTGCTACTCTAGATCTGCCGACATGGGCAGACCAAAGCTCTACAAAACTACCAAAGAGCTCCGGGAAGCAAAGCGAATGCACAGACAAGCATACTATGCACGGTGTGAATTCATTTTGGTACTGAGGCTTTAACTGATTTCACACCAGAAACAAGAACACAATTAGTACAAAAATGAAAGCAAGATATCGCGCCCAGGCTAGCGCATCTTCCACCATGTAGGTCTTTCTTTTATCTCTGAAATGTACACACAACTAAACTACTGGCATTCAACAGCAACTCAGACCAATCATTCCCAGATCAAAAACACGCTAGGTATGTTCATCTCTTGCAATCTAATTTTATCTGATGAATATACTCGTATGTACAGGGAAAAAAATCGCCTATTGACCTACTTAGGTGCTTCACCTCGCAAGACACTTGACGCGATGTATACCGACTTTCTGGAGACACACTGCTCGGACAACATTTGTGATGTAATGGGGATCGTCCAGGAGATTTTGCGGGAGCTCAAGGAGATCAAAGAGGATATTGCAAGAGCGAGAGTTACAGGCAGAAGGTACATTAATGCGCAGGACGAGTCTAAGCAGGCCGCAGAGGTACTGTCAGCCCTCCAGGATTTATTCTCCTGCATGATGGTCCAGGACATGGATCTAAGACTACAATACGAACATAAACGCTTCCTGTTTCAGAGTCTTTAGGAGATATTTACTAGTTTGAACTTTCATCTATGTAGTAAATAAAGTCTTCTGTACCTTTATGTGTCCGTGCGTGGGACATCGGTCTTGATTTTTACCCTGCATCTTAATATTCTTTTCGCTTAAACGCCTAGTCTCATTGATCAACGCGTCAATTAACGTTAACAAGTACGTATCTACTCGATCTCATCTGCTGAGATGACTTAATGTTGAAATAATAAAAATTAGATGGCTCCTCATAAATGGACGACATCCGAGCAGGAGGTGTGGCTTGAACTGTGGTATCAAATGTTCTCTGAAAAGCAGAGCAACAAGAGTAGAAACCACAAAAATTTCTTCGCTGACCTTTTTGAAAAATGGTTCGAGGCATTCCCAGAGCCTCGGCCAACTCATATCATCGAACCGGGGCCATTAACACTGGAAGAACATAATGAGGCAATTGACAAACGGAAAGCCATAAGTGTTGTTGACATTGTCACCGAAACAATGACACTGAAAATGCGCGATAGAAATTACATACCAGATTCAAAAATAACTTCAGCGGGTCAAAGGTGGGGCGACAGGCGAAAGCGAATGCCAGCGATGTCTTCGATGCTGTTGTGCGGAAGATAACTGAATGCGAAAAACCTACACGTATGCTTCAGGAGCACGAAGCTTATTCCAAGTTGTACTATGCCGATCGTGTTCAGAAATCTATCCAAGAGACGCTCAAGGTTGCGCAAGCAACACAATCACTCACCAATGGTCAGCGAGTAGCGCTGGTGAAAAAAGAGACTGCTGCTCTATATGCAGGTGAGTCTGAGGAGATCAAGGCTAAAGTGAAGGAGTACATACATGCACAGAAGGAAGAGCACGGTAAGGAGAAAGCTGAGCCTTGGAGTGATGAAGACCAGCAGCGGTATGTCCTGCTCCAGTTCACTGTGTTTTAGTATCACCTGACATGCACGAAGGAATCTTACCAAACTGGCCACTGTCGCAAACCAATTCCTCAAAGGTCTTGCTGATGCCACCGGTCTATCCTTCAGCCTTCTTGTTGGGGGTCCATCTGTTGAGTTAGGTGGACTGATTGATGTCTGGAGGTATGTTTTACATTAGAAACTCAAAACGCGAGAGGCAAAGAGAGACTCAACTGGGCAGCTTCCATGTCGGGACAATGAAGCTGGGCAACAACCTTAGTCAAGCTTACCCAAAATTCGAGAGCGAGATAGCGGGACCGTTTCGAGACTATCTATATTGTGTGTACCGTAAGTGTTTTATATGTGACCAACCACAACATCTTGTCCAAAAAGGCTTACCATTTTGATTGATAACAGCAGAGGCCGCAGTATTGAAGGCTCAGAAGATGGGAGGAGCAAGCAGCTCCAGTTCATCATGGGGAGACGGCTTTGGCGATGAGAATCAATCATCATCAGATATGATGAACAACTTGTCCAAGCGGGATGTATCTTTGTCAGGCACATTTGGATTCCTGGACTTATCCGAGTTTCCTTCTTTGGGGTCTCCCACATTTCCCACTCCAATGTCACCCTTCAGCTCAGACAATGTTCTCTCTGGCGACAATCAACCAAGCTGGCTGTCTGACAGCCTCGACGACTTCCTTGAGACGTTGGCACAGAATATGCCAATGTCAACTGTTGACCACTTGATGTCACACATTTCTCCTCTGCCTGAGACACCTTCCATTCCTGTGGTTCCGACTGCGGTTGAAATGCCCCGTTGTCCCCTTCCACCAGTTTCTCCCTGTTTACCCTCCACTTCTCCCCGTTTACCCTCAGCTGATTTACTTTCTAGCGGATTTGCGAATCCCACTGCGCACCTCCCTGGAAGTGCAGAGGAGCCCAACAGCGACAGGCCAGATCCATTCTCTGCGTCTTCAATGGGAGAAGACCCCACAGAAGACTCATGCCTTCCGTCCACCCCGTCCCACACTTCTGCTTCAGCAAATGTTGTGAACGAGGCTCAACTGGACGCGCATCCTCCATCCACCCCGTCCCACGCTTCTGCTTCAGTAGAGAACGAGGCTCAACTGGATGTGCGCCCTCCATCCACCCCGTCCCACACTTCTGCTTCAGCAGATGTTGTGAACGAGGCTCAACTGGATGTGGTTCCAACAGACAATGGGAATGACAGCAACGGACCACGTAGAACAAGGCGCGCACACATACCATCAACACGAAACATCATCGCCAACTCAATCGGCAATAACTGCAAAGAGAACATGCTATCAACTGTGGCTTCAAAATGCAATGACCCTGATTCATCTGCTCATGTGGGCCAGCAAGCGAAGTAAGCTTTTTTTTTTTTTTTTACACCGCTTGTGCTCATTATCTCGCACAGAAGGCCAAGGGTGTGAGCTCATGCCGTCTGTCAGACTCCCTGTTATTAGTTTATTCACTTATGCTTTCTCGTGTTTGTGTTTTGTTGCTGCCTCTTTCATTTGATACTGTATATACCGTAGTTGAACTTTGCAGTACTAATGAAGAATCAAGTTTTTTTTCATTGAATCCCATCTCTGTTCCTCGAGTTGTCAACGTTCGTCAACCTCAGTCCTTGACCACATGGTAAAAACAAGCTACAATGTTGTTACAAGTCAGAGTATTATGTACAGTACTAACTAAGGTGGTGAACCGCACTAATACTCAGTGCAGTAGCCACTGGCTAACATCACATACACACTGAAAAACTTCAACTGGCGGGAAGTTTCTTGTGCGAACATGGGAGTGGTCTGTGAATGATGCAGGATAAGAGTTAGAGCCATTGATAAAAGACAAAGACTCACAAAATAAGACAAGGTGGAATGAACTGGATTGAGGAGAGTGTTTACTGAAGAGAAAGACTTGAGCGAGGATGTGAAATTGCCTGTGTAGGATAAGAGTTAGAGCCATCGACAAAAGAAAAAGACTCACAAAAGGAGACAAGGTGGAATGAACTGGATTGAGGAGAGTGTTTACTGAAGAATGTGAGTGGGATGAAAATGGGCACCCGAAAGAGTATAATAATGATTTTTAGAACTGGACGCTGAAGAGCAGGAGGTAGAAAGGCAGCCTTGGTAGTCATGCGATTTGTTCTCACGGTTGAAGAACACATTTTCGAACAAGGTCTGGCCAGTGCTGTGCAATGCATCAGCCATATTGCTTCTTGACAGGTACAAGAAGTGATCTTATCGTCAGATCCTATTGCCATCTGCTGATCCCATCAAGGAGAACAAGGGAGGCGGGGCAATGGCAGGGAGCAAATGGAGGTGAGCTGCCAAATATCCATATGGAGCATTCAACCCCCAATGTGAGCTGCCAAATATCCATATGGAGCATTCCACCCCCCGCAGAACAGTGATTTGTAAGCCCAGGAAGCCGGCAACGTGATTCTCATGCAGGATATATCCAGGATACATCCGCGTGGACAATGGATGATTAGAGAATAGTATGTATCGGACTTTTAGGACTATAGTCCACTTAGGATATATCTATATAGCTGTATGGGCTGGTTGTATAACACCTGCCAAGGGGTGTTGATGTGAGGATTGGGGAGAAGCTGGGGTCAGCAAAGGTATGAATGATGGGGGTTCCACGCATCAATGCGCTCTTGCCGTGATACCTCGATCCCACAAATGAGGGCTGCAGCTACCACCTGAGCTCCTTCGTCATCATGAAAAAGTTCTGCCTCGTCGTTGTTGAGAAGCTGGTACTGCATTGCAAGATTGTCCATTGAGGACTGGACTAAATCTAAAGAACTAAGCGTATGGGGGATTATCATTGCATAGATTAAATTGTTGACAGGATTGCAAATTTATTTCAGGCTCCGAAATAATCTATTCCGGATTATTTAGCCTACGGAAAGTCATCCAATATGTAGTTGGATTTCCCGTAGATTTTTGATACTAACCTGCCGTCAGAGCATAGTACTCGTCAAGATCTTGGTAAAATTGGACGCCACCCGATTGAACGCCGCAGTAACTTGTGGCACAGGACGTAATGCAGGGAAGGTTGGCAACATGGGAACCGGTCATTTCGGGCATCGCACTGGAAGGCGCCATGGGTTTGACAGCGTCACTCAACCAAGCACTGCTCGTGAGTAATTGTTAGAATTGGAGAATTAGACAACATCTTTGGGGGGACTGCTTAGGGATGAACAAAGAACGCGCACGACGCAACTTACATCCGCACTGTGTTCTTGGCAACACATTGTGAATATTGATCTCCACCGCCAACGCTGTGCCACCTCTCGAAATCCCCACAGCACCTCACAGCACCCCCATATTGCCAGTTTATTTCTCGGACGCTGTTAATCTGAAAGCCTGCTTGTTAGAGAGTTCTAATGAAGAAATAAAGTACGAACAAAACAACAAATGGAGGTCTCGAAATCCACGGAGAAGACAGGGCCGGGAAGAAGATACATTTGTTGTATGCCAACTGAGCAGTGTAAGGATAGTATATCCTTTATGCGCCGAACCAACTTTAAAGCGAGACGCTCGAACTTACCATTAGGGTTCCGCACAGGTAACACCGCGGGTCGGAAGCTGACACCGTACCTATACCCGCCAACACCGTACCCTCACGGGTACACACCGACCCGTCAACACCACGGTTAGATGGAAAACACCGCGGTGTCTCTGAACACCGCGGGTACATTACCAAGAAGAGTGTATTAACAACAACTGAATAGATATTACTACTTTTCCTCGTCGTCCTCCTCAGATTCGACTTCATTTCGCTTCCGTTTTTGACTCTTTACAGAGGCTAGAAGGTCCTCCATCGCCAGAAGATCACTTCTGCCCCAGGCTCCGAGGCAGAGAAAAGCACGAATCGTTGATGGTGCGAGTCGGTTGCGAGTAAAATGAAGGAGCTGCTGGCCCTGCGAGAAGACACGTTCAACCGCAGTTGATGTTGCTGAGCGAGATAATAAGCATTGATTGATTGAAAAAGGATTTGAGGGTGGCATACCTGGGACGGAGAGATAGTCTAATACCATCCGATGCAACGTTGGATAAGTATGGCAGTTGTTTTGCCACCATGCAAGTGGGTCCTTGGTCTTCACAGTTGGCAATCGAAGGAACTCGTCCAGCTCGCTACTGGTGGTATGAGACATGGAACCAAGTGAGTAGTCACCAAAGTCATCCTCATTCTGTACAGTTGTCAGTGTCAGTGTAGAATTAAATGTTGGATACAGACTACATCCGCTGCAGTGTCATCAGTAGTCTCGGCAGATTTCTCGTATTTATCAGTAAACTCTTCACGGACAAGCTGCTCGGCAGTATCGATCCACTCTTTCTCCCAGGATTGCTCACGGAAGTAGGCAAAATCAATGGAAAGCAACGCACCGAGATCTGCAGCGGGATCAGGATCAGGATCAGCCGTTGCTTTGTCGTCGTCACTGGCCAACAAATCTTGGACGACGAGATAGACTTAGACGATGGGTGGGTAGACGAGGCATCAGATGCCTTCTTTGCGAGCTTGGTTTTCATGGAGAGACGATTTGGTAGACTTACTGGTCTCGAGTTTTTGCCTTGGCTTTATGGTAGTGACTCGAGCTTCTCTGTAGCAAAGTGTCAGCTCGATAAATTGCTAGAATGATTCACAGGGGCACAAAAGACATGACAGAAATCAATATAGCAAATATTGGGTTGTGATCCTCAAGCACTCAGAGTAAGCCGACACAGAGAATTATAGTACGGTGTTCAGTGGCTGTCAAGGTTCCCGATTTGGTAAGTCATACCCGTTAAACACCGCCAACCCGCGGTAAAGGGTCGCGGTATGGTCACGGGTATGAATATCCAACACCGTACCCGTACCCGCCAAACCCGTCAGCAAAGAACCGCGGTGTTACCCGTACCCGTGCGTTTCCCTACTTACCATACGTTCAGCGCAGCCACGTGACTCACTGATGCGAAGAGCTGAATTCTTCACATCCGAGTCACACGGATACATTCTCCCCTTGTACCTACATCCCATTCTCCCCTTGATACACTGGAGTATTTTCACCAGTATTTTCACCAGTATTTTCACTTTGCTCTTCATTTTCACGCCACCCTGGCTTAGCTACACTGCCCCGCGAACGTATAAGTACTGCGCATGTAAAAACCCTAACGATAGCAGAATACGGACTCTGATTCCCCGCTCCACACACGAAACGATCCTCACAGCACCAGCCTTACAGACTTCCTCGTTGCTTCCGCTTTCGTGTCGTAAAACGACACGTCTCGCATTTCCAGTCCTCTCGACCAATTCCCTATCGAACTATAAGTCAACCTTACAGCAGGATGCATAGAAGGTCTAGGCTGAGGAGGCTAACTGAGCTTGTCGAAAAGCGAAACCAGTCGGCAGGGGTATGTGCTGTGGGAATACTCGCGCGGGATCTGGCCGGCAGCCATGAGGACAATATTAATGCTGTAGAATGTCGCCACGATTTAGCCATAATCAGCATATCCGTATGAGGTCCTAGCACTCAACGAATATACGACGGATGTCATGCGAATGTTCAATGTACGCCAGATGCGCCCCCAAATTTGTTCCGCCGCACCAGAGACCGAGGGACTGACTGCGTCGAGGACCTGTCTCGGAGCGCGAGGAGAGCGGGACATCTACGAAACGAGATCATACAAAAATACACTGGTGAGAATGAGGCGGGTGGGTGGCCATTAGCCCACGAACCCTCGAATGTCGGGACGGGCACGAGGCATAGGTCTTTCGAGAGAAATGTGGCGCACGCACGCTTATTTTATGACTCGCGAGCTAGGATAGGCTAGGATCTTGTGAGATATGTCAAACCGTGTGTTCGGTTACTGGATCAAATTGGCAGTCTGGCATCTGCTGGCGTGCCTTGCTGATTGTCCAGTAAACTTGATTCAGCGCGCATGAAATAACTGAAACAGGCATTCACCATATTTTCTGATCATGAATGAGATCGATGAATATCGATGTGGCAAGGAGTCGCCGAGGACTGGCAAGGTGCTTTAAAAATCACAGTTTAATTGACAATCTAGTGTTAGCGGCCATTTAAGGAAGTGGGTGCGAGGTTCCTAGATCGTTGTGTTAAAGCCCGTAACATTACAGAGCAGCAGAAAGAAAGATGCTATGCACATCAAGATATGTGTAGTCCCCATCTATTGTCAGGTATCGTCCTCATAGAGGCTCAGGCCCGAGCCTGATGCAAACAGAGTATGCACAGCATGTGTAGCAAGAGGTAGATGCCAGATTCTAGGGGCGACTTGCTTTTTTCCGGATCTTCAATAGACTTCAATCGAGTCTCATCAACATCCAATAGGAGGTAAGGATAGGCAACAGCAGGTGTCGCGAGGCAGTGGAGGACGAGAATACAATGGAAGATGGGAGGAAGCGAGCTGAGGGCCTCACTGGGATGACACGTCCTGGAGTGAGCGTTATCGGAAGCAGCGGGAAGAAGCAAAAAGCATGCAAAACATCACTTGTAGAGGACCCAGACGTGAATCTGGCTTACTACATTATATTACAACAGCGTCGGCCGGCGGTCGGAACTCCAGCCACATTAAATGGTTGAAAACAAAGGAGGGTGCGTAAGTATAGGCGTAGCAAGTATCAAGGAGCACAGTAACAACTAACAAGAAAGGGTGTAGAGATAATCGGAAGGGTGTGAAACAAATGCGAGCAGGGGAGGCGAAACGCATTCCTGGGAAGAGCCGTGACCTGCCTCGGAGTAGGGTTGCGAGCCGCGAGCCGCGAGCCGCAGGAGACAAAGTGTGGGTGTTGAAAGTAAATAAATGGAGGGAGAAGCTATGTAGGCCATCAGAGAAAGGTGGAATGTGCAATTACTATGCTCGAGGAGTAAGTACTACCGTACAGTTTTGGGTCGGGTATTTAGACAGTTAGGTTGATCACTTATGTAATCATTAATAGTCTTAGTAGTAAATCTCGTTACAAAGTCTGATGTATGGTTCATGGGGACAGAAGCTTGAGGTGGGCTGCCACGGCTGCGAGAAGGTGCAGGAATCGTGCATTACTGGTTGTAAATGAAAGCATTAGGCTGTACTTTGAGTATGGGGACTGCAGTACTTGAGAGTGACTTAAGTTTCCTCTTGATAACGCGGGCCTAATTGATGACATAGATCACAGATCTCAGTGATGATGGCACACCCAAATTACATCAGAATATCCCAGCAAGGCTCTCCTCATCTGCCACCATGTTTTTCAAAGATATCCCTGGCTTCTCTTGCAGGTCTTGATATAGTAGGGCGTTCGTTGGCAGCACTTTCTTTGACCTTCAGAGCCACGCTGCGCAAGAGCCCGAGCCCGAGTTTGGCGAACAGCGTTCTGTCGTGGTACGAGTAGCAGTCTTGAAGCAAGGGGTAAACAGAAATATCTGATCGTGCAGTATAGACATACCTCTTGCTGTTCGAACTCCTGACTGGAGTAAAGTTTCACCAACTAACCAACCAGCTCCTTCGCGTGCTAAGTAAGTTGAGTTGCAGGCACCGAGTCAATCACCAAACACACGGACTTGCCGCGGACGTTCAAAATTATTGGCATATGTTGAACATTAACTTTGAGAAATTAGAGTATGTGGTACCATATACAAGTCGTGTAGGTAGCAGATCTCCACGTTCCTGTGTCTAGTTTCTTGGCGAGCTTTGCAGTTTCTTCAAAACACAGTGCAAGTGCAAGTCGTCTTCTTTGGTGACAAACCATCGTCTTTTGATCCCAGGAGATTGGGAAGTACGAATAACTGCAGATCGCCTCAAAATGACTTCGAAGCTCAGTCATTGCACTGCCAGTATTGTGATTGCCTTGTAGGATGCACCCGCAATGTATCAGATCCATGGAGAATTCATAACATCAAGTTTTGACACTACACCCCGCTCCAGACCTGCAATGTCGGGCGGAGATTCCATAACGTCTCGCAATGGGTGATGGTTTTCGTGTAAAGTCTCTTTTTCAAATGCGGACGAAATACTGCTAAATGCAGACCACATGGAAGCCCAGCAGGTAGCACGGACAGACAGACATAATATCAAAGAATTGAGACAACGAGCGACTGCTCCTGATTATAAGGTAGACCAGAAAATATAGTAAGGGACCGTTTAAAAGCTATGAAACGTGAGACTTAGTGAATCCATGGCGAATGATGAACAAAGCAAAGAGCGAGTGACCATAGCAGATCTAACACAGCACAAGAAAGCATGGCACGGCTAGCGGGGGTGTACCGTAAGGAATGCGAAAATAAGACCAAAATGAATATGCAAAGCAGGTATGCAAGCCTAGGTACCCCTCTTCAACCTCAGGTGGGCCTCACGGGTGTGGCGCCACATGCAATCACGTCGCATGACATGAACTGTTCGGTTACCGCGCTTGCGGTAGTTGCAGCCATCCCACTGGCATCCTATCTTCGCATCTTTTTGTCCAGAAAAATGATCGCTTTGACAGTGTGCTCTCAACTCCTCCAGTGTCCCTGTGAATTCGCAGAGTATGTCATCATTTACCCATCGACAGGACAGATGGAGGGGAGATGAGGGATGGCTCTGTAGCGGGATTAGGTACGGCTGGTTGGTGGCATGCGACGTGAATATCAATTGCGAAGACTCCGTAGCTGAAGGTGGAGGTATCATCAGCGGGAATGAATGGCTCGGGTCTACGTTTGGGTGGGGGATGGCAAAATGAAGGAAGTCGATATGTAGCGGGGATCCACAAATACACGAAGCGGGCCCAGAGTAATTGGTTCCCATTGTAAGGGAACTAGAGTGGCTGGGGCTGGGGCTGGGGCCTCGGAATACAGGGAACTGGGAACTGCTGGCAAGATAACAATTTGCGTGTAGTAGGGAAGAGAAGGAGTGACTAACTTTGAATTTGACAGGATAGGTGTTGTTGAGCTCGGAGACGTCTTTTGATTGATCAGTGTCAAGAAGGACCATCAGGGGAGTCTCACCATATTAGTAGCGTAGGGGAGATTGCTAGGTAGCCCGACAAAGGAGCGATCCACTTCGTCGACTATAAGTTGGCGTGGCATGGTTGTACTATAAAAGAACGGTGAGGCAAGCAATGATGGATGTTATGGAGCCTACAAGTTCCAAGTATTGACGGGGGAGTCCATGCTGGATGTGTTGGGGGAGACTAGGTGCCCTGCAGTCCTTAAATATTCGACATGCAGTAGTCTTGAACAATATACCTTTGGAGCAGAATATATGTCATGAACAAGTAGCCAACAGCCGGCAGCGGCAAATAACGAGATGAGAAGTCTTGAATAATATACCTTCGGAGCAGAATATACGTCATGGCCAAGTAGCCAACAGCCGGCGGCGGCAAATAACGAGATGGTGAAGAATGAACCCCTATGAAAAATTCGAACCTGAGAGAAACAAACACCCAAAGAATAAACGAACCACATGAACCATAAACGAGGCTCTCGTTATTGGCCCTTGACTTCCCACAGTGATTAGGATGATGCCTCAGCGAAAATAGGTCCTTCTGCCGAAGATTGGTGGAAATCGGAGCAAATCAATGGGCGCCCCTTGTTCCTTGTGGTTAATGTTGTGAGGAATCATTATTGTGTCGTTCCATAGATTTTCAGGCTGTACTAGTGTCGCTGGACGCTATGATCTATGCAACATGTAGTTGAATTTCTGTAGATTTCAATTCGGTATCGGTGTATTAGCTTGTTGCCGATCAGGCCTAGGACCTGCGTACTTCTCGGGATTAGGATTGATCGAATTGAGTGCCAGCTTGGCAGCCGGCGGAACTTCTCAATAAGTAGGGTCAATGCATGGGACCTAGAAGTAAGGGGTTGCTGTAATGGTTGGTTGTGAGTGATGCCGCGACATGGGAACTGGCTTTTACGAGGTTTTATTTCACCCAACCAACGACATTGGCATATTGTGATGATTTGTCTGTGGGATGGTGTGTTGTGATTCGTGATTGCGTTTTTCCGTTACAGCCAAGTTACACGTATTGATTCGAGAAATCTGATGATTTCATTTTGCTACCTATATACCAGCAATACTTGCTGTGAGCCCGGATCTTCGTCGATGGATGCATAAGTTACTTACTTTTGAAGTTTACCTAATTACACAAATTCATGACCTTGTCGGAAATTCTCATAAGAATCTACATTAGGTTACAAGTGCTAATGGTCCTTTCCACGATAAAGTCTTATATCACTTGGTAGTTTAAAATATAAATGAAGGGATATGGTATGAGTCAACAAGTATGACTTAACGATGCTATTGCACATTGATCGCTGCGACGGCGCAATGTCGTTATCTTGTCGCGAACTCCTCATGGTAAAATGAATTTTCAGACATCTATGGCTATGTACTGATCACTAATATTTCTTGCCGTATACATAGGTATATTCAGCAGTAGCAAAATTATTTCACACTATATTTCTCACAGCTACCATATCACGGACTCATCAATTCACTGATGGCCGCACATTTTGAATATTGATGCCCACCGCCAACGCCCACTGAGGTTGAATGAAAATGAAAATAAAAACTTAGTCAACGGGGACTGCTGTAGGTATATCGTAAGACAAGTACACTTGTGTGGAGTGATTGAGTGAGATACGGAAAAGTGTTTATTAGTCCAACTTGAGTGCGCCACGGAAGTTCGAACTTCGCTTTCATCGCATGGTGGGTAGCTCGGAGCGGAGGGTCTGGCTCCGCCACATGTCTCGATCTGTGCCGTCTGGAGCAAAGCGCTCGAGATAACTAGTAGGCTGTAGTCTAGACTAACGTTGAAAACTCGAATAAACGCGGGATTGATTTTGTTTTACAAAAAACTGTTCGGGATCAGGAACTTTGTACCACAAGACGCCGGAGACTGCGGTATAACAAACCCTCCTGAGCGTGGCGGAGACGCGTCTTGGGTTGCGGGGAGAAGGGGACCGCCAAGAAACGAGACCAGAACACGTGCTGGTGAGATTCAGAACAGGAGGCGCTGATTCCCGAATTAATTGCTTACGGATGGGGCATGAGGCATAGATTTTTCGAGAAATATACCGAGATATGGCGCATCAGCTAATATATAGGTAGATCAAGCTCTCAATGGACAAAAATTGGATATAAGAAAGAAAAAAAAGGTAGATCAAGTGTGGGACTTGTTGTACTCGTAGCTCGCGATCGTTATGTAAGTAAACAAAGTATCATTTACGGTGCTAGCCGGACGTACGTACTAAGTACTAAGGACCTGGGTACGTACGAAATAATCGCAAGAGCATTTACCCTCATTTACCGTAGCTTCAGATCAGGGAAGGGCGAGGAGCCAAATTAAACTTTTTGGAAACTCGGGTAGAGCACGGCTAAACCTTCCAACACCGGCTAAAGGCCCATCAAGAAACCCGGCTAGAACAGCATCCAACAACCGCGGCACAGGCGGCATAACATAGCGGACTTCAAAACACTTAGGAGATTTCAATGATTTCAATGCACTAAGGACAAAACAAATATATTCGTAGCTAGTGAATGCGCTGACATGTAATCAAATATCGACGGAGGGAAATTAAGAAACGAATGGCGAGGGAGGGGGAATCAAGGCTTTCCGTCCGCTCACTGGCCTGCTGTCCGCTCAGCCTGCCCTCGCTCCTGCATGCGCAGTGCTCTGTTGTCACATAGGACTTGTTCAATGCTGTGGGAGACCTGTATTTCACGCTGGTCTAGAGTGTCGGTCTCACGAACAACTCCAACATCGATGCAGCCAAGATGCACAGGCTTGGAAACCCACGGTATGTGCACAAGATCATGTGACCGCGACGTGAGCGTACACCTTTGAGTTGACTGGCAGGCAGCGAAGTAACGTGATATATGTCAGAACTGTAATAAAAGAGGATAAAAGCAGCGGCATGGAAAAAAAGTGGTAGCACCTGGTAGCACTAGCCTCAATCAACCTTAGATCTATCAGTGATCACTGTGAAGTTCGATCACCCGCAAGGTACTAAATTGACATCCTCCTGTCTTCCACGTTAATATTCAAGTCGCCCCAATCATTCAATCTTATCCTAAGTATCTTATCCCACGTTTACGACATCCCTTACGCGCCCCCTTGCACCCCTCAAGCTCTGACTGCAAGTTCGAGCCCACATACGTCATCTTTTCAAGATTCTGGTCAACTCACACCGCGAAGGAAAAAAAAACGCGACAGACCCGTTCTTCTTCCTCGGTCCGACAGAGACCAAGAAGGAAATACTAGCCATTCTTCTACGGCATATGGTCTGCCTGCTAGGGTGATTAGCGAACATGACTGAGGTTTTCGGTGTTCTTTTGCCGCGTCAGGTACGGTGAAGCGCCAGGTCTTACTATGATAGGCTCCGGCCGAGGGCTTTCAGTGCTGGGAAGTCATTGGTCTTAGGTCTGGCGCTGCGCGCAACTTTCCTGCTTGATGCAGCTTACACATGCTGAGTCTCACCTGCCCGGATATTTCTAGGTACACAGTGCGCCAGTCCCCATTGAACACTTTCGCTTAATATATGCTGTCGACTCAGAGCATTTTGGTGCTTACACTTTACCAAACGTGAGTGGTCCTGAGATGTCTACTGACAATGTTGGACACTAAGTATTAGTCCATGCACGTAAACCGTCAGTCATCTAAGTATGGTGAGACTAGAAGAAGCGACTCACCCTCAGGCTCGCGGTGACGGACTGAGGTAGGTTCACTACAATTGCCCTGATTATATCCGTCGGGCATCGTGTTTGAAGGCAAGAGCCTTGGGGATTGGTGTGTATCTTTCTGCGGTAACTTCCATGTTCCGTTGTGGAGAGATCTACAGCAGAGATGCACTTATGTCTTCCTCGTCCCCCGCTATCCAAGGAAATCAAACAGTACGGACAACCGGCGATCACAAGAAAATGCTTCTAAAGGTCAGTCGTTGTGCTGGATGATTGTCCACAGTAGTGTGCAGTGTGTACGCTCTCAGATCCATAATTAAGAATCCAGGGCATCAGGTTTTGACACTAAAATAACAGTCGCTTTGTGAGGCGAAGACTGCATAAGTCTTACAACGTGGGATGATTTCTATGTCAGGCCTCTCTTGCTGTATTTTTAACTGCAGATTAAATGTAGACCGCACGAGTACCTAGCAGGCACCAAATGCCCCCCATGTTCTAATACCGGCAGATATAATATTGAAGCCATCGAGAGTCACATGAACGGGCGACTGCGCTTCATTTTAACGTAGACCAGAAAACGTAAAGGATCTCGGAAAGAAGCTATGAAACGAGAGACAAAGAGCAAGTGCGGATATTAGAATCCAACACGGCACAAGAAAATACATGGCTAGCGGTGACAAAGTGCAATGAGCAAGACCGAGATAAATATGTAAAGCCCAGGGGCGTGCACACCTAGGTACCCCTTTTCTTCAACCTCTTCAACCCCAAATGGGCCTCACAAGTATGACGCCAGATGCAGTCACGCCGCATGGCACGGACTGTAGGGTCACCACGCTTATGGTACGTGCAACCATCCCACAGACATTCAATATGGGCATCCCCTGGCGCAGAAAAGTGACGCGTTTTACCATGGACCTTGAACTCCTCAAGAGTCCCTGTAAATCCGCAAGGCTTGTCCTCAGATAGCCATCCGCAGGGCATCAGAGGGAGTGGAGGTGAGGGATGGTGCTGCAGTGGAATTAAATTATAATACGGCTGGTCGGTGGGTTGCGGTGCAGATATAAATTGGGAAGACTCCGCAGCCGGAGGCGGAGACATCATAAAGTGACTCGGATATAGAATGTCATTGTATGGCCCAGTGTATGAGGAAGACGTGAAGTAGTTGCCTCCTATTGCAGGAGCCCCAGAGTGGCCGACGCTGGTGACTCTGAAGACCGGATCGTAGTGCTGGGTACTGCTGTCAAGCGTTGGAGGGTTATGCCAGGAGCCAGAAAGATGGCTAATCATGGTATTAGATATCTGTAGGGAAGAATGCTAGGAGGAACTAACTTAATCATCTGCTCTGCAAACTCATGTTTGGGTGTCATTGAACCCGGAGATATCTTTGGAACGATCAGTGTGAGAAGGGACCGTCTGGAGAAGTCTTACAATGTCGAGACTAGTGGGTGGACTGACAAAGACATAATCAACGTCGTCATCAGGGACTTCCTGGTTGACCACAAGTTGGCTTAGCATGGTTGTACTGTTAAAGAGAATGATGAATGCTATGGCCTAAATGTGCCAAGTATTTATGAAAAAATGCACGCCGGATGGTCCGGGCGAGAATATATTCTTTGCAGTTCTGATTGACGCGCATTACGCAAGGAATGCGACCAGGAAACATGTCATAGCCAAGCGATCAATGGCCGCTACTGGCGAGATGGTCTAGAATGGATCTGTCGAATTGTTTCAGGAAAACCCATCCTCGTATTTGTGGCTTGATACGGTTTGTATGATCCGCTTTCTCTAAAGGAGGATACGAATAGGAAAACCCATCCTCGTATTTGTGGCTTGATACGGTTGGTATGATCCGCTTTCTCTAAAGGAGGATACGAATAGGAAAAAAATTACGGGTGAGGACCTCGTCGTTGGCTGTTGAATCCGGTTCCTTCCCACACTGATCGAGGGTAATGCCTCTCAGACAATCGGCCGTTCTGACGGAGAATGATGAAAACCGACGGAGTGCTGAAACATACATCTGAGTAGCGCACCTTGTTCCTCGTGCTTAAGTCTTCGATGAATTATTGATACTGTTTTGTTGCATAGATTTTAACAAACACTAGTTGACGCCAGTCGATGTAACATGTAGTTGGATTTCCCGTAGATTTTTAATACTCGCCTGCCGTCAGAGCATAGTACTCGTCGAGATCTTGGTAAAATTGGACGCCACCCGATTGAATGCCGCAGGAACCTGTGGCACAGGACGCGGTGCAGGGAAGGTTGGTTGTTGAGTTCGATGGATGGCAACATGGGAACCAGCCATTTCTGACATCGCACTGGAGGGCGTCGTGGGTTTGATTGGCGCCACCCAACCAAGCACTGCTCGTAAGTAATTTTTAAAATTGGACAATTGAACAGCATCTTCGGGGGGACTACTTAGGATGAACGAAGAACGCGCACGACATAACTTACATCCGCATTGTGTTCTTGGCAACATATTGTGAATATCACCGCCGACGCTGTGCCACCTCCTGAAATCCCCACAGCACCTCACAGCACCCCCATATTGCCAGTTTATTTCTCGGACGCTGTTAATATGAATGCCTGCTTGTTAGAGAGTTTGGATGACGAAAAAAAGTACGAACTTCGAAATCCACGAAGACAGGGTCGGAAAAAAGATACATTTGTTGTATGCCCACTGAGCAGGATGCATAGAAAGTCTAGGCGGAGGAGGCTAACTGAGCTTGTCGAAAAGCGAAACTAGTCGGCGGGATACACGCTGTGGGAATACTCGCGCGGGATCCGGCCGGCAGCTGTGAGGACAATATTAATGCTATAGAATGTCACCACGATTTAGCCATAATCGGCATATCCGTATGAGATCCTAGCACTCAACGAATATACGACAGATGTCATGCAAATGCCCAATGTACGCCAAATCATACAAAAATACACTGGTGAGGCGGGTGGGTGGCCATTAGCCCATGAATCCTCGAATGTCGGGACGGGCACGAGGCAGAGATTTTTCGAGAGAAATGTGGCGCGCGCACGCTTATTTTATGACTCGTGAGCTAGGATAGGCTAGGATCTTGTAAGATATGTCAAACCGTGTGCTCGGTTACTGGACCAAATTCGCAGGCTGGCGTCTGCTGGCGTGCCTTGCTGGTCGTCCAGTAAACTCGATTCACAAAGTACCATTTGCAGTGCTGGTTGATATGATGTATTCCGGTAAGCGCGCATGAAATAACTGAAACAGGCATTCACCGTATTTTCTGGTCATGAGTGATATCGATGAGTATCGATGTGGCAAGGAGTCGCCGAGGACTGGCAAAGTATTTTAAAAACCACAGTATAATTGTCAATTTAGGGTTAGCGACCATTTAAGGAAGTGGGTGCGAGGAAGTGGGTGCGAGGTTCCTAGATTGTTGTGTTAAAGCCCGTACCATTACAGAGGAGGAGAGAGAAAGATGCTATACACATCAAAATATGCGTAGTCCCCGTCTACTGTCAGGTATTGTCCTCATGGAAGTTCAGGTCCGAGCCTGATGCAAACAGAGTATGCACAGTATGTGCAGCAAGAGGTAGATGCCAGATTCTAGGGGCGACTTGCTTTTTTCCGGGTCTTCAATAGACTTCAATCGAATCTCATCAACATCCGATAGGAGGTAAGGGTAGGCAACAGCAGGTGTCACGAGGCAGTGGAGGACGAGAATAATACAATGGAGGATGGGAGGAGAGTTGAGGGCCTCACTAGGATGACACGTCTTGGGGTGAGCGTTATCGGAAGCAGCGGGAAGAAGCAAAATGCATGCAAAATATCACTTGTAGAGGACCCAGACAACTTCCTTGCGTGAATCTGGCCTACTACATTATATTATAACAGCGAGGTAGTCATGGGGACAGAAGCTTGAGGTAGGCTGCCACGGCTGCGAGAAGGTGCTGGAGTCGTGCATTATTAGTGGTAAATGAAAACATTAGGCTGTATTTTGAGTATGGGGACTGCAGTACTTGAGAGTAACTTAAGTTTCCTCTTGATAACACGAGCCTAATTCATAACATGGATCACAGATCTCAGTGATGATAGCACACCCAAAAGTACATCAGAATATCCCAGCAAGGCTCTCCTCATCTGCCACCATAGTTTTTCAAGATATCTCTGGCTTCTCTCGCAGGTCTTGATATAGTGGGGCGTTCGTTGGCAGCACTTTCTTTGACCTTCAGAGCCACGCTGCGCAAGAGCCCGAGTTTGGCGAACAACGTTGCCGCTGGCTCTAGATAGTCGTCTGAATCGGGAGCTAGGACGGCCAAAATGATATGCGATGCTAGCGTTGATGGAGGTGTTCCAGAGATCAAGTATGCACTAGCGATGTTGATCAGTGCTTGAAGGGCAGATGGGAGCATTCTTTCACATACTTTACAATCGGTTTCAGTGACTGCGGATTTGCTGACAAGGAGGCTACCAACGACGCTATCGCCTTGGACGTAGTGGTCTATGAAATTCCTTAGTATAAGGGTGAGACAAGTCCGAATCCTCGTGCAAACCTACCCTCGTGTGTTTCCCGGAATGCGTCATTCACAAGTTCAATACACGATTCTCTAGCCTTATCTCCGATACCACCGTGCGCGGAGGCACTCTTCACGACGTTCGACAATGCAAGAACGAAGCTGGCAGCAATCTCCTCATCGCTGGATCTTGCACCAGTGATAAGTTCCGTGACAACGGGATCCACCCTTGGCTGGCTGCGCATAAGAATCCCCAAAGCATCTGCTGCACGAGTTCGTACGACGGCGGAGGATGCATCGCTGATCGCCTTGACGAACGTGCGCTGAAGCTGAGGGAAGAACGGTTTAACATGACCAGGAATTCTCTCGAGCATGGAAGCCAGTGCACTGATGATGGCAGTCTTCACACCAGGGGGATATGTGGTGGCCTGTGTTGCAACACGAATGAGGGGCCCAGTGAATGGCACTACGAAAGGTTTGATAGCAGACTCCTCTGTCCGTTCCACCAAGTCACCAATAGCGTAGGCTGCATTTTCGCGCTGCTCGTTGCTGCCAGTCGTAAGACCAGCAATAATGATAGGGACGGTAGGTGCCACGCCCTTTTGCAGGCTGAAACCAGGAACATAACGGCCAGGTGCACCAGTACTCTCGATCGTCCGACGCAGGGGGACCACGAGGGACTCTAGCTCGTCCTTGGGCACCGACTTGACGAATATATCAAATGCCTGCCAAGCAGCAGTGTGGACTGGAACCTCTTGGTCGTCAAAGAGAGAAACAAGTTGTCGAACCCAATCAATGCGGTATAACGAAGAATCGAGATCAGACTCCTCGCAGAACACTGCAAAGAGATTGCAGGAACTAATCCGACGTTTTGGCGCATCATTCTTGGCCCTGAAGCAGAAGACGATCAGTGTATGTGCAAGCTTACAGAGCGGAGACAACTGACCATCCAAGAAGGAGCAACATCAAAGTGTTCAACCCTTCCGGGTCTTCTATTGAGGCCAAAAGTGCGCGCAGGGCCTCATCAATAGCGTTCCGTAGTTCATCATCTTGGCCTCCCTCTAAAACCTTCACTAATGCTCCAAGAATGACGATCAGGCGCTTGCTCAAGGCATTTCCAGCAACGGTGACAAGAGACGCCAGAGCTCTGGCATTGAAAACCGTCATAGGTGTGGCAATCAAGGTTGGGATGAGAACAGGGAACACAGTAGACGCGCGGACCTTCAATTGGTTAAGTACATTCTTGCTCACAAACGAAATGGATGATACATACCGACATGACCTCCCTCAAGGCTTGAAGTGCAGTGTCAGAGCCTGCACCAGGCTGACGCAAAGCTTCCAACAAGGTGGGGATCGTCTGGTCAATCGCTTTTGCGCCGAGATGCTCTTGAAGTACATCAAATGCCTTCGCGGCCGCCGAACGTACCGTAGCGTCATCGTCCACAAGAGAGGTGCGAACCATGTTGATAATCTCATTTTCATGACCCTCACGTTGCGCATCGGATGTACTCTCCCTAAACGCAGTGAGATTCTGTGCAAGGAGAGTGAAGAAGGGTCCTTACATGACGTCGCACAGCATAAGGCAAACGCCTTCACGGGTACATATATCAGGAGAATGCGACTTGGCATGAAGAATTGTGAAAATTTCCCCCAGAACCTTTTCGCCAGACTTGCGACTTAGTTCTGTCGTGGTACGAGTAGCAGTCTTGAAGCAAGGGATCAACAGAAATATCTGAACGTGCAGCATAGACGCACCTCTTGCTGTTCGAACTCCTGACTGGAGTAAAGTTTCACCAACTGACCAACCAGCTCCGGAAGAATTTCGCGTACTACGTCGCCATCGTCAATTGCGACCAGTGAATATATCCACGTGACTCACCAGTGCGAGGCGTGTTGTGCACAAGTGCCTTCCAGATGTGAATGGAAGACTGACGTACAACGTTGACTGCATCTTGTCTTGCAAGATATAATGCCGACAAAATACGGTTGCGACGTTCTTCTCCAAGAACCTCTGTGAGAGCGCGGCGAGAAGATTCTGCAGCTGCAGCTTCGGCAACTACTTCTTCGTCTTCAACTTCAGCCTTTCCACTGATACCTGATACCTTGAATAAAAGTTCTCCAACCAGGGTAATCGAAGATTGCTAACAACCGGTGCTTCAAGTCCTGTAAAGATATGCTGCAAAACAAGTACTCACCCTAATGCGCCAGCCGGCATCGAACATGCCCTGCTCAAGCTCAGGCAGGAGCAAGTCAATCGCCTTGGTGGAGTAATTGGTGACAATCATCCGCCCTGCTCGCATAGCAGCTTCGCGAACGTACTCTTCTGTATCAGACAGTCCGCTTAAAATGGGGGATATGATTTTCGGCAAATGTGGTTGGAATCGAGCGCCGAAGGTGGCAGGTAGATACACGAGGAGAGACATGAAACCTTCCCTGACTGTACTCCGCGGGGACTGAGCGTTGGCGATGATGTCAGGGAGAAGGCCCTCAAGTCGCTCCATACCGAGTCCGGACAGTACTTCGCTGAGGCCCTGAGCCGCACCTTGCCGATCAACACCCGAAGTATCGGTCTTGAGTGTTCTCAAAAGCCCGGGAACAACGTCGGGGAAGTGTGCTTCTCCAAGACGTTCAACAAGTGTCCCGAGCGCCTTGGCAGCAGTCGCGCGTGCTTCTGGCACGGGATCAACCAGGACGACGTGCACCAAGGGCAAGAGTGAAGACAAGTACGGAACGAAATCCTTGGAGTCCGTCAAAGATGCGAGATTTCCAACAATTTGAGCGGCCCTCTTCTTACCCTCTGTTCCTCGTTCCCGCAATCCACGCTCAATTATCGGTATGACCTGCGACCTATAAGCTACGAGAACATCAACGTGAAGCAGCAGCTTACCAGCGCCAGAGAGGAGTGATCGATGTAGTGCATGAATGATGTCTTCAGGAGGGCTGACAAAGCGTTTGTCGTCTTCGCAGGATCCACAAGCGCCTTCAGCAGCGTCGGAACAAGGGCCTGGATTTCAGGGTTATTAATGACTTCTCCAAATTGTTTCAGACTCTTGTTGGCCGCAGCTTTGACCTGAGCATGCGTATCTGTCAGAACACCAGTAAGGCGTGGAATGACAATGGGCAGTGATAGTGATAGTTGTCGGGGCGAGCAGTAAGCCATCATACCCATCAATTCGATGGAACCCTTTTTGGATCTCCACTGTTTCTCGTCCAAACCAGACAGTAAGGAAGGGAGAATGAGCTTGACGCCATATCCAGACATATTTCCCATGATTACTCTTGCCGCATCCTGAGCAGCCTCGCGTACATCTGCTGTCGTGTCACCGAACGCGGTTAGCAGAATGGGGAGCATAAACGTGATGTAGGGCTCGAAGAGTCGACCGAGCGTATTTGACAGAGTTTCGAATGCAAACATTGCACCTTGACGCGTTTCGAATCGTTTCTTATCCTCGGCAGCTGTCCGGAGGTGGTTGATGACATCGTATTCTTTCATGGCGCCCACTCCCAAACCCTTGATGGTACCTGCAAGACCATAGGCAGCTCCCCGTCGACTAGCGTATTTCGATCCATTAAAGAGTTCCTCGAACAAATGGTCAACAAGTTTGCGAACGCCTGGACCCATGAGCTTTACTAGGGGGACAAGGCAGTCAGAAACAGCTATTTGGACTTGTTCTGCTGGTGTCTTGAGTGCTTCGACCAATCGGTCTACAATGATGGGAATACGTGGGTCTGAGGCATCGAGATGCCTGGCGACACGTCCGAACAAAATGACGACGGCCTCTTTGATTTGATCTCCAGTTTCGTTGGCGGGACTCGGGCCAGCTAGATGTTCTTCAAAAGTTGAGAGTAGACCCGCAAGCCGTTTCGAGCCATGAATGTCGATGACGGCTGTTCCAGCCCGAAGCATGCCACGGCACACATCCGGCGACCTGTCACCTAGTGCTTCGTCCTTAACCAAGAATACGAAGAATGGTTCGATCTGATCCTCGGTGAATGATTGAGCCAAGTGCTCAAATGCAAGGGCAACTGCCACACGGGTAGCCCAGGGATCGGAGCGATCGAGGCTGGAAGCAATAACCATGCCCTGCACACCAAATCAAGATCACGATCAGAAAGCTCGTCATGGCACTCACATATTCGTCGAACTCAGGTGCAAGGATCTTGGCCTTTATACTGGTAAGAGCCGAGTACACAAATAAGGATGAGTGATCATACCTTCTCTCGGTAAAAGTCTTGCAGAGCAGCCACGGTCAATGCACTCTTTCGAGGCCAATATATCACGGCCTCCGCAATTGCCGATGCTGCGCTAGTTCGCACGTACGCATTGTTGTGCTCTGGTAGCTACATTAGAATTTGATATTCGGAAACAGGAGCTGCATACCCAGATAGTTCATGAGCTTATCAAGGAAATCTTCTGGCACATCCAGGCCGTTATCTTCCCACACGTGGTTCGCGAGACGGGCATTCTGTTCGTCATCGTCGTGGCAGGCTATCCAAAGTTGCGGAGACCAATCGAGATCGGTCAAGTCGAATGGCTGGGAAAATGATGAACAGAAGGTAGCCAAATCATACGTGAATGATACTGACCTGGATCGCCTGCAGACAACCGTTCCTGACATAGACCTCTTGTAATAGTGTGCCATTAATAAGCACACCAACCTCATCGCGGGTCGCATTCGATTGCACAGCCTCTCCGAGGTCAATGAGAACAGATGAGGCTTCCTTGCTAAGTCGCGGCTGGTGCCTAATGACGTGAATGACATGCTCCATGGTTGCTTTGCGGGGAAATGCTGCATCCGAAACTGTAGGGAAGAATATTAGAAATAAATCAACTCTTATACCGAAGACAAACATTCGGTGCAGTGAAACTTGATGATGTCAAGCACGAGAGTGACTTGTTCAAGTGCTTCGTCGTCGTCATCTTCCCCAACGTCTACACCACCCTTCAGCAACACCTGCGCAAGGAGAGGGAATGCATAGGAGAAAGTTGCAGCATCAAATGGAGCTTGCTCTGACAGCGATCGCAGGCGGTAAAGAACGCGTAGCACAAGAGCTGGAGATATGTGAATACGCGACTTGTTTTTCTGACAGACAAAACTCACAGCTCAGTCGTTCAGCCCTCAGTTCCTCAGGTACCGATGCTATCTCAAGGCTTCGCAATGTGGCCACACCAACCCACTTACGGAACGTGTCCAAACGTGCTGAGCAGCATTTGGCGAGGTCCTAGTATGGAAGAAATAAGTACAAACTGCACGAAAAAAACCAATACAAACCTACTAAGTACGCTTCAAATGCTTGCGACCCGACAAGCCTTGTTCCCTGACCCATAGCTCCTTCCAACAAGAGCGATAAAATGACCGAAACGTACATACGCAACTCGGGGACATTGATGGACGCCAAACTCTGAACAAAGGAAAGCCCTCGTTGCAGATTGAGTTTGATAGTGGTGACTCGCTGCCGCACAATTGCTTCCTTGTCCAGCTGTGCTTGTACGAGCGCTTGAGCTTGCTTCGATAGCGTAGCTGGCGCAGCACCCTTCTTGTTCGCAAGCGATTTACGAAGTTCGGCCTCCCAGCGGGCAATGTCAGCGTCTTTTCCCTTTTTGGGACCCTCCTCGGACTTTTGAGAGGAGAGAACTATCAAGAAAAAGAACGCAATGAATATGACGTAGTTTCCATGATTTATTTACTCACCATCGACGTAGGTTGTCCCTTCTGGTGTTTCCCAGATACCGAATTCAGCCTCGGATAGGGCATTAATAGTCGAAGAGTTAATGTCAGCGCGTAACTGCTCTGTAACCTTCGGTAATACATTTTCGGGACAAACAAACGCCAATGTGCTGGTTGCTTGATAGCTCGCATCTGCAAAGCCAAACTTGAAGTGCATAAATAAGTAACACCGCCTTGAGTTCAAAATAATAAAATACCTTCGAATCGATGGCAGATGCCGTCAAAATGCTCGTCATCGCCTGATCAACACGCCGGGAAATTAAATTATGCGGGTCTACGCTAGCCTTCTGACACAACTCAATCCATAGCAGCCGGGATGGAGGACCTAGTGCGTTTTTAGGATCCTTAGCGACAGTCGATCGAGTAATAAATGAAGCTCACAGATAGCAGAGTGATGCGCTAGGACGATAAGGTCTACCAGTTGTTCGTCTTTCTCTCCTGCAGCTGCCTCTTCCTTACCGCCGCAGGACAGTAGCAGTGCTGCATACCTTCGCTGCTTGTCTACAGGTTTTTCAGCCTCCTCTCTGACTGGTACGCTCTTGATGGCACTCGACTTTTCTTTGATCAAAGACACTGTCAGCGCTTCACGCAGGATCAAACTGACGAGCTGTGGCAGGAGTGCAACAGCGGCTTCAATAGTCTGAATTGTTGCTCTGCGAACCTCAGATGACTGCGAGTGAATGGAGAGATGAACAAAAACGGAGCCGATTTGCAACCTGAGAGGAAATGTCAAAACGAAAGAAGTCATGTAAAACAATTAAACTTGCCGTAAATGCTCGCTTTTACCCAGTTCGTTCTTCAGGCGGAAAAGAGACAGGTTCACAGCACGCAGTAGCCACAATTCGTCTCCTGCGTCTGTCAGCTTTTGGTATATTTTATCCGAGATCATGAATGACGGCTTGGCCTGTGTGCCAGTGAGAACTTCGATAGATGCATTGCGGGCTACGATATCGCCTGAGATAAATGAGTACGAAACGCAGGGTCTACCGAAGGGAGTGAACATACTGAACTTTCCCGTATTTGCTAGTGGACCCATGAGCAAAGCAAGGGCAATATATCCCTCTAATGGACCCACTGCCGCAGTCAGAGGATTCGCGGTCACAATCTTCAAGTTCGTCTCAAGAGCACTTGTTACTCCCGATGAAAAAGCGAAGACAGCGTCAGTGTCCACCGTGTCAGCGTTCCAGAGCGCCGACCCAGTGATCGATACAAAGGCTCTCCTAATAACGGGCTTCGGATTGGTTATCTCCTTCGCAATCATAGTCGTCGTGTCTGCAGGCGCTTCAATATTTGCCTTGAGGATGAAAGTGAGATGAATGGCCATAATTGACGCCAGTACCCCAACAGCCGCATCATTCGTTTCCTTCACGAGCAACAGAGGTACATTCTGCACTACAGTGACCGAAACTGCAGCGCTTGGTGGCATCGCGGCTAGCATTGCATAAAGCGTGAGCCGATGCTCAGGGCCAGTAGTTTTACCAGCCTTGGGAAGCGCCAAAACATCCGTGAGAGCCGCATTGGCGTTGGTGGAGTCAATGTCCTTGGAGATTAAAACCTTAAAAAGCCCCGTGGCATTCGTGCGCACGACAGGGTTATTGGACTTGGCAGAGTTCAAGGAGGCAGTGAGGAGTTTTTTGAATGTGGTGGAGTCGAGGGTGTGAGAGTACGCGAGTAGGAAGTCTGCGATCACTGCAAGCAGTTCGTCAGAAAGTGATAATCCTGATGCATAGACGTACCGCTTAGTGAATATTCTGGTGATCGTAAAAGGGCCTTCTCCGTAGTTGGTAACACAGTTGCTGTTAGATCGCTCGGGGTTATACAAGTCCCTATGAAATCATGAAGCGCACTCTGTCATAGTGTATATTGAGATTTCATATCAAATGACAACATTTAGGCACCTTACAGAAGAGTGCGATGGAACGGGATTTTTGGACATCACGACGCAAGTGGTGTAAAGATCGAGAATGGCATCCTAGCATCGCATTTAGCATGTACCACATCCGGAAGATCGATGATTATTTTACCTTGATTGCAGGAGGGATTTGGGTAAGCGATTCGTCCTTCACATTTTTCAGGCGAAGTGTCACATCCACAGCAGTGCTCAACAACGAAATCTGTATGAGAGGAGCTTGGCTAGACTTTGCCTGTGCAGTCAGTGTTGTCATGAGAGCGGGAAGCACTTCCGGTGCAGACCGGAGTGCTCTGCGCGTACGGACAAGGGCACTTTTCTGCATAGTTGGTTTTGTTCGCGTAGAGTGGTTCAGCTGCATATCAAGAAGCGTCGCAAAGATCTCGACGAGCACTCTCCACAGAGAGGAAGATGTAAAGTCAGGAGAGAATCGCAGACATGTCGCATAAAGGCCACATGCCCAGCTCAAGAGAACGAAAATATCTGCAGGGGCATATGTGCTGATTCGCCAACATCAGCCGCCATCTGGAGGTGAGAGATGGGAGGCAGACCTTGGTGAACCACGCTTAGCTATCTGGGACACTTCATTCGCAAGCCACCCTAGAACCTGCTCTGTGACACCCATCTTTTGGCCAGCATCAGCTGTCTCATCCTTCTCAATCAGCGCCATTCCCACTTCCTCGACGGCGTCGCGGGAGGCGGAATCAACGTATCGGGGGTATGTTTGTGTGAGGAGTTTGAAAATATCCATGATCTGCCTCAGGCTCAGTCCTTGAAAACGATCTGAGATTACAATGCTGATTGACTACTATGAGCTGCAATACATGCCTCCATTAGTCGCAAGCCATAAGAGTTCCTCCTGCAAAAACAATCGGCGAATTCTGGTACTGCTGGTTAAAAGTTTCCCCTGGGCGATCTGCATAGCCTTCTGCCAGTCCTCCAGCACGAGATCTCGGGTCCATGTCTGTCCGCTCGTATCCTGATCATCCATCTCGTGTGATGGAATTGTGGAGACCAACCACGACTCGATATCAGGTTTACCTGAGGATTCCGATCGGCGTTGTCTCGCCTTGAGCTTTGTTAATGATGTTTTGTGAGGCAGGATGAAAACACAGTAATAATGCTAACAAGTACTGTGCCAGTGGTTTCTCGAGTGAAGAAGCTTTGGAAGTTTGTAGAGTCACGTGAGGATCGGGATCTTGAGAAACTATCGGGGCCGAAAATGCACTGGAACGTTGCATAATAAATGATATTTTTCGCACACTAACCCAATTAGACCCGAGATCGAAGCACAAGGAAGCCAACCCTTAGAGCGAAATGGAGGAAAGTACGCTTATAACAAGAGAATCAAGACATTTCGTGAGGTCTCTTGATCTCTCACCACGTCCATCGTCGCTCCTTTGCCCTCAACTTTTCCCCCAAGGCAGGCTTGTATCGCGTCGAGCCTTCAAGCACCGTCGACTGGTCGGGTGGTCAGTCATCAACTACTAGACCTTCCTAATTCAGCATATAGTATCTTCCGTCAACCCGTATGTAATTCCACCGCCGTTCTGGGGCACGCAGTCGGCTCATTCGAACAACAGATAATTGCTGCTTGTTGACCGTTTCCATCACTCGTTGATTGTGTTCGAACGTAGCCCCTTGTAAAACTTGCCAATTTTTTGTTTGCATCCGGTGAGTTCATACTGATTGACTTTCCGAGCTGTGACCAACAGATCAATTGCTTGCTCAGTAGAATTTCGTTGAGGCGTCCGATCCATGCCTTTCACCCACGACGGAGGTCCCACGGATACTTCCATCTCCCCCACTCCGACGGACCTTGACTTCCCTGACCCGACAGATGGGCATGTTGTGGCCGTAGCCGTGACTGTTGGTGTTGTCGGTGTCTTCCTCTTCGGACTCATCACATGGCTTCTACTACGCCTGCGTCGCAAACCAGCTGATGCGGCTCCCCCCGCTCAGATGCGGCGTATTCTCACATCTGATTGTGCTCGACCCTCGACCGAGTCCAAGTTCAATTTCAGTGAGTTTCCTGCCCCTCGAGAAAAAAGTGCGATCCTTATTGTTCCAGTACGGAAGCCGTTGCGAGTGGCTCTCCAGCAGGATGATGGTTCTTGGGACTTTTCGGACCCAGATCCGAAACAAAGTTATATCACCCCCGTTCCCAAGTGTCAGCTCTCCCCGCTACGCACCCCGCCACGATCCAATCGCTCCAGTATGCACAAAGGCGAGCTGTCCCCAGTTTACCCAGATCTTGAGGCTCCTCCACCCGCTTACTGCCTAGACGGAAACACGTGGCCGTTGTATACTCCTCCAGCAGACCATCTGCCCCATTCAACTGCTTAGAGGACTAGTCGTTACCTTTGGTTTCGTCGATTACATCGTATCACCACCTTCACCTTGCCTTTTTCATCGTTATTACGTTCGATGTGATATTTCAAGCCGCCTTTTGTCAAGCACCCTCGTTCAATTTTGACTTGTCACTCGAGTAATTCGCCGTGAAGGCGCAGCTCAAGCGCACGGATGCGCTATGTATAAGCACCCTTGTACTTCATAACTACTTGTGGTTAATATATCGAGAGGATCTGCGTTCTTGCAATAGCATCATCAAACGATCGGTACCAGGTGCGATCACTTTTTGTCTTGGATGATCTGGATCCCGAATATCAGTTTGCAATTTCAAATTTAGTTCAGCAATGGAAGGACACTTAGAGTTCTAGCTGGTGGCAGCTTCTAGAGAGCGATCTCATCTCAAGCTAAGGCCGATAAATCGTGATGTCGCTGTCTCATGATTCAAACGTGGGTAGGCTCATGTTGCGATTCAAGATGATCATGAAATTATCAACTGCGAGGTATTATATGGTGGAGTTATCAAATTGGCTGGGAATGGTTCCATTGGTGAATTATACAAGAGCATGCAGAGCAAAGGGCACATAACAATGAAAACACATGAATAATCAATGCAAATACAAGAATCAAATGCCAGGGAGGTCATCATCGGAAATGTCAAAGTGAGGATCGACTTGGAGAGTGATACGCCGGACCCTTTTATTCATCGCGGCAGGCGATCCAGAGACTAGAATTGAAGTAGCAGTGAAACGAAACATCGAGGAAGGTACGAAGCACGAACCAGTAGATTCTCGAGGACGTTTCGAAGAAGGGCCGGCAATCTGGGGCATTGGAGTATTCTTTTCGTCAACCAGGTCCTCAATTTTGGGAATCTTGATATCAACGGCCGCCTTGACGTCGTCAGGATCATCTCCCATGATGCAGTGACGAAGACGAGCACCGTTCAATTTGAGAGCCTGATGTGCGCGTGAGTTACGTGCATACATGCTGCCAATGGATCCGTCCCTTTGGCGGGTCGTGGAGAACTTACATTTACAAGCGTGTCCAACGCCTCCGCGACCTCCGAACACAACGCGCTGTCCTCCGCAATCGTTGCCTTGGCACAAGGCATATGTTCGATATAAGCGACGAGCTCATCTATTGCGTTCTGATCTCGCTGCTCTAAATTATTGCGCAGCTGAATCCGTCGTAGCTTCGACTTGAAGTTTTCCTCTACGTTGGCAGACGTGACGGGTACGATACCCTTGGGAATCTCTATGTCGTCCCACCACTGCCACACTTGACTTTTCGTTCCGTCGTGAAGGAGGCTGTAATAGATCGGCTCCGTCATTTGAACAAGAAGATCCTCGAGTTGCTTTCTAAGACTAGCGTTGAAGGAATCCGCTAAGATGGCGGTCCTGTATGTCACTGCTTTGCGCAGTTCGAGCAGTATTGCTTTGACGCAGGGTTCCACGTCGCGCTTCGAGTTCTTCCTGCACTTCCAGTTCCATTTCGTCACATGCAGTGCGAAGGCCCCCATGACTCGGCTGTGGCGTAAGTCCCGTTTCGAATCCTTCTTCATTAATTCAACGAGCTGCCGGAACGCTCTCTTCTCATATGTCGGGAGTTTGTCGAAAGCATCGTTGATCTGTGTTCTGTCTCTGGGACGGTCCCGCTGAGTCTCCCTCTCGCTGACGTTTGTCATCGTATTGTGAAGGCGAAAGATCAGGGTGTTTCGATTCTCCCACAAGAAACGGCATAGCTTTTGTGTCAATCATCAGCGAGCAGCTAGTTGTACATGCACTTGTCATACCTGTGCGTCCGCGTCCGGTGCGATTCTTCGGCTATTCATCACGTTGTATATCATGACCTCACTGAAATCATCCATATCATGACTGTGCGTATGTAAAGAAGGATAGTAGTCGAGGAGAGGCTCGAACCACCTGTAAACCTACAAATGGTTAACATGATACCAATGTGGAGACCGAGATTAGAAAGTGTCACTGCGTACCTCAATAATCCCTTCCTTCATGGCATTGAGCGATGACCAGGCGTAGTCTAACAACCAACCAGACAACAGGGGAGTGGGTGCATCACTCGCATCATCCTGGGGTGACAGCCAGACAGCAATACGAGCTGTTATCCTATCATATTGTCGAATATTATCGTCCGATTCAGTGGGACCATTGCTGCCTTTCAACCACTTTGTTCGCAAGCTTGCTACGACGTTGTCACAGTATTCACCTAAAGCACACATGTATGCGTCAGTCTTTTCACCCACATAGTGAACTCGTGCGAAGGCTTCTTCAGCATGAGCATCGATTTCATGAAAAATATCATTGAATGTTGCAAGGTTCGACGCGCCCTGTGAGTTAGTGATCTGTTTCTTCCACTGGTCGATTTTTTTCCGAGCTGCGAGACCCTCGAGACTATCGTCATAAGACAGATCTAGGGTGGTTTTCACAGTCTTATAATCCGGGAAATCATCATCGGATGCCAATTTCTTCATGATTTCGGCCTGTGACACGATGAATCGAAGGTATAGCTTGGTATAGTCGCATCAGTAAATAGCAAGATAGTCAAACCATGAAACCTACCCCCATAACAGTGTCAATGGACTTCACCAGCCAACAGACAGAAAACTCTCGTCGCCCATGGAAGTGTGGGCCGAGCGGGAAAAGCTCAAGAGCCAGAACTAAGACGAGTTTTTCGTAACGGAGGACCTTCATGACACGTGAATTCCTGGGCCGTTCCGAGCTTCTGCATTCTTCGAGTTGCGCTGTAGCGCTCTCGTAAGACAGGTCATCTAGTGATGATTGGTGCGCCTGGAGAATTTCTTCGAGAATGGTGGTTAATACCGACTCCTCAGACATCCCGGTGTGGCAAAAAGAGATAAAGTACTACTACTACTGAGTTAGTACAGCCTGTGACGAGTTGGGTTGAACTTGTTTGGCAAAGGCTTCTGGTCTAAACAACCCTTTTGAGATCGCAAACCACCTTGCTTGGCTGTTGGGTTAAATATAAAGGTAAACAAAAGTCTAGGGCGAGTCGAACTAGTACTAGTGACTTGATACAGGTAAAAAAAAATGCAGTACTACGTGACATCATAGTAAGTAATCCTTCATTCTCAACTTCGATGCCTTTCACGAGTCTTTTACAGGTCGCAAATGAAAGTGAGGTGGTACTGACGAGGAGCAGTTTGAGGCAGTAGATTGTAGCGATCCATGGTACCTGCTGTTGGTGTTTGTGTGGACGATATATTAATAGTTGTACACTTGGACTGAACATGGATCGTTGATTTGTTTTACGGGGGCTTTTGTGTAGATTCGAACAGGTCCAGAAAAACATGGTAGGGGGCGGGTCGCGCAATCGTAGTAATTGAGTCACCAGGGAGGGCATGTATTCAAGTCGTGATACCTGCTTTGTGTACTTCTGCTCGTGGCGTACAAATATTATTAGTGAGCGAGGGTGTCGAGCAATTGTGGAATTGTGGGGAACAACAGTGAATTCAAAGGATATCTCCTATCGATCGTGGAGGGACAGAGAAGTACTAGTGCGACGTGCGTGAGTTGTTCGCCAACGTACTAAACGTCTGCTTTGGAGGAAATTATACGGTATCTGCTTATGCCTAGTATATATCATCAAGGTACAAACAACTTGAACTCCTCAGAGATCCCCGGTCGAGAGAAAGAAAAAACATAGCTATGAAATTTCTACGGTCCTGATAGTCCATCACGCTATGAACAGAAGCTATGTCTTTGACTTGTGCAATGATATCGTGATCCGATGCGATCCTCTTGTATTCTCCGGTACGCTGCCGCACTAGCAAAAATGCGCCGAAAGGTTGTCCGAGGCGAACGACCAATCGCAACTGCTCGTAAGTGAGATTCCGAATCAGGCGGCTCCTGTTCTGCGGGAGAACCGCCGGGAAATTCGTCCAACGGAGACTCGAGCACAGACCGAAAATCATCCTCGCTCTCCTGTATCATCTCCAACGTCAGGTAGCTCGAGGAGGCGATAATCCCATGGACGGATAAGTAAGAATGTCTGCAGAGGAGACCTTGACGGCGTGAACTGATTCAACGTCTCTTTCGTGGTGATGAGCAGGTCGTGAAGTCCGTCGGCTTTGACTTCGTATGTAAATGAGTCTCTTGGGGTGCGCCGTCATTCGGTCTGACTGACGTGACACGGAATGCGACGCAAGGCAGATGCAGTCTACAGTTTGCAAAGCGAGGAGAGCTCATATTGTCAAGTTGGTTATAAAGTTTTGAAGCCAACTCCATAGCCACAGTAGTTCGCAGCGAAGAGACCGCTGTCTGAATCTGGCGTTCAGACAAAGATGGGAGGGTACATGGGAGAGCTGCATAAGAGGAAATGTTGGCTGGAAGACAACTGTTGAACTCAGATCGTTGTCCAACCCAGTCCAGGGCAGTAATGTCGCCCGACTGTGCCACGATCTCCTGCAGCAGTCTCCCGAGCGCACCGTGCTTATTCTCGCCATAAAGGATGGGGAGTTGGACGCCAAAAATACCAAACAATGAGTATGCAATGTCTTCCGGCACTGTGGTGACGCGCCTAGACGCCCATTGCAGTTTCTCTCGGGCGTCTTTCATTCCCGGTTGAAAGGCTATGAGGGCCCGTGAATCTATGCCCGTCGCATCCTCCAACTCGTGCATGATCTCAAAGGTCTCCTTGTGGTTGGGGGACTCGTCATTGAGGTATAGAGACCAATCCTGTTGGTAGAAGCGAATGACTTTTGGAGCCAGGAATTCCGGAACAGTCCATCCTCGGGTATTCCAACTGCTCTGCGCCAGCGCACCAGGCTTGGCCAAAGGAGGGACATCCGACAAGTAGACGATCGTGAGTGCTGAATTGTGATACCAGGCAAACATGGAGTTGAGGGATTTTTGAAGCTCAACGTTGTTATGCTGGTCGATGCAACATGAATCAACCCACGCCCAGTGATACTCCGTCTTATGACGAACAATGTCAGCAGAATGACTGCAACTTCATGAGACCACCAGCTGCCTTCAACTCGTACACGACTTTGTCCTTGATATCGTGCAGCAATGGCTCCGTCCCTTCCCACCTATGCGACAGCATGACACAACGAAAATATGTTGCCACTGTTTCTGCGATGCGCTCCGGTTCGAGGATTGGATGCTTCATAGTTGATAACAGAAGCTCTTTATACTCTGTGCTCTCGGTGAAGGCGCTTATCTGCGCTTCTCGATCACATAAGAGCCCGGTGACGGCGTTGAGTAGACGAAGCGGGGCATTGTTGAGTTGACCGTCAATGACCTTTCGAATGACATGTCGTGCTTCGGAGGGACTGACATATTGGTCACGCAGCTCTGAGGAAAGAGTTGAGCATCTTGACACATGGGTTACTTGGGACTTACTTCGTATTTGTGCGTTGGAAGCACTGTCCAAGTTGGCGAGCATCATTTGGAAAGCCTCAATAGCTTCATCGTAGTGTTGTGCGCCATGAAGTGCTGCATACTTCAACTCATATCCAATGTGAGATGAAGGGGTGAGTTTGATGACCTATGCATCACTGAAGTGAGCATTGGAAAAAAATGGTAGATGTAATCGCACCTTTTGTGCATCAAGAATTGCATCCTCCCATAACTTTTTTTGCCGACCTAGCCTTACTACGATTTGCAAAGACGGTGTCGGTTGCAGAATTGAGGCCGATCACCACAGAGTATAATTTAATAGCTCTGTCGTAATCGCTTGCAGCGAGGGCAGCATCTCCGTCAGCAATATAGGGCGCTCTATATTCTTGCGTGAAAGCTGAACGAAATGCGGGTGAGGATCATAATGCGTGACATTGTGGACACCAGACTTGCCATGAGACCAGTCAATGCAGTTTGCCTTTGTAGTTTCATCGCTTATGTCCATCATGTGTCGGTACGAATCCATAGCTTCTTCAGTGTCTACCTGCCCAACGGAGTGCATTGCACCGCTTCTGGTGGGCATTTTGCCACAACGACTTCAGGTTCCATCCGAAGAGCTTCACAAAGCACAGAGTTCAGCGTGGAAAGGATGGTTGGATGAATTATATCAACATACCACCACCAGGTCATCATATATTGAATGAATGTCCAATTTTGACGAGAAAGTGCTGGCGTTAACAGCGGAAGTGAAGTGGTGAGCAGCGTCGTTGTGGTCCGCGGCATTGAGTCCGAGCTGAACACATAAATATGCCTGGTGTGCGAAGTTCAGATAAATATGTGCGAATCCACGAAACCCGGGCTTGATTAAGGTACTACTCACTTCAACGATATGACAAGCAAGAATATTGTCATATGGACAAGTGGTAGCTAGCTTGCGGACACGGAGAATTCCCTCCTCATGTCGACCTGCATTGAAAATAGCAATTGCCTAAAAACTGTAATGAAGCCTGAGCACGAAGCATGTAAAAAGAATTTAACGTGCCTTAACCAAGAGAAGGAAACAAATGGTTCTGGGATCTTCGTCCGTGAATATGAATGCGAGGTCAAATTCTGCCATCGCATCCCAGAGCTGCCCTTTTCCGCATAGGGCGATGCCCTTAGAGATATGACCTGCTAATGAGGGCTGGATGGTAATAGACTATGATGTCACAATGAAAGTTAGCTGTTCGTAAGGGAGCAATGATGGGACAGTCTGTCTCACTTTGATTGCATCCTCAATTGCATTGTCCCAGTCATGTTTTCGCGCCATAACAAGTGAACGGTTAGCATGCGAAGTGTAGTTATTGGCATCGGCGTCGATGTCTTGAGTGAATAACTGCTCAGCGGCAGACAAGTCCCCGCTAACTGCATGCATTGCGGGCGGCCGTGTTAATGGCGAGGATCTACATGAAGTATGCTCGAATTATGTTATGGTCAGAGTCAAGGATGGACACATGCCTTCGAATCAACTTCTTTGGGCACTTGCCACTCTGATATCATCTTATCTAAACCTCCGCTGAGGATGTGCTTGCCATCCACGGAGAAAGCGACACATGCTGCCCAGCCCAATGTGTGCCGGAAGATGGCAATGGTTTGTCGATCCGAGAGCCGCCAGATACGGACACAACTATCGTCAGATGCGGAAGCAACATGGGTGCTCGCAGGATGAAAGACAATGGTGTAGATAGTGCTAGTATGGCCTGTCCAGGGATCACCAACCTGCTCCCAAGTGGATGTATCCCACTCTCGTATGTTGGGATCATTATGATCGCCTCCCGAAAGAAGCCGTGTGCCATCGGGTGTCCACGCGAGTGACCAGTTCCATCCTGGATGAGCCTTGAAGTTTGCGACGTGTTTCCTCATGCCTGAATCATAAATTTGGATATTGATGTCTGTCGCGATGGCAAGAAGTTCGCCAGATGGCGAATACCGAACGCAGTTGACTCCACTACCACACAGGATTGGATCTCCCTGCATCTGCCATGATTTCGTGTTCCACAGTTTCGTCGTCTGGTCTTTTGAACCAGTAGCCAACACTGTACCATCGGGTGAAAAGTCCACCCCCCAGGTCTGGTGGGCATGGGTCTTGATAGCTTGGGTGAGCGAATCCCCAGTTTCTCCGTGCCAGGCGATGACCTCTCCGTTGTCATCACTGCTTGCTATCATTTTTCCGTCTCGTGATATCGCCAATGCCCGCACCACACTGTGATGCCCCTCCATCTTCTTCAACACTACAGCTGTCTTCAAATCCCACAGACGAAGCGTCTTGTCGAACGAGCCTGTGACCATTCGCCGTCCATCGGGAGAAACGCCTGCAGCGCGTACACCGTTTACATGATCTTTAAATGCTCGAAGGGGTGGAATGAGCTGTGACATTTTACTGGAAGTGGACCGTGTTGAGCACGTGGTCGAAGTCGATTTGGGTAGGGGTTAAGCTGCAGATGCGCGGGGTATTTGTGCATTTTTAGATTAGTATCAATTGGCAGGCATGAGTGCCCTTGGGCGTCTATGGAAACACGAGGCAGGTTGCGGAAGCAAGAGTAGTCCCAGTTGTCATAAGTCACAACGCGTCATCCTCGATCGCATCACACTAGCATAACATGTGCCTCTGCACATCGGTTCGACACGTATCTCGACACATCCCTAAATGCATCCGCTCGCATTCATGTGTGAGTACGGCCTGTCGAATATCATCTGGCCATCTATCCTGGATAGCCGCATGAATAAAGTCTTGTACTACATAGCGACGAAGCGCTTAAGTCTCGTTGAACCAGACAGTACTCGATCAGTGATCTCGAATTAGCATTCTCTTAACGCGTAGGTGACATCGGTGAGACCATATCTATTAACTGTATGCCATCAGCTTAACGTCCTCAACCTAAGGAATAACCTCAAATACTTGCTTACAATCCTGCCAAGTCGCAATGCACGCTCCAGTATATTGGCCAATCATTTTTTCGCAGCACATGCCTATGATAATTTCGATGTCAACCTCAAGAGGACAGTCACTACCACCGAAAAGTCACAGTGAAACATCATACCTCTGGGTTGTTTGTTCCGCTGCAGGATGGCGTCACGCATGCAGGCTTGAAATCTTCCTGTTGGTATGGGCTTTTGAGGCATTGAGACAATGCACGACAAAGACTTACTTCCATTGCACGAAGGGCCACCACATCTATCTGGCTCGTCACGATGCGGACCATTTCAATGCATGGAAATCTCTGCTTGACCTCTGCCATCACGGACCTGATTGCTTTTGTGGGTCAGAGAAGTAGTGGGTGATTCAATGATATAAATGCATTAGTAGATAGCCAGTAGTAGTTGCAATGAAACCTACAAATGTACCTACCCCCATAACATTGTCAATCCAGTCAGACAATGAAAAAATCTCGTCGCCCAAGGAAGTGTGGACCGAGTGGGAGAAGCTCAAGAGCCAGAACTAAGACGAGCTTTTCAAAGCCGAGGACTTTCACGAACCACGAAGCGTGAATCCCTGCGTCGCGAACTTTCAAGTTTCGCTTTAGCGCTCTCATAAGGCGAGTCATCCGGTGATGATTGGTGCGCGTGAAGAATTTATTCGAGAATGGTGGCCGGTACCGATCGCTCTTCAGACATCCCGGTGTTGCAAGCAGGTGCACGCTGTCAGAATGAAGTACCACTAAGTAAGTTACCTGATTCGGGTTGTTTGGCAAAGGCTTCTGGTCCAAACAACCCTTTCGAGATGGCAAAATTTGGGAAGGCAGCCTAAGCAGCTGCACCTGATGACTCCTCGTGACTGATAGTGCCATATTTTCGCTATTCTGCAAGCCATGGATTCGGACTCAGACGACTTCGAGGGAACTAGTGTTGTTCCCCGCGTGAACCGGTTCAAGGTACTTCAAACGTTCTCGAGCTCGTTGTTTTGATTGACTGTGCATCTTTTAGCACCAATCGTACAAGAAAAGCCTAAAGGAGGTCCATCTGCCATCTGCTCTTGACCTCACAAAGTTCGATCATGACATCCCGGTAAGTTCGACGTTACTTTCATCGATCCATGTAGATTGCTCATGCCGCGATCCAGGACAACGAATCCCACTTTTACCTAGCTCTTCAACAATGGCGACAACTCAATCTATCCCCAGCATTTATTCAGTTCGCGAAAAAGGTTGACCCACTCTCGATATCTATGCCCCTCCTCTTGCATAACTGGAAGGAAATTATTGACCTATGGAAAGGCGCTTTGGATGCATCAGACCATGAAGCTTTGAAAGCTCTACTCGAGTGCGCCCCTCACATTATTTCACGTTCTAATCTTCTCTAACCCCATTTACTCAGCCTCCTGGATAAGCTGGCTCACGATCTACGAACCACCCTTGCCCCATCATATGCTGATCTGCTAGAGGTTCTCTTGCGACTTCTGCCACAACCTATACCAGCACCTTCCCTCACAGCTCTCCTGGCGACACTTTCAGGACTATTCAGGTATCTTCTCGTACCGTCAATAAACCTTGATCTTTTGGACCAGACGTGGTCTTCTTTTCGTGCGGTACTTCCGACTTGCAATTCTGACGTTCAACGCGCCGCCGCCGAGGTATGGGGTTCCGTGCTCCGTCGGCTTAAGAGCGTTGCGAGGGAGAGAGCTGTGATTTTGATGGCAAAAAATCCGGAAGGTGTCGAGGACGCCAGTGCGTGGATGATAGTCTTTGCATGTAAAGTGCGTATTCTGCTCACCTCAAGTTGTTAATTTTAATAAGCCTGCAGTCTATTTCCCAAACCTTGCACACCAGTGCAGGTTCTTTGATGGCTACCCTCATTGACTGCCACCTGACAAGCGATTACCCCGACTTATCGTATACTCTCCTGCGGCGTGTGCTTACCGCCTTGATTCACCACTGTAACGGCTCGGAACATTTTTCGGTTGTCGCCAGCCTCATCGTTGATCGCTTCTGTGCCGTGTCGCAAGCTGAGGGCGCAAATCAACAGCAGCTTCAACGTGCCATGCAAATCACGTCCGTGGTCTGTGCAGTTCGTCAAGGTTCCCGTCTGTCCCGTCTGTACTTTTTATTTCTCCGTCTTGTGCACTCGTTGAAATTTTCGCCTGTAGCATCCCATCTAACACAGCTGGCCTCAAGACTGGGGTCACTGCCATTTGACGCGCTCCTACATCCCGAGATCTTGAGTTTCGCGTCTTCACTCCTCGCTGCTGGCGATATGGTAATGACCGCGGGGCCAGGACGCGCGTTTGTCGCTCGGGCTCTTAGCGTCCCTTCCTTCGGCTTGATGCTCTGTGGTGTTCTCGCGGAGCTAGGATGGGGTGGCTGGAAGCTTGTCGGACTACCTGCTCTTCTCAAAGCAACCCCTAGTCTCCTTCAGGCGGAGCCCTCCCTCACACTACGTCTTCTCGCATCTCTACAAAATACGGGAAAGCTGGGCGAGGTCGACATTGTCTTCAAACGAAGCGTAGATGGCTGGATACAATATCGCTTATCCACCTGGGAAGTTAATGAAGAATCGGTGGATGACTTATACAACATATTGGGTCTCTCCGTATTCGTCGACTCGCTGGCACCATTATTGGTGCACATCATTGAACGCTCGTTGAATACATCGACACCCGAGGAAGACTGGCAAACATCGCATGCCAATGCGGCCTGGGTGATCGGAACATGCATGCAAGCTTTGTCGCGATGCAAGTCATCATCCTGGGAAACGCAAGTGGATCTGTCCGTCTGGACGACGGAGGTTGTGGATCACTGGTCGTGGTCCGCGAAAGTATTGATGGGCCTCGTCGCGCTCCTCGAGACAAGGTACTTCCGTCACCTCATTCTGGTTTGTTTTTATTGACATGGGATAGCCCTTCTACATCCCAGTCTCTTCCAATCGCCCAACTATACTCCCGCCTGCAATCCCGGTTGCTTTCCCCCTCTCGACCATTGCGTTTAAATGTGTTGGGACTGTTGACGTCGAAGATGGTGAAATCTTCTCCCGCAGAACACGATGCGCTGAAGCGCTGCTTGCAAGGCGAAGAGGTGTCCCTTGATATGCATGGCGTACGCGAGCGCGTTCTCCGAATAGGTAGATTGTACCAGGTTGTGAGAGATGATGAACCACTTTCCGCTGATATCTGCGTTCGGTGGCTTGTTTGTACGTGTACTGTTTATTCACGCAGCACTTTGCTGATGAGCCATTGTAGCTCAACTGAAGGTCAATTTACGACCGATATGGTCTCCAGCGTCAGAAGCTCTCTCTTCTTTAGCCCAGAGGTTTGGCAATCTCGTCTGGGATATCATATTTTCGGAATTACAACAACCCCAGGGAGCCCAAGAAACTCCTAAATGGCTGACCGCCATCAAGGACGATGAGAATGACATGGATCCTTGGGAAGAAGAACGATCTTGGAGAGACCCTACCGCACATAAGCTTCGGGGTGCCGCTGCAAATTGGCTCGATAAGCATCACCACCGCAAAATCATCATTTCGGTAAGTCTTCTAAACGCTCGAACCAGTATCTTGTTAACGATAGGGCACAGGAACAAAAATCGTCCGATCGGTTCGATCCCGTCGCGTTTGAAGCTCAGGTTCTCCTCACTCTCGGACAATGCACATCTTTAGCGGAAAAACATAACCGCGAGTTGGTGACCTACTTCCTTTCTATCGCCGGCCCGGATGCTCTATCACGATTGCCGAAATATAAGCTTCAGTCGTGGTTGACGCTGTTCAGCAAGTTTGGCAATCCAAAGGCTCTGCACTCCACAGACACGCTGCGAGAACTGTACCGCTCCCTCATCTCCTACCCCGATCGGGCATTGCAAACGGTGTCCTTATCCTGCTTGCTCGCATATAAGTCGCCCCACCTCCAGCATCATGAGGAGAAGTTGCGCCTCCTCCTCGACGAAACTAAGTGGAGAGATGAGTTGACGTCTTTGCATTTGTCGTCGATAGAGATCAAGGACCGACCGCAGCTAGTGGATGTCATCGTTCGTCTGCTGTATGGGCTCATGTTGGAAAGGAAGGGTCGCTCTAGGGGTAGTGATCGCCGGGCTGCTGTGCTGACAGCATTGGCAGGATGCACAGACGAGGAACTCTCTCTTCTAGTGGATCTGATGTTGAAACCGATGCAGTCTGACAGCCATGCTTGCCAGGATGACATGTTCTCACTGCGCAATATTTCCTCGGACGTCTCATTGAAGCAGCAATCTGGTTACCTGACTTTGTTGGGTGACGTGCTGAAGAACCTTGGGTCGAGATTGACCACGTACTGGCCGGCTTTGCTCGGGACCACACTCGATCTGGTTGCTCATGCTCAGAAGCAGCTGTCGAATGTGACGGCAGCCGAGGCTATCGAGCAGGTGGAAAACGAAGCGGACGAAGAGGAGAGCGAAGTCGGAGAGGTAGTCCATTCCAGAGCCTTGCGTTCCGTGAGGCAACAAGGCCTCAAGCGGCTTGCCGATTTCTTTCGCTGCCCGGTCGAATTCGACTTCACACCCTATCTCTCCGCGTCATTTTCCGATATCGTTGCTCCACGTCTGGAGTTATTGGATCAAGAGAACACTCAAGCCCCTTCCGCGCTCATGGAATTGTTCTATATCTGGACCAGTCGGCCAGAGTATTCGGTGCACCTTGTACAACACGACCCTCGTGTACTGCCGAAGATTCTCGACTGCCTTGTCGCGGCCAACGTCAAGCCAGCAGTGATCAACAGAGTATTCGACATCGTAGAGCGCCTGCTGCTGTATTCTGCGGATGACAGTCAATTCCTGGATTTGCTCATTCAACCACATATATCGCAGTTGCTCAGGAACCTCACAACTTTGGTCGAACGCACGAAGGCTGATGCAGCGCTTTCAAGTCCTATCACTCAGCGCCAAATCAGCATACTTTCGGAGGTCGCTCGTTACGCTGCAGATTCTACGCAGGCCTTGACTCTACTCGGCCTTCTCTCCCCTTTGCTACGCAAGTCTAGCAGAATCATATCTGAGAAAGTCAAAGTCAAGCTTCTCAGCACCCTCGGTCATATATTCCCTCTACTCACTGAGCTGTCAAATTCCTCCTCCATCGAATTCTCCAAGGCGTATGAGCTTCTTTCACAGCTCTTTATGTCGCTTCGCTTCACTGCTTCTCGACTCGCTCTTACTTCAGCTTTCAATCAGCTCTCAGTGATCAATCCGAGTATTCAAGAGCTTGCAAGCCTGCTCGAATCACTCAACGCCTGCTCGTCGAAGCGAATCGATGAACCTGACTTTAATCGTCGGTTGACTGCGTTCACGCTGCTCAATGAGCAGAAGTACGCTACGCTATCATGCCGTGAATGGCTTCCTGTCCTTTCGAACGCACTATATTTTGTGCAGGACCCTGAGGAGCTGGCCATCCGCAACAACGCTGCTTTCACAATCAGACGTTTCATCGACCTTACATGCGACCCATCAAATCCAGAATTCGAGACGCTCCTCATGCGAACTGCCCTTCCGGCGCTCAAAAACGCCTTGAAGTCGAAGCACGAGCTTGTGCGTGCGGAGTCGCTCGGTGTTATTTCGTACGCTGTGTCAAAATGCGACAGAATCTCCTCACTGCAGGAGATGCGTCCTCTCCTTGCTGGTGGTGACGAGGAAGCTAGTTTCTTCACGAATATTCATCACATACAGATTCATCGTCGCACAAGGGCTTTGAGACGCCTTGCCGAGTACTGTGATGAGGGGGCCATGCGCAGCAGAACGCTAGTCGAAGTATTCCTTCCGCTCGTCGAGCATTACATTGTCCCAACGGCCTCCCTCGACCATCTCCTTGTTTCAGAAGCCATCAATACGATTGGGCGCATTGCGAAGTACCTCGGATGGAGTGCATACTCGACCCTTGTGCACAAGTATATCCGATCATCAAAAGACAAGAGTGAAGGCGTCCGCGTTTACGTCCGTGCTCTAGTCGCGATCCTGGAAAACTTCCACTTCTCCGTCGAAGACGCTGTGCAACACGTGGATCCATCGGCAGATGACATTGCAAACAGTGATCACGAAGGGTTGATAGATGAATTGCATATTCCTTCAGCTGATAAACAGGAGACTAAAAAAATCGCCGATGCCGTTCATACCCGCCTTTTGCCTTCGCTTTTGGCCTACCTCTCTAATCGTGACGAGACAGAGGACACCCTTCGTATCCCAATATCGATGGGTATTGCCAAGGTTGCCTTGCATTTACCTTCTGCCTCCCGAGATATGCAAGTGGGCAAGCTTCTGACAGTCCTCAGTCAGATATTGCGTAGCAGGTCACAAGAGACTCGCGACCTCGTGCGAGATACGATCTGCAGGATAGCTATCGCACTGGGCTCCCCTTACTTACCCGTCTTGTTGCGAGAACTCCGCGCAGCACTCCTGCGTGGACCGCAACTACACATCCTGGCATTTGTGTTCCACGCAGTGCTTACCCACGTCACGTCTGCGCAGGGCAGCAATGACCCTGCGATCCAAGATCTGGATGACTGTGCCGCGGATATCGCTCACGTCTCCGCAGAAGTAGTCTTTGGAGAGTCAGGAAAGGATGTGCAGCACGAAGACTTCCGGACGAAAATGCGAGAAGTACGCAGCAGTTCTTCCAAGGGACTCGATTGCTTCGGGCTGACAGCTCGATACGTTTCGCCCAAACGCATTAGTGCGCTCCTCCTGCCGCTTCGCTCCATCATTGCAGAAACGGGTTCGTTCAAAATCTTGCAGCAGGTCGACGAAGTTCTCAGACGTATTGCCAGTGGACTCAATAGCAATGCAAGGCTCACACCCGCTGAATTGTTGGTTCTGTGCAACACCCTGATCAGTCAAAACGCCAAGTTCTTGCAGGAAGTCACAAAGCCCAAAAAGAAGTCTAACAAGAAAGCTGATGCTATCGTGTCACTGCAACGCCGAATCGTCACGGACACCGACCATTATACGAATAATTCTTTCCGGTGAGCCTCATGCACGTACCTTATTTCTTTCTTCCTCATCAGGCACGGCAGTTTCGTCGTCTTCGGTTTGGAGCTCTTCAATACTGCGTTCCGACGCTCTCGTTTTGACTTCCAGGACAAGCAGATCATCAGTCGCCTGGATCCGCTCGTAAAGCTCATCGGAAATGCTCTTTATTCCTCCTCAGAACCAGTCCTCATCGCTTCTTTTAAGGCTTCGGCTAGCATCCTCCGATGTCCACTCAACTCAGTCTCATCGTCTGCACCCGTTATTGCCCGTCAAATACTCGCGATCGTCCGTTCTACTGGTAGTGGGGAGTCCGAAGTTGCTCAGGCTGGTCTCAAGGCCCTGGCAAGTATACTACGGGAGTGCGAAGCCGCTCAGGCTAAAGAGAAAGATTTGCTCTTCCTGATCGAATTCGTTTCACCATACCTCGAGGACCCCGACAGGCAAGGCACCGTTTTCGCGTTACTGAAAGCTGTTGTGGCACGACGACTGATTGTACCCGAGCTCTACGACGTTATGGCTGACGTCTCTGCTATCTTGGTCACGTCACAATCGGCACAGACTCGCGAGTCTGCTCGGTCCCTTCTCCTTCAGTTCCTCCTCGACTATCCTCAAGGTTCTGGAAGATTGCAGACCACACTTGGTTTCTTCGCCCGAAATCTTTCTTATGAACATGCATCAGGACGTTCAAGTGTTCTCGAACTTTTGGGCGCGCTTGTGTCCAAGTTCGACTCGGCATTGCTGGAAAAACACGCGGAGATGATCTTCGTTGCACTTGTACTATGTCTTGCCAACGACGAGGACAAGTCTTGCAGAGAAGCTTCTGCATCTGTCCTTCAAAGCTTGGTCAAAAGGTTAGGAGAGGGCGAGAGAAAAGTATTTGTTGGTCATCTGCATGCGTGGGCCAGTCAACAAGGACAGGAAAAACTTAGGGCAGTTGCGGTGCAGGTATACGGGCTCATCATCGACGCTTTACAGCGGGAAGCTTCCCCACATGCCGCAGCCCTGTTCGCCGATGTTCAACAGATCTTGGACAACAGTATTCGATCGCTGACTTTGTCTGATGGCGATGGAGAAGACATGGATGTTGACGTAGAATGGCAACCACCGTACCAGGCAATCCTCGCCGTCTCGAAGCTCCTGCAGACCTTACCTGAGCATACACTTGATGCGGTGAAATGTACCCAAGACAAACTCATCCCATATCTCCTCTTTCCACACGCTTGGGTTCGCACAGCAGCTTGTCGATTGTTTGGCGTGTTCTTCGCATTTCACGGCCCGACCCCTACTCTCGAGAATTCGCATCTTACCCTCCAGTTGATGAAAGATATCGCAGAGAAGCTATGCACGCAGTTGAAGAGCCCTCATCTCGACGCAAATCTTGGTCTACAGATCGTGAAGAACCTATTTTTCGTCGGAAAATTGTTCTGCACTGTCGCGTCCTCCTCGTCCTCAGGGAGTAATACCAACGATACAGCCGAAGCAGCTGAGACGGAATCGGACGGTGGTGAGAGTGATGATTCCGCGGAACGCCCTACGCAGATGAGTCCAGAAAAACGCTCTCAGGATCCTCTACCTTGGCTTTTCTCCAAGCTGTCGTACCAAGCTCGCTCAGCCCACATCGCACGGCGGAATCGCGGTAATACTTCTGTAAGTTCCGTTAATGTAATCATATTTATTGTCCTCTGACTTCCCTGTTTCAGAGTCAAACAACCTGGTCGCTCGCTCCCTTGTCCATTCTGCGCTTTTTCGCTGCGATGGCGTCTCACATGCCGGACAGTCAACTCGAGCGGTTCTTGCCTCACATACTTACACCTGTCTACCGCATAACGGAGGACGACACAATCCGGGATGCCGGAATGGGTACGCATATCGCTTCTTAAGCTGTTTATATACTCATGGCATTGCAGAGGAGCTGAAAGTTACGGCCACCGAACTTCTTGACTTACTTCAGAACAAAGTTGGCACGACGATTTTTGCCAATACGTACAACCGCATCAGGCAAGGCGCATCCAGTATTCAGCAAGAAAGAAGAGTTGCGCGGGCCACGAAGGTGCGTTGGGTTCTATTCATCATACACCTAATGCTTATCACTTCGGGCAGGCAACCACTAACCCAGAAGCCACTGCCAAGCGCAAATTAGCTCGAAATGCAGGCAAGAAGGAGAGTCGAAAGAGAAAGAACAGGGCTTTTGCGTAAGTGTCATATTAAGCTAGTTATTCATCAACTGAGTTGGACACCGATTTACAGCGACAGTAGAGGGAGGCTAAAGAGACGGAGAGAAGAAGAGTAACATCCTCAACGCTTATTCACCTGTGTCCTATTTAACTTAACATAGTCCATCGCATTGTTCCACACATCATTGCTTTGCTACCTGTCTTTGCAATAGTTCAGGATCGTCGGCATATCCAACAGGTGATGTTAACCAAATTCCAATCGACCAAATCAGAAGAATTGTAAGTCGGTGTCCGCACGCTGTTTAACTAGTTCGTTCTTGCTTGTATACAAGCATGCGTCGGGTGTCAAGTGCCGCAGCAGCCAACGTGGTGTCTCAGACCATATTGGCCAGATCCCGAGCGGGAAGTATACGAATGATGCAGGTGCACAGTGGTTGCCGCGATCGATGGATCACATGCCTAAGCATCTCGGATGATCTGGCGGTGCCACAAGGGAGGCTTGCTCACCGTCCAAATAGTACGACGATATCAATCAATGTCCAAGTCGACACAGAGTAATAGGGTAGTCTTCTGCAACAGGTACATAGTAGACACAGTGGTGGAAAGTCACGACGGTGGACTGCACGTCGGAGTTCGGATTACATAGTCCAACATGACAGGCATTGGCGCCAATCTGTGTACAGCCATCTACAAGCATGATACACACCTTACCCTCTGTCCACTATCATCACAACACACCATGGTGAGAGCAGAGCGAAAATTCGTCGACCTCATGCGCTCAATCAGCTCCTTCTGGTGCAACTGGTCTCCAGATGACCCAATCGAGGTCAGTATCGCATTAACGTACAACTGGCACGCTCACTAAAGGTCACAGGTCGGATCCTACGGCCGTTTCGACCTTGAAACAACACGATTTACCGTCCTTGGCAACATCTATGATACGGAATTCCAAGTCCTGCTCGATGCTGTCGATGGGAAGTTTAAGATGTCGGACCATCCGCCAGAGATGGATCCAGTAGAGCAGGATATGATTCTCACCTCTACGGGTGCCAGGAAACAACCCTTTGATCCAGGGGCAGATGGGTGAGTCCAGCTGAGAGGATCTTGTGATAATTGTCCTGACTGTCTACTAGCAAGATCCAGAACTTCCGCAAAGCTGAGTTCAAGACGAATTTCAAGTTCTTAGGCAATAGGCGAGCCGGCGTACTCGTCATGCACAAGCCTCGTCAGTATCATGTTCCCCATAACACAGTACTCGAGGTGCTGTACAGAATACCGGAGTTCAAAGGCCTGTGGATCGTTCCATCAGTCTACAAGTGCCGCGCATACAGTCTGTATCTGTCGAGTAAACGTATGTCGCTCCTGTACCAATATTTGGCTTGCGCTCATGTTGGCATATTAAGTCGATGAAACCGTCTCTTTGGCACTTCTTCCGTGTCAGGGAGGCAACGACCTTGAATGGTGGTCCAACTCTGACTCGGAGTACCTCCGCCAGGGCACCGACAAGCAATATTTCGTTGCACCACTCTTCGCCGCAAAACAAAAGCTCCCGTTGATCCGACGCTATATGCGCGATATGCCTACACCAGACCCCGAACCAAGCGATAAATTGTAGGTCCCCGTAGCATCTGCCAGGTTGATCGCACTTGCTCAATCGCAACATAGTTGGATAGATGGTTATCCAGGTTGGGAGCCCGTCGATGAGGATGGTTACGATGATCCTATATATGACGGGGTATGTGACTATTTCTCTCCAGTTTCACAAAACCTCACTTCTTGTCACTCCTACAGGATTATGAGCCGGTTATAGCGAGAGTGTGGCGACGCACCATGTGCAAATCCACGATTCGGTGGTGAATATACCACATTGGGACTTTTACTTTCATGTCCTTTGTGTATTTTACTAGTTTGTAGCTCAGTTCTGGATTGAATGGTCAGTGTTGTTCGCTAATTAGCGCAAGATGGACCCTTTGATCTATCTCGACTGAGCGAGGCAGGCCCAAATGTTCACCAAGAGACTACAGCGGAACTATGCATGGCCCACGGGCAGGGTGGTCCACAGCCTATGCTTGGCGTTCAATAGACGACCTGGAATGAGGGTACGGATCAATTGGTGATTCTCTTCAGTTTGAGCTCTCGTGTTCTAAGAGACTTCACAATATGTAACTACCATGTGACCAACATGCGACTAACAATCACACCGCGCGAAGTATTGTGGTATGCAACGCTGCACTTTTTTCATTAGGAGCGGGGTAATTATTGTACACTACGTGGAGATGTAGCAATTGATATCAAGTGCTTTAAGATGTTGAGTATGAAGGTATAACTTATTCTACGAGTAGAAGCCGACTAAAATGCCAGCAGTAAATAGGTATCACGAATTTTGCCGACGCCAGCGAGCAATCCAGCATCGTCCTACGCGAAGTTGTAAACATTATGAAGATTATGCAGTGGAGGTCCTTGCAGCGGCTTGGCCTATGAAAAAAGTATGCATAAGCCACTTGAACCGAAAGGCGCATACAAGCATGAACCTACAGGATAGACGACTTCATCCCGTGAAAGCCGAATTTGGTGTTGGGGTAGGTATCCCTGAAGCATAGTTCGGGTATAAGGTAGGGAGCTGACTACCTCTTCTGCAAGCAGGTGTCCCGGCTGCAAAACACTTGGTTCTGTCACCAAAGCACCACGCAGTCCACGACCTGCCTTGTCCTCCTCTCGAGCCCATTGGATACTGGCAGGATTAAAGTCTAGAATAAAAGCTGCAGGATGGGAACGTTCCTCAGAAATGCCAGCTCGGCCATCGCTGCGGTCTACGTTCGCAGAAAAAGCTATCCTATAGCCTTCTACATCCTGCAGGGGTTCTACGTCGTTTGGTGCACGGACTTCGTTGAACAAGAAAACTCGCGACATCCTGGGGCCCCACTCGCTCCAGAGCATTGTGCAGTCAGGAACATCGTTGGCGCGAGCGAAGGAAAGCAGCATCGCAACGTTGATAGCGATGTCTAATCGAGCCTTCTCAACATCCGTTGCAAGGGGTATCGACAAAGCCATGATTCCGCTGTTCGCGGAAAAGACTTCACGAGGGCGCTGATTGGATTGAAGAACCTGTTCCTGCAGCGCTCTCGGTAGTACCATACGACTAAGTGATATGGATACCCGGTTCTCGATACGGGGTAATCGCAAAGATAAGCGGAGTGTCACGCAAGCAGACGAAGAGAGCTGGCTTGGCAAAGTGATTTCGTAAAGACGGAGTATTAGTTGGGATGGGTTCAGGTCCAAGGTTTTATGAATGACGGCGAGTGTACGAGAGTTTATAAAATTAAAATCGTCGACTTTGTCGGGATGAAAGCCCGCCTTAGGCCATTGCCAGTTAATTCAAGTTAATTTTTGGGTCGGAAGAGTGCATACCAATTTAAACAATACGCCGGTTTTCCAGTTGCAAAGAAAGAGTATGTTGACTTGCGCTTCCAGTTGTTTTGAGGATAGATCCGTCGTTAGCACCGCACACCAGGGACCAAGTATTCTTAGACCATGGGCATGGAGCGGGGCAGAGCGATATTCCAGGGGACTAATTTTGCTTGTGAGGAGAACACGAGTTGGACTAGCAGCTGCTGAATGCGGAGACATCCCTCTCAATGAGAGGAAGCACAGATAGGACACGCCTGTTCTGAAAAAGAATTCGTCAAGGATATTCAATTAAAGGTGGGTGAATAACCACTTACCCAAGGTGCATCCGAAGGAGAACAAGAAGGTCCTGCAGCACATCAGCGGCATGGAATCGAGTAACCTCGTCGGTTCGGCCACGGTATGTTGAATGTTCCACCGTGTCCCCGTGGACAATAGTTGATGCGACTTGCCTAGACACATACAAGACTATCTTTCGAGAGTAGCTAGTAAAGTGGCTTTCATTTAAGGTTGAACGGCAGGATGAAGTGATTGGGCGCATTGTCCTCCACCTATTTTCCCTGCACCTGAGGGAAGCCAGTGCCTGCGGAAAGGACGCGGTTGATGATGCAGACGCAGGATTATACTCTAGACCTTCTTGATTGAGTTCCTGAAGGTATTGAACGCGAACTAGTTCGCAGATAGTTCTGAGTTGTTTGCACGTCTGCGAGAGGGTCAGTCAGATACGAGCATACCGGGAGATGCGAGGGCAGCTACCTTGGAGATACTCTCGAGATCACTCATAGGTGTCAGGTCGAGCAAATATGTAAGCACATCGTCGGGGAGGTGAAGAATATGGGACGTATCAGGCATTGGCGAAACTGGGCGACGTCCAAAGGTTGTTGGAGACCTCATCATCAGGTCGAAATTTTTCCCTTCGCACTAGGGTAGAGAAGCAACGGGCCTAAATCGGTTTAGGACAGGTATCCAACCCCTGGAGGACAGCTTGGATAGGTCTGGACAGCATCTTCCGCTGGATTTCGTCGGGTAATATAAAATCCATGATGTCCATCATGATCATGACGTGTAAATTTGGAACTGCTCAAAAAGCAAATCAAAATCATATCTGTAACATATGAAGACAATCATAGCTAGTTATATTCCTGCTCCTGTCAAGCCCGTTTAGCTCAGTGGTAGAGCGCGCCACTCGTAATGGTGAGGTCGGTTGTTCAATCCAGCCAGTGGGCAAGTATTTGAGTCACTTTTTTTTTTTTTTGGCTCTTCAGCGAATTTTATGTTAGTGGCCTGAACACGACGTCAAACTCACATTCAGTGATAGTTTCCGGAGACGGGGAGCTGATCAGACTGCTGCTTCCCGTGAGCACACTAGTAAGTGACTCGAGTACGTTCTACTCCCACTACGGTTCTCGAACTCACCAAACTCCCTTTCTGCCGTGCTCTTCCCTTTGAGTACCCCGCACTAGTCTTCCGAAATCTCCTTTCCTAGTCGTAGCCCTTGTATTCATCTCTGCTCCTAATCTTGGAGCTCTGATTTCACCCTCCTGCAGCAACCTATACACATCTATGACATCTCTATTGCTTTTCCGTATCCTCCTGCACTCGACCTTCTTTCCTCCTGGCCGGCTTTTCACCCCTTATATTCCTTTGTCAGTGCTCCACTTGCTCTCACGATGAATTCCATCATTGCAGAGTCTCCTCGTTTTCTAACTTTCCACACCTCTATTCTCATTGGGCAATCGTCTCGTCCACTCCAAAGGTCGCCCTCTGATTTGAGTCAAACTACAATTAATATCATCTGAATCCTATCCGAGTTCTTCCGTTCGCGTGTCCTCCACATCAACAAATGTGTCCTCCACTGGCACGCCTTCCATTTCTGTCGAACCATCCTGCTCTTCTAGTAACCCCCTCCGAATCTAAATATATATATCCTGCCCTTTGATGTGTTACTACCTGGTATCAATGAATGACCTCGCGGCTTACTCACTTGGCCATCCACCCATAACTCTTATCTGATAATCCCAACTTCCACCTGGGACACTCCTTTTTATACCTCCTCTAAGCGCCCAGCAAAAGTTTCTCCTTCATCCACGTCTTTGCTCGCATGTTTAGGCACTGGCAGTCCTGGTTGTTTCGGCCCGCTCGGACACCTCATCATGAACTGCTCCCGATGTTGGGCACGCACATTCTACACAAATCTAATTTCGTTTGTCTGGTTCCTTCGTAATATTGCCAAAGTGAACCGTCCGAGGGTCATTACACGCCTCTTTCTTGTTTTATGTGTACCTCTCACCACTTTTGACTGACGTAGCATACCACCTCTTACCCAGCACGGAATGTTGTCTACGACACAACTGTATATTAACGCGGTAGCCAAACATTGTCAATCGAGGAATTGAACTCACTTCCCTACAGTAAGTCTCACACTCCTCAGCCCATCAGACTTGCCGTATTGATGCGACTCGTGAACTCTGTCCGTTCATCTGACTAATATTTGCGTTTGACCCTTGGACTGTGACCTTCCCTGCCCGTGTAGGACGGAAGCGCTGGATTGAGTACGCAGCTTCACATTTAGCTGACGAAGGAGAGCTGTCGAGTGAGGTGACAACGTGCCATCCCGAGCCCAGTCGTAAGATTCTCGGATCCATCCGACATCAATTCCGCACTGTGAGACGGTGAGGTATAAGATATTGTGATGAAGGAGTATCAAAAACAGCATTGTTTACCATGACATTGATAGGCTGATTTACGGGATGATTGTAAGTACTTATTATCACCTGTGGGGAGTATTCTGATAGGGGGTTGGGGTGGTGCAACTGGCCGAGGCAAGACAAGAATGTCTGACCATTCTTGTAACAGATAGTGTATAAGTATTGGCGTACACCCGGCTGTCTGCAGACGAACATTTCTCCTCCTTTTAGGTGTCTCGTCTCCCCCACCTCTTCACATCGCGGTCAGCAAACATTCCCATCCTTCAAAGTTTCTGTATGCGGACAAGACTGGATCGTAACTGTGATCTGGTCCTTCTGCTTATACCCATTTTTAAGCTGGCCGTTCACCTGATGCCATCGCTAGCACGTCAACCGAGAACATTGAGCTGCACAATGTCCAGAAAGCACTTACGGTGTTATAAATACAGAATGCGTGTGAGCCGTCGCTCGGCCTGTATCTGCCGGACTATCAGTCACTTTGTTCAATGAAGATGTGTGGGTGCGACGCACTCGCAAAATGTGGTCTGGATGTGGGCGATTGGGTCCCTCAAATATAGATTCACGACACTACTGTCGACCTTCAATGTACTTGGGCAGGATACACACGCATTGGCGCCAGCGAGGAAGCCGAGAAGCACAAACACCATGGAACGGGAAGTAAACATCATGGTGTTTGTGGAAGGGAATGAGGCAAAGTCATAGTAGCAGGCAAGTATTTTATAGGCAAAAACTTTACGTTAGGCAAAAAGAGTTGAGCCAAAATGTATGATAAATCTCCGCAGACTCAAGAAGAACTGTGAATGTCATGGGAAGATGTGGCAATTACTCAAAGGGACATATGCGGCACGATGGGGTGGTGGGGCACGAATGAATCTCCAGTTCCTGGGCAACCTTGGCTTCGCGTTGCTCGGCAGATATACGGTCCGTGGTGAACAAGACGGAAGGCATGAGCAGGATCATCAGTAAGGCCGATGTGGATCGTGGACGTGCAGGGTCTTTCCCGAGGACACGGGGCGGCAAGGGGTACCAAGCTGAAGAATAGCTATCACGTGGGTGTACACGTGGTTACCAAGACCTCGGCGCAGGATGGATGTACAAGTATTTGACAAGTGTCTCCTCAGCGTCCTGACTTAGGTAGATGATTGTTACTTATCAGCATGGATTTACATGACGCCGGCAACGAAACTCACCAAGTAAAGTAAAGTTACAACGAGATGAAGGATATGAAGTCAAGATTTGTTCAATGGACGTTCAAGTTGTATCCACTCGTAAATGCGGACTGGGTCATCGGGTACGTTGCATTGTACTGGTACCCGCAGCCTTCAAAGTAGTCCCAGCCATTGAAAAACTCTTCGACTTGCGAGCACTGACTTCGAACAGTCTAATGGCGTGCTACACCAGGATCAGGGTGATGTAACGCAGTCTATACAGGCAAAGAATTCCAAAACGTACTAGTAGCACGCTAGGATGATGGTGATGTGGCGCAGTATTGCCAAAACGTTGGGGGAGAAGTTGATTTTCTAGAAGCCAATCGTTGTCTGAAGCGCGAGGCCTTTGGGTTCGAACCTTCTTTGCGAGTGTTCTCCCTGCATCTGATAATATTGGGTGTACATTGTGTACTTCCTTTACGGGAGACGTGAGAAGACACTCTCATGACAAATGAAATATAGAGACACAAGTCCAGGATACCCTGCAATTAATTTTTCTATCGGTCGGCCGCCTGGTCCCGCAAGTTCGAGTGGGTCGTCGCCTCAAACAAAACGGCAGCGGCAACTAAGATCTTTGAGGACTTCTGTCCTACCAGGGACAATCTACTTAGTATAATTCTAAATGCTCCAGCAACGAATGGGAACCTAAGTGCTTGGTGAATATGACCGTAAACAGAATAGGAAATTTTACTGCGGAAGTTGAAATCAGTGGTAGTGTCTCGACCGATCGCCGATGCAAATCGAAGACAAGATCTAGAAGAACACACCTGGACCCTGATCGCTACTCGCGAGACACGCAAGGCGGATTTCTGAAATGCATGCCTGGTGAGGTGGGCCTGCATAACGGAGTATGTCAGGGTGTATGTGGGTACGGTGGTTGAGAATGGCCCGGCATATGGGCATGCGTCCCTCGAAGGTAAGGTGTCGGAGGAGGACGGAGAAGAAGAAATGAGATAGGGCAGATGCGCATGAAGCAAGGACGGACGCAGCATCAGAGTGGTCAGATGTGGTGGCGTATAGAGAAGCAACGAGATCGTGGATGAGGGAGACGACAGTTTGGCGGGTTTGTTTGGTGTGATCAGTAGGAAGTAGGGACAACCATCAACTTGTCGTTGAGGCCGAACACGAGGCTGTCGGTCGCGTAGACGTAGATGATGGAGTGATAGGGCGGGTTTCTCATATGTGGTGGCAGCGGATAAAAGGCGGCGAGTCCACTTCGATATGGGTGGGATCAATAGCCATCGAGGTGTTTGTCAAGCATGACCATCTCGGCGCTGCTCAACGCGTTGCAGAACACGGTGGAGCTATATAGTGAGAGGAGCGCGTGAGATGCTGGGTATGCAAACGGCTGCGCAATATAGGCGCCTAATGGACGATTGAATAGAGATTGCAAACGGTGCCGATGGCAGAGGAGATCAACATGATGGCGGGGAGTATTCTTGCTGCAGGCTTAATGGAGGCAAACCCTTACGCCCTGGGCGCCTATGGAAACACGAGGCAAGTTATAATAATGCAGAGAAACAGCACGAAACCCACAGTAAACGCACCTCTACAGTTTAGAGCAAGACACCCATAATCCCTCCATTCACATTCACCTCAACCGTCTTCAATACCATCCGGCTCCAGAAAAATGTCGCAGCTTAGTCCAAACACCGCCCCCCTTCGAGTTTTTAAAGATCATACACACAACATACTCGCTGTAGCAGTTTTCCCCGATAGATGTCGGATGGTCACGGGCTCGTATGACAAGACACTTCTTCTATGGGACTTGAGGACAGGTGTGGTGTTAAAGAAGATAGAGGGGCATCGCGGTGGGGTGCTGGCATTAGCGGTATCAAAAGATGGGAAGATGATAGCAAGCGGTGATGATGACGGAGAGATCATCGCCTGGCACGGAGAAACTGGGCAATCACTCACCCAACCTACTTCCAATATTGGCCACTCCAAGCGAATCTGGGTGTTGGAATTTTCTCCCGATGGTACAGTACTTGCCACTGGTTCAGCAGATGGAATGATGAAACTGTGGAGCACGAAAACCTGGCAGATGCAAGGAAATCCAATAGAGTGTGGTAGTGAAGTCAATTGCATTCGGTATTCGCCATCCGGCGAACATCTTGCTATTGCAACAGACTTCCATATCGAAATCCTGAGTTCAGGTGCGAGGGAACGCGTCGCAAATTTCAAGGGTCACACAGAAAGCAACTTGTCACTCGCGTGGACGCCCGATGGCACACGTCTTCTCACAGGGTGCGATGAGTACGATCCCAGCATCCGCGAGTGGGATACATCCACCTGGAAGCAGGTCGGTGATCCCTGGAAAGGACATACTCGCCACATCTGGGCCATTGACATTCATCCTGCGGGCACACTCGTTGCTTCGGCATCTTCTGACAACCATGTCCGTCTCTGGCGGCTCTCAGATGGACAAACCATTGCCATCTACCAGCATTCAGCCCCGCTTTCTTGCGTCACTTTCTCCATAGACGGAAAGCACATCCTCAGCGGAGGCCATGATACGATGATCTCAGAGTGGGAGGTACCCAAAGATGCTTTGCCAGAGGAAGCTCCCGAGATGCTGGCGTTAAAGGTACTTACCCGTTGATTTCCCGTCACTTCACCATCTCATCTCGCGGCTTTTTCATCCCAAGACCCGAGACTCTGATGCAAAGGCATGTTTATACCTTTCACTCATATAATGTAATGCGAGCATTTACATGCAGATCCTCATTATCACCACGACCGCCCGCAATGCATGCATCGCGGGGGACTTGTCTGCGGCGGAAGAAATACTCACGCAAGAGATCGACGCTGATGCCAACAATCATACCTCTTACGCCAATCGCTCGCTCGTTATGGCACGCAAACTCGACTGGGACCGTGCACTTCAGGATGCAACCAAGGTGACAATAACCCATTATGCCCCCTTAAAATATGCTGACTTTTTATCGTGACATAGTCCCTCAGCATACGTCCCTCGTTGACAGGCTATGTTGCCAAAGGTATCGCCCTCTGTGGGACACAGCAGCTCTGGGACGCGATGAAAGTGTTCGACCTCGCGTTCACGTTTACGTTCACAGACGGAGATTCGAAGACAAACCACCTGCTGTTCTTAATCAAGGTCTGTAATTTTTTCGATTCATACACTATTTGTCCTTACGATTTTCAGGCCATCGCATTGTTCAATGTAAATCGCCATGAAGAGGCAATGCTGCCTATCCAAGAGCTGACTACCCATCCCAATCCCGATCCTCTCGTTTCTCGTGTCGTAGAAGTAAGTATTGTGCACTCATACGAGCACAAGTTTGTGTCACTGACTTTTCTTCGCACATCAGGCGTATTTGCGAGTCCAGTTGGGAACTATTGCCATGGACGCCGCCCTTCACAAAGAAGCCGCTGACCACTTTACAGCAGCTGTCAACGCTGGCATTTTCTATTCCAAGTTTGATATTCATTCCATGTACGAGGACTTTGTCGTGGTAAGTTGATATGCTACAACCGAACATAATTTTTATGCTCAACTGCATGCTTGTGCAGCTTTTCGGCTGGGATCTAAAGTCCTTGTGGCAAATCGCAAACCAGCAACGCTACCATGCACTCTTTCGGGCAGGTCAAATTGGTGAAGCCCTGGAAGCATACCGGTACATGATGGACATGAGTGATGAGACCACGAGGGCCATCTTCCTTGCTTGGGTCAAAAGTACGTCTTTAGTAATGTTACCCATGCCACGATTCTCACCCTTTCACTCAGCTCTTAATGAACAATGAAGTGCACTCTACGCCACACACGATGATGTCTTGTTGCGAGTACGAATTCATTGATTTATGAGAGTCACGTGCCTTTATGTTCCATGAAGGTGGCGACTTCCATGATATCTCCTTGGCTGAGGGCGTACTTCTGTCATGCACCTTCCGAACCCTGATGATGCCCCCGTTACTGTGCACAGTGTTTAGTGTCGACTTGTAAGTAGAGGAATGGCTTACTGAACCAGACTTTTGGAGAGGACATTGTAACTCGTTCACGAAATGATGGTTCTCTCTGCTTCGGTCGCGGCTTTTATGCCATTTTCTCGTGCGCAGGGTCATATCACAATCATACCCTGGTCGGAAACATTTGTAAGATACATTGATCATTGGAACGCCTGAATGTGCGCTCACATGCTTTCACCGTCTAGACACCCCAAGCCATTCCCCTATGTCGTCACCTGTCTGTCACCACAGCGAGAAGCGCTCCTTCGCGAAGCAGGCTCAGAAAGCTAGTTCCCGTAATAATGATTCCCCCCTAGATTAGAGTCTCTTGAAGTCAACTGGAAATTATTTTCGCACTAGTAGCAGAATCAATATGTTACCGGGGTGTGGAGGGTGTTGAACGAAAATAGTGCTGCAATCGTGTTTGGCGAGAATATGTTCATACATGTGAACGCGGAAAAAGGAAAACAAGTCCATGTATGACAAGCGGAGTCCCATAACGAAAGTAAGTCAAAGCCAATGCACCACATCAATCCGATCTGCAGATTCATCCCACAGTAAATGTCGAAGAATCACCCGTGAACGCCGATATACGGCCCAGGATCGACTTTGCATCACCGTAGTACGTTATTTTGTATGTTCCTGCTGGGGTTCCATCCTCGATGGTCCTGCACAAGTTAAGTATCAGCAACTGCGCAGGTATCGTGCCTGAAAAACTCACCATCGAACATCGACTGTACTCGTGCCGAGCACCTGGATTGACATCAATAAAGGAATATGCGTCTTGCATTTGAAAACGTACCGTGCTCGTCCGATCCCACTGGTACGTCGTCGAGGGATGCGAATCTGTTTTCACTACCACCCACTCACCCTTCACTTGTTGCTCGATGGTGAAGAACGTTCCCTCTAGCCTCAGGTTATTCTGATGATTTTATGGTCGGGTCAGAACGAAAAATGAAAGGGAATCCATTAGCGAGGGGGGTGAAAGACCTACCCGTGGGTTAGCCCCGACGAATCGCACAGCTACAGTATCTCCCATATGATATGCACTACTCCTGACATCGACGAGGGACGTCTCCAAAGTGCTTGAAAATGGGAGGATTGTCGACAATCACCGATTTCTGTGAATAAAGAGTTGAACAATACACTATGCCAAGTGAGACGTGCAGACTCACCTGTAACGAGATCGCCTTACTCGTCTGTTCCAGAGGAGCTGCATGTGATGACGGTGCCCCAGTGGCATTATCCGCGAGATATGGAACAAGCTCGCTGTATCTGTTGATATATGCATCGAGCGTGGCTTACAATCCGTCAATACACGATTTCCTGCAAAAACGCCCAGAGCATAAACTTACTAGGTCCATATAATGTGCTTGCACCTTCGTATCGCTGCACACCATACTCCTCGCGCGTCGTAACATAATGTCCGTACGTGTTTGCAGGACCTGCAACCACCACATATGCCCTCTCGTCCAGAACACCCTCCGAAATCAGCTTCGCCCTCAGTGCCTCCCTGGAAAAAGAACAGAAATCTGTCAACAACTCAACCCAGGCCCAGGAGAAACCCACCTCATCCTCCTCCCCGCCATAGTCGTCAACTCCCCTGGCATCACAAGTATCACGAACTGCCCCACCCTCAACATCTGCACGTCCACCGTCCCGGGCGACCATTCGTATGGCTCATGGGCATGCCCCGAATTTAGTAATATGGGCTTCGGGTGCTGACAAGCAATTTGCTCTTCTGACGGGGTTGGGGTGATGAACTTTTTGACGATTTCCCAGAAGGGGTTTTGGGAGTGGGAGGAGTTGGACCCTTGGATGAAGTCAAAGGCGCCGGGACCATCACTGTTGGATGGGTTATGAGATGGAAGTGAGAATGGTGTCAAGCGGGATGGGCTTACGTGGTTCCGCCCGCAAAAGAGTAACCTAAGATGAATTGGCTCAAGAGGAGGCCATGACGGAAGAAGAGAAACACACTGACCAAGAGCAGGTGGGCATGTCCTCGCAAGCGTCCCGTTCGGCAACGCAAACGTGTAATTCGTCCTTCAACCGTCTCAGTCTCACGACCACTTCGAAAGGAGATGGATAGGATACAACTTACATATCGAGATAAACATGCACGCTCTTCACACTCCCGCTCACCAAGGTCATATTGTTGCCCTCCATCACGGTCCGTGCAGCTTCAAACTGCGCCTGCCCAATGATCCTATTGGACTCAAAATCTGAAATGCGGAAGCCAGGGACCCCTTTATATCAAGAGAAGAAATGTCAGTCCGTGTTTTGGTGAAAGCAATGAAAAGACGACCAAAGAAGAAAGGCTGCTACACGGTAGCCTTGTCCTGATCTCGCAACTGCACGGCTCCATGCTGCTCTGATACATTAATCGAGAACAATATCAAGCAGCACTTGCGCAGGTCACAAGTGACCAAAGTAATAATGCAATTGGAAAGCAAATGAACAACACAAAGCATTGCGATAATGACGGAGACGCAAAGTAATCAAAGGTATGTATGTAATGGAAGATCAGCGAGTAAGTTGCCTGTTGCTGTGACCAGAGGGCGTCAGCGTCACGAGCACAAGACAACATACTCGCTGGCGCGACCGGAGTGGGACACTCGAGATGGTCATTCGAGCGCGAAGAATGAAAACGAACAAGCAACCAAATAAATGGAAAGGAAGAAAGGAAGAACTCACCGTCCGTGACAGTCCTCGGTTCGGTTACCGCATGTCGAGTGCTCGAACTCGCAAGGTTGACCATCCCATGGTTTTCCGGGTGACTCGCAGTAGGCGCCCAGGCTATTAGAGTCGAATAAGGGCGAAGTAGATATATGCGTGAAAATGAAGGCCAGATGATCGATTATGCGGTTGTAGAAGGAGAAAAAAGCATATATGTGCATTGAAGTGGGGAATATGATGAAAATTAAGTCGTTACGTCTTCAACAGAAAGCTCACGTATTCGGGGTTGTGTCACCCACGTTGGCTTCAAGTGCCTTGTCTCAGAATAAGGGAAAGAAGAGGGGATGGTGACTCACATTGGACGAACCCTGCAACAAAGGAGTTGTTGCCAGGCATCGAGGACGGTTCGATGTATGCTACTGAAGCATTAAATTTGCCAAATGTGGGTGGGGAGAAACTTACATTCATACATCCCCGCTGCCATACCCTTGTTGTCACCGCTCACCAAGGTGTTGTTCTACCGCCCCCTAAGACTTCAAATCTAGCATATTAACACTCACGCACCTCATACAAGCTTGTCCCATGCACCGGGAAAAAGCTCAGCAGTCCCCTCGCACCTCCGTTTGCGTTTTCAAAACCAAGTACCGTCACCGTCCGGTCTTGATCCCCTTCATACATCGCCCTCTCCCACTCCGGATTTGCCAAGTACGCACTTGGGCTCCGATTCCGGTTCGCATTGTGCAGCGTCGTATTTCCCAGCTTCAGATTTCCCGGCATGAGTGAGTTGTGCGCAGCTGCGATGGCTTTGAGAGTACCGGAGATGATGGCGGTTGCGGTAGCGTTGATGTATCCAAGGGAGGTGACTTGTGGGAGGAGGTTCTCGAGATAGCCGCCAACACCGCTATGGGCATGAGTTCCGACAAGGGCGGTGTTGGAGGGCGTGTAGAGATCTCCGTAGAGCGATGCAAGGGAAGAGAGAAGGGCTCGTCGGATGCCGGTGTCGCCCATGCAGATGTCTGTTTGTCAGGGTGGGGCTGAGTTTAAGGGTATGAACTGGGTACGGATGACGCACCAGAATTAATGAAGAGAACACGAGCAGAGGGGTTGGAAGCGTCGGCAACGATAAACGCGCGGCTGCGCTGGCGCATGTGAAGGCCTGTGTCTGTTTGTGGGAGGGACGCGTAACCCTGATGCGCTACTTGAGTGGTAGGACATTGGAGGTGGAGCGGAACGTACCATCATGTTTGTCTCGACAACTGGGCTGCTCCAAGTATCACGAGGGGTACTATGAATAAAAGCAAGAGTGGCGAACGTACCCAGTAACATCTCCAATACCTGTAGCGCAGACTGTCAGTACGCTCTCTTAAACTGCAATTATGAGCTCACCGAGCCCGATGAGATACTCCCCACTGCTGCTGCTACCACCTTGGGCCTCAACGGCCGGCGAACTACTAGCTGCAAAGAACGCGACTAGATATATGACGAATGCACGCATGACGTCATGAATCCAGTTGAATGGAAAGGCAGAATCTGCGAGTGCTGTTGAGAATGAGGGGATGTACATCTTTGCGTTGGTTCATGCGAGGTCTTTATGATCGAATTTACACCTGGCGAATCTTGTGAGCATATGCTTTGTGGATACTACGAACATACTGTACTTGACACTGGAACGGGGTTTGTGATGGTTAGTAGATGAAAAGCGATGTTCGACTTCAAATGCCGTATGAGACGGAGTTGGTAGTGGGCGTGCGAGCCTCGAGGTCAGGAAAAGTATCTCCATTAACCCTGAGCTCAATGTTATCGGCGTCGACGCGGATCAGTCATATACTTATCAGTGACTCTCTGGAAATGCAGCGTTGGTTCAGCGCTCGATAAATTTCTCGGGCCTCGGCAGCATTACATAATTGTGAATTCTCATGTCATGTCAATGATCAGCGTTGCGCATGCTCATGTAAGTTTCAAGTTTCAAGCTAGTTTAACTGAGATCACCTCCAGGTGGTTTAACAGAGGTAGAAGTTTTAGAGGAGCGGCTGAAGTGGCCGTGCCCCGATGTCACTTGAATGTTCCGCTCATCCGTCATACTTGATCGTTTTATTACTATGATCTGCACTTTCATCAAGAGCATCGTCAACTCATTATTGGGTTACTCAAAAGAGCTGCTCGATAGACAAACGACGAGCTGGACTGCGACGTTCTTATCCTCTTGTTCAGGCCCAAATCGAATCTGGTGTTCATGACAATCGTCAGTTCGGGGCACCGGTCCCTCCAACTCGCCCTCTTACCCCACTTCCGCTATTATCTTGTCGCTTTTCCGATACTGATGCTCTTTCTTCGATGGGTTGAGTCGAGGATTGCGGAAACGGAGCTTAGGGGCATGATGCAGAATTATCCTGATGTTGCATGAGAAACCTTATAACTCAAGATCTGTGTGTACGACAATCGGGATCTAGCAAACACTTGTAAGGGACTGTTGAGCATGTTGCGGAGGGTGCAGCAATTTCCAAGGAGGTCACTGCTCAATGCTCTGCATTCGGAAGTCAAGTTTTTTTTCGATTTCACGGCGAGGTAAGTACATCAAACTTAGTTAGGGATCTACGCAACACACGACCCCTTAAAGTTAACCAAACAACGCACGATTCACTGCATCGACAAGCTCGTCGTTTCCGACGCCCTTTGATACGAATGGCTCGAGGCCTATAGCCTGACGCCCTTGCCTAGTGGTGATATCCTGCAGTGTAGCTCGTCCTGTGAATGTAGATTCGCCCGAGCCTCCGGGGAAGTCACTGCCAGCGTTAAGCATTTAGCGTCACGAGAATCGCTCGTGATGAAAGACGTACGGTGAGGGAAGACCGTGCACGAAATTAGCTCGCTGGTCCCGAAGGTATGATGCGCTAAGTAAGGTAGACATTTAGTCGAGCTCAGACTGACGGTCACGGACGACTCACTTTTCGAGGCAAAGCGGAACTGCAGGAATGTAGAGAATTGACGAATCCTGTTGACCACCGTGAATCTTTTCAACAGCATGTACGACGTCGCAGTGCCCTGTCCGTGCGAACAAGCAACAAGTGTGCACAGACAGTGAAGAAATACGTAGAGAATGTAAGGAAACACATACAGTAAACCTGATCACCAGGCTGGACCTCCGGAATGCTCGTCATGGTCTCGCCGAGTCTCAGATGAGGGTGTGTTTCTTCGTTAAATTCCTGTGTCTTCCCTAGCACGCTACCTGGAAACGAGTTGCTATCTAAGTCCAGCTCCCACTCGCCACCCGCAGGGCCAAGACGGAAGAAAGGACGAAGAATTATGTACGCCGTTGCGAGGGAGAGCATCGGAAGTACGCGAAGTGTACCCTCGCCGACGCCGGTCGTGGAAAGTGAGGTCCATCCCTGCCAACAACGGAGGACGGAACATTGATTCCTTTGGGCTTCGTGAGCGTAGCGTATATAAAGGAGAGCACGATTGTCTCACGATGCGCTGTATAAATTATGCGTTGCGTTCATGCGCGAGGAAACGTCAAATGGGTCGTATGATCTCCAACCCGTTCCGCCTTCTAAGATTCGACGGAAAACCCTACGGAATGCAGGATCCTCCCAGTGCTCAACACTGCCACCGTCGATATGAGGGCCAATTGAAAACGAGGTGTCACCAGGAGTACGAATGCGCAAGCGATCGAAATAACTAATAGGGGTACTAAAGTCGACGTGCTTATCCGATGGGTCGTGCCAAAGCTGGAGGAGCTCCTGCTGAGTACGAAGAATGGCTGGATGAGTACGCGCCGCGATTTGTGGTTTACTGTTATAGAGCTCGTATACTTGGATATCGTGCGCTGGAAAGCCTGCAACACGATGTTGGGCCATCGAAAGAAGAGTGAAATAAAAGTACAGACCTTTGACGGGGTTTGCGGCGATATATTCCTTCACCGATGCTTTCCACTGTGACGCTTCCTGTGCGACTGCTCATCAACAAACTAATATCGCGGTAATATAGTAAACAGACCTCTCTTGGCACTGCGCCGGTGACTACGACAACACCAGCTTTCTTGACGTCTTCCTTTTGAGCGTCAGACAAACCACGTTCAATGTCAGTGAACGACACGCGGGGAATGGCCTATTTCCCTGTCAGTTTGGATCATGCACAGAAACAATTTGATATGTGCACATACTTTTCCCCCTAGCCTGACAATCTCCTCAGTTCGTTCTTCCAACGCAGCCAGGACCTCTTTCCAGGCTTGCACAATGCTTGCATTGGTCGCGCCCATCTCGATGAGCACGTCCTTCTTCAACTGAGCGAAACGATCTGGAAGTGGTGCAATTTCACTACCACCTAGGGTCGTGAAAACGTCCGCGATCGTGCCTTCTTCGTTGGCTACGCGCTTCGTCTGTGAGGCTGCCCCCATCATTGTGCGGGAGTGGGTGCGAGAAAGTAACTGACTGCTGAGAAAAGATCGTACGTGAATAACAATTGGCACGATGATGCAGGAGGCAGGTGCAAGGACCACCACTGATTGTTAAGGAGAGCGTTCAAGCTCCGATTATATATCGCCAATGACTGGGCGATTAATGTTTGGTTAACGTCATGAAGAAGTTCAAGTGCGGGGCAACTGATCTGCTTCGTGAGTGATTCTCCGAGGTTTACCCAGAGTCCTTCAGGGGTATCCGAATCCAGCGTGCTGCATTCAGGTGTAGCGTACAACGTTTGACGTATCTCTGTGGGTGAAAATTTTGCTGATTAAGTAGAGAGCGTCGACCACCGTGAGCCCAGGCTCGAAACAGTGGTTGGAGAGAGACTGGTTATGCACATTGCACATGCAATGCTGCAGATTTTCAGTAATTTTATGAGATAAGAATCAATGCTCACTGAATTAATCCTGGACAGTGATAGTAAAGTCCGTTGGACGTAGGCTACTGCATTGGATGTGCATGGATTTCCCAACGTTACAGTTTGCAAACTCATCGGAATTCAAAGAGCCAAGCGGCATCATAGAAGTGAACTTGTTGATGAGTCGTAAGTTATTACCAGGCTCGGTCGAGACTCGAAGCTGATCATCAGGTTCTTCAAGAATCGGAATCATATCCTGATTCCTGATAGACAATCGTTCAGAGAGAAACAGGTCGGAGGACTAGTCCTGGTGTTCAAAAGTTACTAGTATGCGTGGGATACTAGAAAGAAGTTTAACTCGGTGCTACTCGGTGCCTTTTCTCTCGTCAAAAATTTAGCTGTGCCAATGATTCGCTTCGATCGAACGATAAACAAGTTGCGCAGGTGACTTCGAAGTCCATCGTAGAGTTCACTGGGCTTCAAGTCCTACAGACGAAGCGTCTTATCGTCCGAGCCCGTGACCACACGTTGTCTGCCAGGAAAACTGCGATTGCGGTTACGGGCCTCTCATGATCTCTAAACCCTCGATCAGGTATGGGCTTGTAATGAGCTGCGGCATTTTATTGGAGGTCGACGGTGTGGAAGACGGCCGAGGTTGGCTTGGGTGGAGGGATCGTAGCTCTACGCTGCACAGGTGCGTGTACTGTGCGTTTTTGTGCTGCTTCACCGCATTAACCTGTCTCGTGTTTTTATATACACCCAGGATATTAGAGGCTGTCTACCTCCACGCCCGTATTAAGGCTGCCGCAAGAATGTTCCCCTCTATCACCTACGCCTTCCCCGATAATGTGACCCTCGTTGTGCCTCTGCACATGACTCCAACTTGTATCTCCACAGCTTTCAAAATGTATCACCTCGCCTCAAATTGGATATACAGTGCAGCCGGTCCCCCCAAGATAGCTACTAGTGCTCAAGGCTTGTCGAATGGCATTTTATAGTACTACCCTCCAAATGTGTACGTTGCTCACAATCATCCAGCTGTGCTCGTCGATGCAACATCTACTATGAACTTTTATCAAAATTTTGGCCGATGTTCCTCTTATGTTGAGTTTCGTTTCCAGCGTCAGTGAACCCATGCCGCTGACTGACAATCGTCACACTAAGTCAGGATACTAGGGAGACACTGGAACAACCGTTGAACCCGGGTATATCTCATGACACGCCGAATGTTTCCAATCTCCCCTCTCGCTTTGATGCAGCGATAAGGTGAGTTTTTTTTTGCTTTACGGATCTCATACTCTTAACTTTTTTTTATCGCGAGCTTCTCGGAATCAGCCTACTTTGGTTCTCTGAATCTTCCGATGCAACTCTCCTGGCCTCTACTAGTATTTCATCCATCCTACTTCGAGGTCTTGGTAACCACACCCAAGCGATAGCTATCTTCAGCCTGGTACCCCTTGCCGCCCCATATTTTCGGCAGAAAGCCCTGGCACGTCCACGATCGACATCGGCCTTATTGATGATCCTGATCATACCTTCCGTGACGGTACCCAGGCCTCGGCTTTGCGGCTATAAAAATTTCCGGACGGCGGTGACGGCCCTGCATGACCTACAATATTTCGGAATTTCCATCAGGCCAACTGAGGGACTTTCTAATAGTGTTATAAACAGTTAATAACCGGGAGTATTTACCACCTGTTTATAAACGTCGACTTTTCAACCATATCCTACGAAGTTCCGTCTTGTCGATCACGAACCTTCTGTGGAAGACCAAAACTCAAACGTTGCGCACGAGTTTTGGCATCTATGGGATGACCGTGCTGAGCTCCATCGATTCAAGGATGGTCATGTTACAGAGAGTGTTTGGGGAAATCACAACATCCGATGAACGTGCACATATCTGACGACCAACACGAAGCCAGGGCATCCGGAGATTCATTCGTGCCCCCGAGATTCTTAACTAATCAATCAAGAAAGTTACCGAAGTACGTGATTCTGCGTTCCAAAATCCGTGCATCCAGTCTCAGATGAAGTTCTGCCTTCTAAACTGCGTGATGGCGGCGTCAAAAACCGCCGTACCTAGCACCATGCTGAGGCATATAAAACCCTTATTTCGACTTGGCACATACCCCAGTCGACCATCCTTCGTCTCTGCTACCAGCCCGGATCACGATCCACCCACACTTTTTCAACATGTTCAACAAGTCCGCTCTTTTGATCCTCGTCACTGCTGCTTTTGCAGTTGCCCTTCCCACGGACCCCATTCCTAATTTTACCTCCAACGTCAAGCCGCCATCTCTCGCGCGTCGCGCTGAGTCGTGCTCTTCTAACTACACCTTGATATACTGCCGGAAAGTCCTGGAGGCGGACAATAGTTTCATCCAGACACTGCTCCAGAGCATGGGAGTAGACACTTCGGTTACTGGCCCATTGGGTTTGTCCTGCTCGGCTGCAAAGACGACTGATTAGTGAGTTCTTTTCTTTTTTTCTCCTTTCAAGTTGGTTGACGTTGCTCGTTAGCATCAACCCCCTGTGCAGCCAGACTATAGAAAAGGGCTTAGCAATGAACTGTGTAGAGGCTCTGGTGACCAGAGGCGAGCGGACGCGACGAAAGAGCTGATAGAAGATATGTTATCTTAGTCTGTGGTATGGGACTCGTGGTAGGAGTAACGTACCTGATAGAAAATATATTCTACGGGTATGCCAGTGTTAGTTCATTGTAAAGTAACGGAGGACATAAAGGGTTACATCTCCATCTGTGGTAAGGGACTGAGATGTTCGTACGGGGGAACTCATAGCCTTATACTAGGTTAGCATAGTGATAGGAAGTTTACTGTAACATAGGAAATGACACTTGGAATACGGTGCATTTTCATAGGCGCCCAGGACATGAGCGTTTTCTTCGAGTCTATCATTAAGTAGTAGGCGCCAACCGTTGGCTCCATTCGATATTTACCATCTGGCGAACATCTCGCCATCGCAACATCTAAATTTCTAACTTAGGGGCATCAGTAAACCGGTGAGACTCAAATATTAGTAGATTTTGCAGTATTTTGTAAGCCCAATGCTTCTTTCCTGTATATTACGATACAAAGTAATATATAGCAATCTAAAGCAATGTAATCATGCTAATTCACGCTTGGTTCAGACTAATATATTACTTTACATTACTTTATATTACTTTATATTGTTTTATAACGTCATGTATAGGAAAGACCATTTCGGCGTACAAAATATGGGAATATCGGTGACTCACCGATTTACTGATGCGCCACTCACCAGACTTTGATGCAAATTTACCAATGGTGGATTATCATTGGAAAGAGCAAATATCCGACGATATTCAGGCAAATAATTGCCAATATCTTGAGGAGCCGAAAATCGTCGGAATGAGCCCTTATCTGACACTTTTTGACGGCAAAAAATTGTGATTCTCCCTAATTATTCACCTGTCAAAAAGTTTTCTGTATGTAGCCTAATACAGCATATTCCCCTGCAACGTGCCTCCTTCCTCCTTCTGCAATGATCAGAGCCCTCTGTGGCAAGCCTGTACTGCTGAGCAAGCTCCTGAGCATCCAGACGAGCCCACTGAAGCCATTGTGACGTGCAATTCAACCCTTGGGCAGCAACACAACAATCTCCATTACCATGCCTCCTCGTAAGCCTCAGGTTGCCTCACACAACGCACTTGGCCAGGAAACGAGCCCAGAAGAGAGTCAAGGGGCTGGGGACAAGGCTGCGCACAAGAGGAAGCTGGATGACAGAGCTGGAGATGTGTCAACAGCCTCCAAACGTGGTAGGAAGGCTCTGATGCAGCCACGGACCACAGGTGGGTTTAAAAACCCGTTTGCAGCACTCAAATCAGCGTCAGCACCTCTGGTTGATTGTAAGACGGCACCAGTAGCTCACCTAGTTCCTCCGGATTCCATCCCGCCTCATCTGCCACAGTCATTCAACACTATGTTGCCACCGGACCAGCGTTACGATGCATATATGCATCCTGATGCGATGGAGGCAAAGCTGTCAGAAGTAAACAATCATCCATCTGGACCTGCAGACAGACCTATCGATCCTGCACTTGAGGCACCACATGAGCTAGACACACCATCACTGATACAAGGCTACGACCCTGACACCGAGAGAATGCCGCCTCCTGCTACGAACCAATCAATCCCATCCGCATTAGCGAGTGCTGCAATCATCAAGAGTCCATTTGGTACCTTGTCTACACGTCCGATTGGCACCAATCCCTTTAACATGTTGTCGAGCTCTACACATCTGACTGGCACCAATCCTTTTAACATGTTGTCGAGCACCTGAGAGCGATCTGCGATGCCACAAAACACCAATTCAATTTCACCGACACTGACGAGTTCATCACTCACATTGTCTGCAGCTTTTATGACTCCAGATGGCTCGCATTCATCATCTGTAGCCTCATGTGTATCAGCAACCAGTAGACAGGGTGCAGGAACTCCGAGTCTCACCAAACCGACCACTGGCATGCGAGCTGTCATCCTGAAGTGGCTTATGGACACAATCACACACCTGGAGAATGAAATGAAGGCTCTGAAGGAGAAGCAGGATGAAGCTACTGACATCATAGATGAACAAGCTCGTGAGATAGATAAGCTTCGCCTGGAGCTTCAAATACTACACAATGAACACAATCAGCTCAGAGAAGACGTCGAAAAAACACGCACATCGCTCAATTCCGTCTCTTCAAACATTGACGTGATTACCAAATCGCTTGAAGGAAGTAGTGAGCCATCCAAATCCAAGGCAGCACAGGCGGTTAGTGACAATTCAAAGGATAATATCTGGAATGTGAGTGATTGAGGGAGAGTTAAACAGCACTCACTTACATTGTCGATAGACGGGAGTCCACAAATGTTTCTTGAAAGGCATTGGTATTACAAAACCATCAGCAATAAAGGCCTGCCATCCGCATGACGACGGCATACAAATCAAAGGGGACCAAGTTCGGCCTGACTTTAGCAAAGACTGGAGTGAAAACGCATCATGGCACACCCACCTTGTGCAGTACATCAAGCACAATATCAGATCATGCCATCCAATTGTTTCCCAGGATCTTCTCGCTTCAAAAACGGATGAAGACATCCTCAAGTGCCTCCACAAAAACTTCAAGTATTACGCAGCAGAGTACTGCAGTGCCAACAAAATCTCGTTAACAACAGGAAAAGTAAAAGGAAAGATTGACTCACGAGTAGCACGACACGAAGCACGCAAACGAGCCGTAAGTTTCTCATAAGCTTCGCATACATTAACTGACTTTCTTGGAGAAATTGGAGGAGCGTAACCATGTGCGACCTGCATCAAGCCTCATGTCCGCTGCATGGGATTATGTGTTCCAGTTAGCGTATCAGAGCACCAATGAGAGCATGCCATCAGAGGATGAGTGTGGGGGAATTGACCCGGACACAGATGAGGAAAAGGATGTTCGCAAGAAGCCACCAGCAAAGGCCAAGGGTAAGCAAAAAGCGCCATCAAAAGAACCATGGATTACGCACTGTGAAAATTACTGGTCATTGTTGGTGCATATTCCACAAGTATGTGACGAACACACAGCTGAATCGGATCAGTTCAATCAAGCCATGGATCACCTCAATGGCCTCGCACTTGAGGACAAAAAATTCAGCCATCGTCATCCACGCATCATTGGTGATCCACGCGATCAAGAGTTGCCGTATGTTAAGATGGGTCCGAAGATACCCCTTGGTGCGATCGATCCTGAGTGGCTACATGCGCACCCTCAAGACCCATCGAGGTACAATGGAAGAATTGGTATGTCACTGCTACTGCATTACCTGCACGTAAATTAATGAATTGATGACATTAAAATGAAGTTATGGCAGGCACACCTGAACAAGCCTATGGCTTGAATGACGAGGGATTAGCGGACGATGAAAGAGAACCACTAGCCAACGAGGATGACGAGGACTTGTACAATGCCTAGTAACCCACAGACAGTATAGACTTCTTGCACGACCACAGCTGTATCATGCCAAAAAGATATTGTATCAGTAAAGAACAAGCCGTAGTACATGTTAATTCAGTCATTGTCGATGTCGACGTCCTCTTCTGGGTTGCCCTAGCATATGAGGCTGTTAGTACAAGTTGATCAGATGACGAAATGAGACACATACATGATCATACATGACTGTGATCCAAAGCATTTGGTTACGTACCTTGATTGGAGCAAGGACTGAAGTGCCCACTCAAGGCACTGATAGGAACCGCCTCTAAATCACCAAGCTGGTCTGCATACCATGCAGAAACTCCCAAATCTGTTGCCCTTGAAACGGTAAACATGTGGTAGTGCAAAAATAGAATCTGCTTACCACAGCGCCCATGGAAACTCGGGTATGTTGTCATCCGAAATGAAATGTCGTACAATGGCAAGATCGGCAATGAGGGGTGCTGCATCAGCGACACATCTATCATGTGAGACTCATAGTAGGTATTGAATCTCCACAGGATGGCGTCCATTGATGTATGCATAATGGGCAGATTTCCCTCGATGAGCAGTCGCAGAACCATACCAAAGTCCCCATAACCACAAATGAGAGTATGATCTAGCATTGCCCATAAAGTTTTTGCCATCTCCCATGATGTTGGTAGAAGTCTTGAGATGGACTGATTGCGCTCCACTTGTTGCGCAGGTACTCGTATGTGATCTGATATACGTCATTGCTGATTGCCAATAGATTGAGCTTCTTCGGGTGCTTAGTGAAAGTGACATTGTCTGGGTATCAAAGACGGATGAGTCATTGATAAACTCAGCAAGTCAAAGAAGATACAACAGACCTCCCACAGACATTTAGGCAATCTTTTTGTTGTGTCTTCAGGGACATCTGAAGAAGCCGCAGGGAGTCTTCGTCATCCTCAGTTCGGTTCGGAAGAGCTTCAATGTGAAGGATCTGGTACGTAGATAGTTAGTCTAGTAACGAGGAAAATAGTGTAAGGCAACGTACAAGCTCGTAATTGAACGTGATGCTCCACCATTGTCGCATCAGTGTAGCTTTGAGTTCTCCTCCTTTATGCTGGTTGTGATTGATCTTTGCGAGCTTGCCATTATGTCGCTCAAATGCAAAAGCCCACGTCGCGTAACAGGGCCCGAATTCGTACATCTGCTGTTCAAAGTGATTAACAAAATGAAAGTACGGAGTCAGGTGACATCCCATGCGAGCCCAGCTCTGTGTGGCATGAGATAATGCTGCACGTCCTCTGCAAACATTGTCTGGACTGATAGATTGAGATGATAGGATGCACACCGCGGCAGAGAACTCGAGGATTACAGCATAATGTTGACGTAAATTACAGTCCATCTTTGCGGAGTTAACGCGATTGGTTTCAGCATCAGAGGGATGTGTGTTGCAAGCAAGCAGATGCTCCAAAAGCCGCGAGCGTAGAGTTCTCTGCATTGTGGCTTGGGCAGTGAAGTTTTTGGTATTAGACGCTGAGGGAGGTGCATCATGATCTGGGATCTCGCTGTCGACTGCCCACGCATCATACAGAGCAACAAAAAGGACCGCAATTTGATTGCGCCACTGATCCACCTTGGGTGATCCCTTACCAGTTGAAAGCTATGAACCAGATTATTATGTGGACAACGAAGAGTAAATAACACACTGACTGAAGGTGGTAGGCGATTTGCTTCGACTGGCCGAACAAGCCCCGAAAAAAAGGCCTCAAGTCGGTCCATTGGCTTGACAAGTCTCGTTCCGTTGAGTAAACCAGACTTGATGAGGATGATCCTGTTAAGATGCTTTACCAAACCTTTGATATATCAGTAACGAATTGCAACTTCAAGCCTTGAAACTTACCCAAAAACACAGCATGCATGAACTCAACGACGGAGCTACGAGCAGGCATCCAACCCAGAAGGTAATTGAGGGCAGACCAATGGACACCTCGATTCTCATGAATGGCGTCAACCGTTGCAGAGTCTGCATTACGTAGACGAAATGAATACTTGATATACCTCCAGTCGTCTCGGTCCTTGAAGTCTATGTAAGCAAATGTTAGCGGTTATTGAGCAGTGTATCGCCGCAGTGAGATATGTACTTGATGGATCGAAACAACTAGGGTGAGCAAGCGAGAAGGAAGGTGTTTTACATGTTGGACACATGAAGAACTTTGAACTATGACCTTGGAGGCCAGTCACTTTGCGACTCGACGGGAGATCAGATATGTTACAGTACAGATGAGAGTGTGACACCTCCGGATCATCATGACCATGAACGGTGAATTCTACTCCTGTAGGACATCAATTGATAACAGTTATGAAGATTATCGACAACTTACCCTTTTCCAAACGAAGCATACTCTCCACAAACGGTTCTAAGAGATAGTTCATCTCCTCTAACGACGGCTCGTCGGGACCTGGCATAACCATAACGAGGATTGTTTCTTCCAGAAGATAACGAATAGAGCGTGGATTGTTGCAGATAACAGCATAAAATGCGCCCGTGGAATGATAGCCCGATTTTCCTTTGACCGCTTGAAACCTGTAACAATTAGCACCTAGTGTAAGTATCAAATCAGAGAGGGTGAAAGATGTGAAAGACATACCAGTCAATATTGATCTGCCAGACCAGTCCGCAAGGTAGCGAAACGAAGCGTTGATGAAGTTCATGCACGTCTACATCCTCTATTTCCCAGCGCCCACCTCTTTGACGCTCTAGCCCCACCTTGATCATACTGCCAGCCATATTCCATCATAGATGTCCCTCATTGGCTTAGACGGGTCAGGAAATGAATCATATCCACAACCACGAATAGGAGGGACATGTCCCGGCTGGTCTTCAGGGCTGCGCCAGTGCTGGAATTGGTCCCATTTGCCTGGTCGTAGAAGAAATTGCTGTAGAGCCCGTTCAGGAGGTACATATGGGACGATTTTTGTTGGAGTTCATTTGAGGGTGCCATTGGCGAGTCATTTCGAGGTGTACAATGATCCGTCACAATCAGCGACAGTGCAATCAGGGGAAAGTAGCTCAGAAAGCTCTAATGGATGGTGTAGCTTCCAACAGATATCGCATATGAAAAAATAAACAATAAATTGATCTGTTGATAGACCAAGTCATCTGAGAAGAGTAGGGAGCATGCAGGCAAAGTTATCGAGCCCCAGATACTCGATATCAGGGTTGGCCTGTTGAGCAGTGCGCAGAAGGCGCTCCTTTCCTTCAAGATCGTGATATACCGCCACGTGAGTAGCATTATAAAAAGCGGCAGATATAAATGCATGTATGTATGCATTGCGGACTGCCGGGTGGTCATTCATGCATGACGGAGGGTCAGCATGAATATCCGCTGCTTCTTGGACATCCGAGAAATCAAACTGGGTGCCCTGTGATACAAAGAGATCAATAGCGGCGGCAGCCTCATCCTCACGAGGGACACCATCACTGTCCTCGGGAACAGCGCCAGGATCATCATCGGGAACAGCAGGATCTTCCGCATTATCCTCTGGTGCGTTGGACCGTCCAAGTCGCTGAAATATTTCTTCATCGTCATCAGTGCTGAAGTCATCTGGGCCTTGAATGTTGGGGGGTTCATTCCACATCTCGAAGAGGTTGTCTAGCAGCTCAGGAGGGTCAAAGTTCACTTCCCCATTATCATCACCATGCGCGAATGGTTCGTCAGCTCCAAAGGGCTCATGTGCAGGTAGGTCATGCCCAGAAGCGACATCTTCAACTGGTTCAGCGGCACGAGCATCGCAAAGCTGCTGATCAGCATCATGGTGTCTTGCGGCTGTCTGAACGGCCTGTAGCTTCTGACCACTTTCATCAGGATTATCTCTACATCTGTAGCTCTCACAAGAGCACCACACATATGACAGCCTGGGCATCTGGAGACCCAGTAGGAGGACGTGGAAGCTGAGCAATGGTTGATGTTGCAGTGAGTAAGCACTGCGCAGCGCACACGCGTTAACATTGACTGCGGCGCCCGCGATTAATTCTCTAAGTCTCGAACAAGTAACCAACTGTAGATTATCGGGAGATACGAGTTACACGTTTTCGCCAACTGAGTTTCGTCGGAATTTCAAATTTTCACCCATTCTCGCCGGCAAATATTTTGCATCAAAGTCTGGTGCACTAGGCGCGTTGTAAACTTCAAATACTTAGCCTGTGTCACTTTCTCCATGGATAGTAAGTATGCAACGTATTCGTGATAGAACAATGTCTGCTGTTCGTTTTATTATCGTGAGTCAATACATTATGCGCTCTTGTGATTCATTTGCTTATTGTACTACTGAGTCCTTTGATCGCCTTGACCTACAGCCGTTTTCGTTCATATGGTTTCAGTTACCTTTACGGTACACACAAGATCACCTCCATCTATTTATTGTCTGCGTTCTTCATACTCTCACCTATCATTCTTATAAGCTCATCCTCAGTGGAGGTGCTGATTATATCAGTGGGCACTTCCCATTCTGTTATTAGAGTGGAAAGTACCCACTGAAGTTGCTTGGCCGTCAAAAGTACTTTGCCTCTTATTTACTGCCCCTTCCACATCTCATCTCGTGTCTTTTCATTCCGAGGCTCAAGACTCTAATTCAAAGGCATGTTTTCATCCGTCACTCGTATAACGTGATTCGCGCATCTTTCATGCACATCCTCGCCATCACCACGACCGCCCGCAGTGCATTCATTGCAGGAGACTTGTCCACTGCTGCCACACAAGAGATCACCACTGTGTACCTCCTATTCCAATCGCTCGCTCGTTATGGCACGCAAACTCGACTCGGAACGTGCACTTCATGATTCAAGTAAGGCGAATTAGGCTAACATTGATTATGACATAGTCCCTCGACAGGTTATGTTGTCAAAGGTACGCTTACATGGTTCTTGCATACTCCATGCCCCATTACGATTTCCAGGCTTTCATTTGCGTTGAAAAATGAGATGATATTAATGGCTGATGAAATGAAAGGTATCGGACGAAATTCACATCTGTTCAGCTCCTTCCTGTCATCAGACATCCCGACCACACCGCAATTTACGCATAGCTCGCATCATCTACCGCAACCAAGTGCACATTGTAAGGCAATTCCATCACCTGACACGGATCATTTTGCACTGACGCAACTACAGAATTACCTGCTCTTACATTCAAATAAGAAGAATCTCGACCACTCCGAATTAAAATTTGATTCAACCAAAAACTCTTGCTGTCTTTGCTCCCGGGTCTGCTCGGGTGTTGGACCCAACAATATGAGGGGTGCAATGTGCGTAAGGTGGACGGGAAAAAAATGGCGACCTAGAACGCTACGCATCGCATAGCGAAAATGGCGATGCTAGTTCTACCACCTGGCAATTTACAGCCTGCTTTGCATACCTCGCATCCTCTACCGTAACCAATTACTCACCAAAACGCAAATCGCTTTGAATCGAAGCATTGCCTGCTCGTACGTATGACGATCTCCATATACCTACACGGTATTGAGTGGAATTGACTGTTTGCTGACCTTCTCCCGCGTGCGTTCCGGAAACCGGGGGATTTGTGCTAGACACAGTATCCAGAACACACCTTACGCTATGATAGCCAGTACAATAAATATCATCAGCCCCCACGCAACACAACAAAGACAGAATGCACCTTGGAGTAGTAATCCCAGGTTCCAGCACGTTGAATACGGACCCGTCGGATGGGAGGTTTCTGGGACAGTTCAAAGATTGAAGGAAGGTCGTGAGAGGCTGTTTTGCGGGGTGTGTGGGGGCAGGTGTTGAGGTACGTGGTTGATGCGAGGATGAGGGCCTTGAGTGAGAGTTGGGACTGGGGAAGACAATAAAAGTAAGTCTGATATTGGTGACGGACGGAACACATCGATACCGAGTCTTCTACCGACAAAAGAGGGCGGGCTGTGCTCCATGAGACTAAGTGCAACTTTCCAGGTCTCGCTCCCTGCACCACGAACAGAGAGACTAGATGAGGGAAAGGGAGTAGGGGAGGAGAAGAACGTGAGAGACCATATGCGCCTCACGGCAGAGGAAGTGAGCGAGGATGAGAATAGGATGATGCGCTCACATTGAGCAATTCGGTGCGAGCATCATTAGGAATAAGGGAGACCCATGAATTTGTCGTTGATGACGAGAAAGAAGCTGACGGACGGGTTGGCGCAGGTGATAGAGTACTAGTAGGGCGGTGTTTCTCGTCTATGATGGCAGAGGTAGACGAAGAGGCGATCATGTCGTAGGAGGCAATTCTACCTCAACATCGGCATCATCCTAGTCCCACCAAGGTATTTGTCGAGAACGCTATCTCGGCGATGCTAAACTCATTGTAGAATACCGTGGAGTTATATAGTGAGAGATCACCAGTGAGCTGCAGGCTACGCAGAAAAGATAAGCGCCTCCTGAGTCCTTGATTTTTTGATGGGGATTGCGAACAACACCAGCGAAAGCTATAGATGTGCTGATGCCACAGGAGATGATAACGAGGAATATCCTTGCTCCAGCCTCAAACCCTCGTGACCTGGGCGTTTATGGAAACACGAGGCAAGTTAATATAAGGCAGTGAAGGAGCGCAGTAAACGCACCTCTGCAGCTTAGAATAAGACACCCACAATCCCTGCACCCAAGTTCACCTCGACCGTCTTCATACCATCAAGCTCCAGTAAAATGTCGCAGCTCAGTCCAGACACCACCCCCCTTCGATATTTTAAAGGTCATACGCGCAGCATACGCGCTGTAGCAGTTTTCCCCGATAAACGACGCATAGTCACGGGCTCGTTCGACAAGACGCTTCGTCTATGGGATTTGAAAACAGGTGTGGTGTTGAAGAAGATGGAAGGGCATCACAGTGGGGTGTGGGCATTAGCGGTATCAAGAGATGGGCAAATCATAGCAAGCGGTGATGGGAATGGAGAGCTCATCGCCTGGCATGGAGAAACTGGGGAATCACTCACCCAACCTACTTCCAATATTGGCCACTCCAAGCGAATCTGGGTGTTGGAATTTTCTCCCGATGGTACAGTACTTGCCACTGGTTCAGCAGATGGAATGATGAAACTGTGGAGCACGAAAACCTGGCAGATGCAAGGAAATCCAATAGAGTGTGGTAGTGAAGTCAATTGCATTCGGTATTCGCCATCCGGCGAACATCTTGCTATTGCAACAGACTTCCATATCGAAATCCTGAGTTCAGGTGCGAGGGAACGCGTCGCAAATTTCAAGGGTCACACAGGATACAACTTGTCACTCACGTGGACGCCCGATGGCACACGCCTTCTCTCATCGGGTGGTAGCAAAGATCCCAGCATACGGGAGTGGGATACATTCACTTGGAAGCAGGTCGGCGATCCCTGGAAAGGACATACGAGCTATATCTGGGCCATTGCCATTCATCCTGCGGGCACCCTCGTCGCTTCCTTATCTGAAGACCAGCATGTCCGTCTCTGGCGACTCTCAGATAGACGAACCATTGCCATCTTCCAGCACTCGGCCTCGGCGATATCTGTCACTTTCTCCGTAGATGGTATGCACATCCTCAGCGGAGGTGCTGATAAGATGATCTCAAAGTGGGAGGTACCCAAAGACGCTTTGCCAGAGGAAGTTCCCGAGATGATGATGCTGGCGCCAAAGGTACTTGCCCGTTGATTTCTCGTCCATTCACCATCTCATCTCGCGTCTTTTCATTCCAAGTCTCGAGAATCTGATTCAAAGGCACGTTTACACCCTTCTCATGTAACATAATTCGAGAATTTTTCATGCAGATCTTCACCATCACCACAGCCGCCCGCAAGGCATGTGTCATGGGCGACTTGTCTGCGGCTGAAAAGATGCTCACGCAAGAAATCGACGCCGATGCCAATAACAATACTTCCTACGCCAACCGCTCGCTCGTTATGGCACGCAAACTCGACTGGGACCGCGCACTTCATGATGCGAGTGAGGTGATAACGACCCGTCATACCCCCTTGGAATATCATCTAACAGTTGATTGTGCCATAGTCACTCAGCATACGTCCCTCGTTGACAGGCTATCTTGCCAAAGGTATCGCCCTCTGCGGGAAACAGCAGCTCTGGGACGCGATGAAAGCATTCGACCTCGCGTTCACATTCACGTTCATGTTTACGGACGGATATTCAAAGACGGCTCATTTCCTTTTCTTGATCAAGGTGTGTAAATGTTCGGTTTATATATCGTTCTTCCTTGAGGTTTTCAGGCCATCGCGTTGTTCAACGCAAGTCACAATGAAGAGGCAGTGTTGCCCGTCCAAGAGCTTGCTGCCCGTCCCAATCCCGATCCTCTCGCTTCTCATGTCGTGGAAGTACGTATTGGGCACCCATGTTGGTGTCATCACTGATCCCCCCGCGCTTCGCACACCAGGCATATCTGCGAGTCCAGCTGGGAACTATTGCCATGGATAGCGCCCTTCACAAAGAAGCTGCTGATCACTTCACTGCAGCTGTAAAAGTTGGAATCTTATTTTCTAAACTGGACATCCATTCTATATATGAGGACTTTGTCGTGGTAAGTTGATTTTCCGCGACCGAACATAATTTTTATGCTCAACTGCGTGCTTTGCAGCTTTTCGGCTGGGACCTCAAGTCCTTGTGGCAAGTCGCCAATCAGCAACGCTACCATGCACTCTTTCGGGCAGGTCAATTTGGAGAAGCTCTCGAAGCGTATCGATACATGATGGACATGAGTGATGAGACCACGAAGGCCATCTTTCTTGCTTGGGTCAAAAGTACGTCTGTAGTAATGTTATCCATGCTACAATTCTCACCCTTTCACTCAGCTCTCAATGAAAAATGAAGTGCACTCTATGCCACACACAAAGCTTGATGCTGGGGTCCTTGAAACAAAGATCTTTCCGCTGTTCTGATGTGTACCTCAACTCTATACGGAAATTCTTGTGCTCGTATCATATGCTGGCTCATAATACAAAATAAGCAAGTCCCTCGAATGCTACTGCAAAGTTCACTATATGATGAGCCCTACTCCCCCACCAGCTCTCTTCAGATCCTCTGACCACCTCGCTGTCTCAGCCACAGTTGCAGTCAAACTCTCAATCTTAGCTGACAACTTCTCAATCGCATCCAACCCCATCGGCAACCTCTGTGGTATCTTTCCCTCCTCTACAACCTGATAAACTGTCCGCGTAAACTTTTCAGCGTCTCCTTCGAACATTGCGCCATCTAGCATACGTCGCACCACCGAAGTTGCAAAGGACTCGTCAGCGTATGCTGGATGCTGTGGCAGCAGCACTTCCCCGTTGATGCCGTTTGTGTAGAAAGCGCCAGGTTCGATAACGCAGATCTGATTTCTTGTTGCGAGTACGAATTCATTGATTATGAGAGTCACGTGCCTTTATGTTCCATGAAGGTGGCAACTCTTTCGCTAGGCCATCTGAGAAGCCTTCCAGCGCTATACAGCGAATCAGTCGTGCAAACTTTCCAAGTAAAGATTCCTACCATGTTTTCTGCAGCCAAGTGCATCAGCGTCGTCGCAGTCATCCAGAAACCAATTACTCACGTCGCGGCATAATAACTTAATCCTGGAAGCGTGATAAAGCCAGCAACTGAACTGACTTGGAGGAGAATTCCCCCCTTTCCAGGTTCATTCACCTCCCTGAAAAACTTCACTGCAGCACGACTGACATTCATCGAGCCCCAAAAATTCGTCTCGAACATCTCGCGCGCTTTCTCAACAGGCGTGCCTTCTACCTCCTTGAAAAGCCCGTAGCCCGCATTATTGAATACCACATCCAGGCGTCCAAACGCGTCACGGGTGCGAGCAAACGCCTCATCGATGTCTTCTTGCTTCGTAACGTCGACTTTGAGCACGAGGAGCTTGTCTGCGGAATATCGAGCTGCGAGATCGGATAGAACTTCTGGTTTGCGGAGAGTTGCTACCACGATAGCTCCTTGGCTGAGGGCGTGCTCTGTCATGCATCTTCCGAACCCTGATGATGCCCCCGTTACTGTGCACGATGTTTAGTATCGGCCACACAACTTGTAAGTAGAAGAATGACTTACTGAACCAGACTTTTGGAGAGGACATTGTAACTCGTTCACGAAATGATGGTTCTCTCTGCTTTGGTCGCGGCTTTTATGCCATTTTCTCGTGCGCAGGGTCATATCACAATCATACCCCGGTCGGAAACGTTTGTAAGATACACTGATCATTGGAAACGCTGTGTCAGAGCTGACAGATCAACAGCTTGTGAGCGCCGACGGACTTACGTCACTTGGGCACTCTCGAGAACTAAGTCATATGCGTGTCGAGTAAGCTACTCGTCATTTAATAAACTGATGCTGACTGCATAGTACATACTAAAGGTGACTAAACACTCCTCGGTCCCATTGAAATCCTGGTCAAGACGTTTGATCGCTTCAAGTCCTATGGGGTTGCAGTCGAGCAATCACTGTCATCGTCGCTTTCAGCCTCATGATGATCACCACGGTAACCCCTCGTATCTCTGGTATATTCTTGTTCATCGCTCCCTATCACTGACGCTCCTTCGTGAAGCCAATTTCGGAGGTTATTGGTTGGCAGATTGCAGTCGTCACAGGTCGGAGGCAGACCACAGCGATCGCAGGTTGGCAGATCACCATTCACTAGGTGTGGCCGAAACAGGGACCCGAACCCATCGATTTTCTGGCGATTGACATCGGAAAGCTCAAACATTTGATGAGATTCGCGAGTTCAGGAGTGCGCTTGAAAGTACCCTTGATGTGGGGGAATACGAGAGTTGGACTTGTAATATTAATTCAAGAATAGAGCAGGGTTGTGACGTGCTGCTGTTTTCAAGGTCCTGGCGATGTTTTTGGGGTGTGTGCCAATCTAGAAATAATAAACGCTGAGGGCAAATTAACAATACGTGTGACTCCGAGGAGGATTTCGATTGGAGGGATTGAGTTGACGAGTGGCGGTATAGTTCGACATATATGTGATATCTTCGTAGGTGATGTAGTGCTATTTGATCGTAGTACGAAAGTGCTTAGGAAGGTCACCTAAGGTCGGACGGGCCTTATCAATTGACCTGCGGCGCGACCACCACTTCAGAATCAAAACTCGCAAGGAGTCGATGTATGTACTCACAAGGCAAAGCTGAAGCACTGGATATCAAGACAAAGGTTGGAGGGAAAACGTGATCAGCACGCCGTTTCGGGGTTGTCCCATCAGTCTGATACAACAACCCTACGCAAGACATCAGATCCGCATAGACTCCATCTGCCCTTCACTTATAACTCCCCCTGTATCATCTAGATCTGTCTTCGAGATGGATCATGAGATATATGATACCCTGATAGACAACCGTTCAAAGAGAGAAAAGGTAGAAAGTTCGAAAACACTAGTATTGGCTGCCATGGTGGTGGTGGTACTAGTAATGACTGCGTGGGAGTTGAACTTGACTTGGTGCGCGGGGCAAACGCGCTGTGCCTTTTGGCGTAACGGTTAAGGGACGACAGTCATGACTACTTACAACATCCTGCTCAAATCATAAGTAAGTCCTTGTTTTATTTACAACTGCGAGTAAATGTTCTGAGCATGGACATACCGATAGGTTCAATTAAAAGCAATGAATGGACCTTTTGAAATTCATTGTCTTCGTCGTACTTGGTCCTTTATCCTCATTGCAATGTATGAGTCATGGTGTACCTCAGTACGGTAGTTTTCTAATTCAGGCCTGCGCTGCTTTTCACATCATGATCAAAGGAAGTTCTGTCTCAACCCGCATCGCAAGTGGGTTCCTACCAACAATCACTAGAACTTACCTTCCTTTGTGTCAGTGCTCACAAAAATGTATAAAAGGCCCATCAGTCGATCGGTGTACATACAACCCTCCTGCCAGTATCAACGTTCAACCTGTGATCATCGTTGCTTTCACGCAATGCCCTCCTCGATTTCAAGTTTTTCAACTGCTGATGTTGACCCCACTACGTCTGACGACGGCTGGTGTTGGGTTGTCTAACCCAACCCTGTCGCTACACCGCAGGCGGAATGCTCGACCTAATCAACCGTTTGCGCATGACAGGGTTGGTCTTTTTCCTCCTCAAAATGATTTCGATTCATTGAGACAATATCTTGTAAATTCTAGCGTGCAGGCGGACATGGACCTGCCCATGATTGCCGTCATAGGCTCGCAGAGTGCGGGCAAATCGTCGCTCATCGAATCCATTTCAGGAATTACGCTCCCTCGTTCAGCTGGAACATGCACCAGGTAAGCGCGTACCTATTTTATTTTTTCAAGATGCACTTCTGACTGTATTAAAGATGTCCTACTGAGTGTAAGCTTGCACGCTCTGAAGAAGCTTGGAAGTGTATCGTGAAACTCCATATCACCACCGGCCCATCGGGGCAACCCTGTGATGTGACCAACGTGTCTTTTGGACCCCCAATCACCAATAAGGCAGATGTGGAGGATCGCATTCGACGTGCGCAGAGGGCAATCCTCAATCCCAGCATTGATGCCCAGAAATTCCTCTATGACTCTGAACTGGACGAGCGGACGGCCGAACAAGCTGAGTTGTCTTTCTCCAAAAACTCGGTCTCTCTGGAGATAAGCGGGAAGGATGTCGCGGATCTTTCATTTGTGGATCTACCTGGATTGATCGCCAGCGTCGGGAGCTCAGGAAAGGACGGAGACATTGAACTCGTCAAGGGTTTGGTGGCTTCTTATATCAAGAAAGCCAGTTGTGTCATCCTTCTGACGGTTACTTGTGAAAGTAAGCGGATTTCACGTCTGAGTAACTATTATTCACATCTCGTATCTTTATAGCCGACTTCGAGAATCAAGGAGCGCATCATTTGGCGAAACAATATGACCCCGAAGGCAAGCGCACCGTTGGTACGTCGTGTGTTCATGCAGCCTTCGGAAGTACTAATTATTTTTGTGGCGCAGGCGTACTCACAAAGCCGGACCGCATTCCTCCCGGCGAAGAGTACCGCTGGCTAAGGTTCATTCGAAACGAGCATGAGCCACTCGTGAACCACTGGTACTGCGTCAAGCAGCCTGGGTCCCTGATGCTTCAAAACGGCATTTCCTGGGCCGAAGCCAGGAAGCAAGAAAATGACTTCTTTACTTTGACACAACCCTGGTCAACCGTGGAGTCGCAGTACCAGAAGTTCATGTGTACAAGCAACCTAACGGAGCAGCTGAGTACGATTCTGTCGGAGCTTATCGCAAAAAGGTTGGACTTCTTCTCTATGGTGCCCGCTTATTGTGATACTGATCTGCGCATAGGCTTCCAGAGATCCACCAGGAATTGTATGATGTCTCGGGTAAAACCCAAGAAGAAATGAGAAAGCTTCCTAAGGCGCCGTCGAACGATGCTGTTGCTGAGGTTTGGCACGTCGTCAGCGAATTTTTGCGCCAGCTGTCTCGGAGGCTTGAGGGGACACCTGATGCGGACGGCATATTGCAGACCATTCGACCGCATCAACAGGCGTTCAAACGTGCTATACGAGCAACAGCTCCACAGTTTGTTCCTCGGGAAAGGGGTCACCACCGCGAAGAACTGCCAGTGCCTGAATTCCTAGCCAACGAGGAGGAACTGCAGGAGCCCGAGGTAGAGAGCGTCGTTGCTAAGCCGAATGCAGAGAGTGTTTTCAATTTTACGTCCAAGGCGGACTCCACTGCGCCCTTTGTTTTTGGAGCCGGAGCAGGTGGTGTTGCTGGTAAGCACACGCCAAACTCACCTACATCTGTGAACCCACAGTCGTCGAAGATTTACCTCGATGATGTTTTCAAACACGCCCAGAGGTACTTGAGAGGAATCCCTCTGTTACGAAAAATGCTTACTAGATCGTTAGGGCTCGTACCCGCGAACTTCCCGACAACTACCCTTTCATTGTACAAAAGATGTATATCGAGGAGTTCACTAAGAAGTGGGCGTTGCCGTCGACGGTTCTTTTCGACAAAGTGTACGATGTTCTGAAAAAGGACCTGAATCACCTGGTCCGCGAGCATTTTGGAAAGATGGGAAGGGGCGGCACGAACCACAGTGTGTTGTAAGTCCAACTTGTACTATTCAACAGTTGTTTGCTGACTCTCGCTCTCGCAGCATGATAGTGCATGAGCACCTGGATGTCGCTACGAAGCAGGCAAAGGAAAAGTCGACTGGCTCTTGGAACTTGAAAAGATGCCGACGACGTTGAACGTGCACTACTACTCCGACTACAAGGATAAATTCCTCGCGTACTACAAGGGTTGCCGAGATGAAGGAGAGCTGATTAGAAAGCTGCAGAATTACAAGGCACCTAGTGCGAGCCCACATAAAGAAGCGTTCCAGATAGGCGTCAATAAGGCTCTTGCCGGATTGAATGAGGCTGGTATTTCTGTGCACGCCAGCGATCTTCTGAAGCTCCTACCTGTCGATCCGATGGAGCCTGCCCTTGTGATTATGGCGGGGGTAAGGGCATACTTCCAGGGTATGTTTTTGCACGAAACGTGGATTTAATGACTGAAACGGTGCCTTTGTAGTCGCGTACAAGCGCTTTTCTGATATGGTTCCAATGGCCATTGACCACGAGGTGGTTCGCGGTCTGGAGAAGGGCATGGAACACGCGCTGCGTGATGGGCTGAACTTGACGGGGCCTGATGCGGAAGCGCGGTGTCGGTTGATGGTGCAAGAGCATAGCACAGTGGTTTCGAAACGTACGGAACTGCAGAAGAAACTGGACAGACTTCAAGCGGCTAGTCTAGAATTACGCAAGCTCTTTGTATAGATAGACCCCTAGCATACTCTATTTCTATCTATAATAACCCCTAGTGTATTTGAACGCGCCTGCAAGCGTCGCGGTGGTCTGTGCGTGGGAAATGTGCCAACCAAGAGTTGCGTGTGACTTTTGAGTGGGAGTGACGGTGACCCGAAATCGTCACCTAAGAATCTGGTGGTCCGGCTGTTGACCGTACGCTAATCAAGGCCTAGGTCATACTTCGCACAGGATACTCAGATAATGACCCCATCATCGTCGACGGCGTCGGCACCACTTTCAACGTCGTCTACCACGTCCACGACAGCCTTATCGACGTCGCCTACTACTACAGCGTCCTACTCAACCGGTGATCATATCTACAAGGGTAAACATACAAACAGATCATGGCAACAACTCCCCCCAGAGCTCATCAGGTACCTCCGCGCCACTGCATGGCACTTTCAACTTTTTCTAATTAAACGCGCTGGTATTTCAGGCATATTGCATCTTTGTACCTCAAGGATGTCGCTACACACCTTTATTGTCCAGTTACTTGGGAAGTCAAAGAAGTTTGGCCTTCCAGAATGGTCTACGCCGCTTTATGTCAGGCCATTGAACTTGAGAAGTTGATGAACGTCACCCCTTCTTGGTGCACTGCTCGTGCGTTTACTCCTTTATCTTATCATCGTGACGCGCTAATTCGATTCACTAGTTAAATCACATCTATTTTGGAATCATGCATGCGCACTCTTGGATCCTCATGACATACTCCACCAATATTCTATCGTACGCCCTCAACCCCCTGCAGATGGGGCTGCAGGGGCTGCAACTATTGCGCCACAACCTTACCGCTTACCTGCTCACACCCATTTTCGCACTATGACCTACCATTCCTGCATCATCTGCCGCATCAATTCACCTTGTTCTTCCGTCGGTCTCGGTGCCGCAAAACGAACCCATGTTATCCCCAGGTTGGGCGTGATATCTGTGTGTCGCGAGCATCGCAAAACCACGTTCTGCGGTGTATGCCTACGTGAGGCTCCCGCCGCTGAGTGCGATCCCCAGTTTGATGTCCAAAGCAACATGCGTCTCAGCGGTTACAATCAACTGTACAGCCATGGCAATTTTAATCTCTCAATGGGCGGCTATAACCCATATGCAACTACCCTCAATCCTGCCTTGATGGTACTGTGTTCTGAAAACGAAGATGATGAAACCTGGCCTGGCGTTGATGCAACGTGTCGGTCATGTCGTACAGAAGGGCTCTGGAACCGTATCAAATCAAGTGCTCGTGACCGCGAGGCGATTGGTGGCCCACGTTTTGTTCAATCCTCATCCTCATCACGTTCCTCGCCCGCAAACCAGCGACATATGGCATTAGCACGCGTAGCACCCTGGAAATACGCATCAGCAGACTGGGAAACGCGTCAAACAGTCGACGCGTTCATCGAACTTGGTGAAGGCTCCATTACAGAGGTCCTCAACGTTGCCCGCGAAAAGCTGTGGCTACGGTCATACACGAAAATGCCGGAGTTGATGGAGCAAGCTGTCGCTGCTACCCGTTGGGCCAGCGAAGGCATGGGAACTGACTTCTCGCAAAATACTGCTTACCATCATCGTGAACCGGAGAGCGTCGTAGCGTCACAGCAAGATCATACACGCACTACAGAAGGCGGGGACTCATATAGCCCAATCAATAGCCTGTCTCCTTCACGTCGTTCACGCTCACCGTCTCCGCGCTCCGCGTACTCCTCAGATTACGAGGGTTCGGAGGATGAGGATGACCCCGACTTGCTTTCAATGACTGAAGATGCAGGTGGCGTGCGAGACCTGGCCATTGCTGATTGGGCACGGACACGAATTCTTGACGGACACTGGTGCAGTCCTGCCGACCAGTGGTATGGCTACGCTCGACCAATTGGTGGAGGTGTCAGAGATCCTGGCGAGGAACCCGACTGCGAGTCGGAAACTGACGATGACGAACCTCTTGAGAGTGGACAGTCTCGCCGCCGCGTCAGAGTTACCGCCACACATCCTTGTCCATGGACACTCTCAAGGCCCTCATCCCCGTCGTCTCTCCCCTCCCCCACAGACGACTCACATCCACGTCTCTCAACTGTTCGTTCTCAGGCCCCACCTTCGTTTGGACTTTGTGAGCATGCTTTTCGGGCATTCTCAAAACAGCTGCGCCAGATTCTCTTGCCTGGGATGAACAACATTGTCCGGCGGCTCGTTATCGAGTCTGCGAATGGGATAGGGGGCGCTTGGGTCGACCCTGCCGTACGTGCGTCGAAGATGAACCTTGAAGACGTGCTCGCTGAATTGCGGACGCCTGGGGTATGGTTTGACGGCGTTGATTGGGCAGCCGGCGGCTTGGACCTCGGCGGTAGGCGTGAAGACGACTCCTTGAGTAGCACTAGTGCATCAACGAGAAGCGATGGATCGCACACGACGAGTCCTGTTCTTTCTACGACTACGCTACACACCACGCCATCGCCTCCACCATCACATGCTGAGGAGAAAGAGCATCATGAGGCTGTGATTTCAAGGCCCAAACCACCACAAGTCGTCATCCCCATTCCTGTGTCGCCGGTGTTAGAGTCGCCCAAACTATTACATCCTATCCCTTATGTACCGGTTACGCTGGCGCATATGGCGCAGTACAGTCTTGAGGCGTTCAAACAGGTGAGTTCACTTTCTGGGACGACGTTACCTTGTCCAATCCAACCACATTAGGTTTGGCGCGAGGCATGTGCACCACTATACCATTGCCGATGTTCTGTCTGCGAACGTGCAATGGTGAAGGCAAATGTGGCCGCTGGTAACCTTGTCACTCCTCAGGTGCGACCTGCGCCACAAAATGATCCCCAAACCCGAGTGTCTCAGCCGCAGCCACCACAAGAGCATGAGCATTTGACTGAAATAGTTCTAGAAGAGGTACGTGTTCCAAGAAACAATCTGGTAAAGGAGGAAGAGGAAGAAGAGTTAGAAGACGAGGAAGAGTTGTATGAAGACGAGGAAGAGAGCGACTGAGGAGCAATATGAGCTCACGATCCCGCGCTCCCAGACACACACAGTCACGCCCCGAAAACGCTCTTCTGGAGACCTCGAGGCAGAGAACGCCGCTGCTGGTGACTCTGTCGAGGTGCCTCGTACCTCAACGCCGCCGAAGCGTCCTCGGACAGACTCAGGATCGTCCTGTTGAAGATCGAACGCGGCGTGGAGAGTCCGTGGCACCGAACCCTACGCCTCGTCAACGAAAACGCTCTTCAGAAGAACTGGACGGTGGCAATGACTCACCTCCGTCTCGGGGTGATTGCCTACAAAAACGACTGCGGGTTGAGGAGTCCTCACCGAGCTCCCGCTCAGCTCCGCGCGCACTCAGCGTCTCCCCTCCTGTGTTGGAACGCGCAGACGGGTATAGCAGGAAGGGCTTTGTTGACGCTGGGGATGGTGACTTTAGCTGTTTGCGAACGGGCTTGGTGAATGGTGGCGAGCTGGACGGGTTGTACGTGTTCGAGGAGTCGTAGTTAATTTAAGGAGTGGAATTGTGTTCAGCATGGCATGTTTTCAACTCTTGTATTTTGCATTTTGTACAACTATACCATATCTCCTTGGTTTTCCGACGATGGCTTCCATTGTTGCTCATTTCTCTTGGTGGTCGTCAAAAAGAATCCACCATCAAGGAATAGTGCCCGCTGGCTGGATTGAACAACCGACCTCATCATTACGAGTGACGCGCTCTACCACTGAGCTAAGCGGGCAATGATGCTGAGTCCTGTCTACGAAATCTATAAAAGGTCGGCTGAAGCTGGTCATATCATTTGTCCGATCCGATGATTACAGCAAGTACATCGTTCTGAACTTCTTCAGCAACCATGGCAGAGGCAACACCAAAAATCAAGATTGTGCGTGCGCAACCTATGGCTCAGAGCATATGACGATAATCTGAAATCTCCCAGATGGCGGGTGCCGCTGCCAGACCTCTCCGCGGCGACATACCAAATTTTCGACGAGTCGCATACGATTGGAAATGCTCTGCGCTGGATGATCATGAAGAAGTATGTCGTTATGCTTTCTTGACGAATATTGGCTTAGACTTTTGATGTTGGAACGAAGCCCGAAGGTGGAGTTTTGTGGATATAGGTTAGTAAATGATGCTGGCGTTCTTTTTTTGCGATCTGCACGTTTGCTTCCTTTGAACCTGGTCGTGGGTGACCGACATTGAGGCCTGAGGTTTGGTAGCACGGTGCAGAAATTTTGCATTTACGTACGACAAAACCTTTCCATTTGCTGATTTGCCGACGCCCACAGCGTGCCTCATCCTTCAGAAAACCACATTCAGCTGCGAATACAGATGTATGGTATGCAATAATCATCTGTCGACATTTCCTTCGAGGCGCCTGATCTATCATTTTCAGATGGTCTTTCGTCCTTGAATGCGCTCTTAGAAGCACTGACGAATCTCGATGATGTATGTGAAACCATCGAGAACAAGTACCACGAAAGTCTTGCTACGAATGACTATGAGCGGTGGGAGGAGAAGAGCTAGGTAGAGCCCCTGCAATTTTCTCGACGAGTACACTGTTGTTTGTTCGCTGTGCGCGCGGTAATGCAGACTACTCACTTCTGAAGCCTGCAATATCACACGCATTTTCTGTCGTCTAACAGAATGAACGCCCACAAGTAACGGTTGACTGGGAATGCACACACTGGAAGCAGAACCTGTTATCAAGTATGTGTCACTGATCAACTGGCGGGGACGTTGACCTTGTCTAGAAGTTCGTGAGCAAGCCCCACAAAAGTCGTGAATGCAGTTGGTGTTCATGGGCGCTTAGTGAATGTACTTTGCAGTGTGAGCTATTGTGACGTAAAGCGGCTATGCTCTGCGGGGAGCCCCTGCACAGCCGAATAACAAACAGTGCAAACCGCATACTTTATAAATACGCATGACATGATTCTTTGTATACATCTTGCACGTTCTATCTCCCCAACCAGTCGAGGTACTGTTCGCAACCATGATTCTGACCGAAAAGTCTGCAGAGATCGATGCACCTCCGCCTGCCTATGACACGTTATCCATCCACCGGGGCGCTCCATCTATACCCGTCGTTACCATCGCTGTCGCTCACGAAGATGAAGCAGGTCCCAGTACCAGTAATATCACGGACATGCGTGAAGTTGAGCGGCCTCGAAGTCGGATATGGGCACGTACGTTATCCAGGAGCAAGAGTAACATCGACTTTGCTACAGAACGGTATAACGATGCAGTGGCTTTCTCAATACCACCCGGGGATGTGGCCAAATTGCTCCCTGAGCGCCCGCCGCTTGGTTACCGCCAAACCATCCCCGCATCTGCATCTTCCCTCACCCAGAAGCGCAAGCAAGCCAAGACACGCAAAGCGAAATCTGGCTCAAGCTCATGGCTTTCTCTTCTCCCATTTTCATCCTCCCGAGCTACGAAACAAGTCCGTCAGTCCATACTCACGCTTGTTCACGACCTCGTGGTTCTTCCGCCAGCCAGCTCCATTAGCCCGAGTTCTACATCTCCGCAATCGGTTCCAGCGGATCCACATGAAGTTCTAGGTTCATGTGCACGATCCTGCTCTGCGAAGAACTTGTCACTGTCTACGCTTCTTCAAGAGCCGGTTGTAGCAGGACACACCCCCATCTACTGGGCTATCGTTAACTATCGTCCCGCACTCCTTGATGCTTTGCTCAGGCACGCATCCCCTTTAACACCTGTAACACTTAGTGAAATGAGGAAGGCATGTTTGGTGGCGAGTAATCAAGCGTTATTCCAGAACCTCAGACTTAGTGTGGGGTTGTGCGCGAGTGGGTTAAGGAGTGGTAAGTCTTTGAGCCAAGGAGCTGGATTGGGGCTGATGTTTTGAGTCGCTAGCTGCTGATGGACTGCTTCTTGGTCAGCGCCCACCAGATGATGTGCGTATCGAAGAGGGTCTGGATGGGGCTTTTGCTGCAACCCTCGATATCGCGATGTGGCAGAAGCGTATACGTGCGGTAGGAAGCGTGAGCGTGGAGTTTATGGCGTCTGGTGAATACTCTCTGCTCCTGCTCTGACCACCTCCCATTACTTTTGATCACCCCCCAAGTTCCTATTTTCTTCAAACCGAGAAAAATAACTAACGTTTTGCTTTTCAGGCCGTATATTCGTCCTGACCTTCTTCACCACCGATCGTCCGCAACCAACCTCTAATTGCATCAAATCCAAAAGAGCGGTAGGCCCATGGCACGTCTCGCTTTCACTTCTCGAACACAGCATGCCGACCTACGTGGATGCAGTAGTCGTTATCGATCGACCTCCACCCCTCCCTTCCCCAGGGTCATCTCTACGTGCACGTTCATCAGGAAAGAAAGGGCTGGCCCCGCCAAAAGGATACATGGACAGTACAAGTTTCTCGGGCGAAGAGAAATCCTACGGTTTTGAAAATGGAGCGGGGTGTACAGGTGATAAAACGGGCATATGGGATTTCAACTATGACAACCAAGCGCACACGCGCTCGCCTTCGTCTCCCTCCTCACCTAAATCTCCCAGCCCTGCGACGTCACCCGGTGTACATATGCAGACTCATGCGCAGACGCTGCCTCCACCTCCTGTGCACCCCCACCGCGCGCTAGTCCAGAGTTGCTCATCTCCTTCGCTCAAGCTGCTGTCGTCCTCTTCATCGAATATGTTAACCCACACTTTGGATAAGGCCACAGCTCACGCGCCCAAGAAGCAGTTCGTGAAATTGAAGAATGCCTCGTTGGGAACAGGGGGGCGTGCGCCGGTAGTGCTCCGCTTTTGTGCGGGCGAGGCTATGGTTGCATGCAGGAATAACGGTTACGGAGGTGAGATTTTTTCTCAACCCATCGATCTTTTCCCCTTCAACGGAATGTAGAAGTGATTTTGGTCGTCGAGACATCCTACAACAAACTGACGTTTCTCTCCAGATTCATATGCCCTGCCTCGCCCCACCACCAGACCTGATACCTGGTCTGAACACGGCACGTCATACATCTCAGCGATTGTAGTGCCGCTCGGAGAACAAGATGGGGGCGGGCTAATGTTGGAGTGAGTGTTTCGACCTGCATCACTCTCCACACACCCTCTCCCAACATGTTATGAAAAGAAGTAATAGACACTAACGTTGGTTCACAGCACATCACCGCATATCGCACCCGATGGCAGTTTGCGCGCACGACTAGAGGCAAGGCTTGTGAAGACGGCGGAGGGAGGGAAGGACTGTATTATTTGTTAGTTGATGCATGGTCGGGATAGTAGATGAATGGTAGATACTCTGTTGGTGTTGATTCTGTCTGATGTTTTGTGTAGATTGTTGTATCTGACTGGATGACGTGCTGAACATATTTTTCCTCCGACCTTTGTCTTGATGTCCAGTGCCTCCATGAAGTTTCCTACTTTCCTTGTGGGTGCGTAAATACTTCGTGGGGTAAGTAGCATCGAATGAGAGTCCCTGCTGGGTACTGCTTCTGAAGTGGTGGTCGTGTTGCAGGTAAGCTTATAAGGCCCGTCACGGGACCTCCGTCATCTGTGCAATGATGGCTAATCATCATGCATCAACTCTTGCATAGCTCTGACACCTGACACCCGAGGACCGGTTCTCGCGTGCAACGTTTTATGTTCCTTAAGGGGCGTTTCTTTATAATGTCAAAGGGATGGTAGAATATCGATTTCTGTGCACAAACTTTGGGAGGTGTATTAGTTCTCTGACTCAGCACGAATGTCTTGTATCGCCAGCGAGCCGGGGTGCATCGCTCACTTTATCCAGGATGAGTGGTTCCTGGGGGCGAAGTGATCGGTGACGTTGAGTTTTTCCTCTTTTTGTTCTGCTGACGATACCATCTGATGGACGACGCCAACATTTGCTGGTTGAGGAGGGAAATGACTAGGAATCGGAACCGAAGGAGTCATACTTAATGTGTACTAGTCAGCATCGGTTTATTCCACTTACGAAGTAACGTAATAGGAAGGTCAGACAAGGAGATGATGAGTAGGCTACTTACATCCAATCAACTGATCTTTCCTGATTATCGAGTTCCGCCGAAGTGACGTACCGTTCTGGCGCTCACGAGCTGCGGATCTGTCAGCTCTCTGATGCGGCGTTTCCAGTGAGAAGTCTTACAAATATTTCCAACTGGGGTACGATTGTGATATGACTCTGGTCCCTGGCACACGAGAGAGTGGCATAAAAGCGGCGACCAAGGCAGAGAGAACCATCATTTCGTGAACGAGTTGCAATGTTCTCTCCCAAAGTCTGGTTCAGTAAGCCATTCCCCTACTTGATAGCTCTCAAGTTTGACTGACACTAAGTCATCACGTACAGTAACGGGGACGTCGTCAGGATTCGGAAGATGCATGACAGAGTACGCCCTCAGCCAAGGAGATATCGTGGTAGCAACCCTCCGCAAACCAGAAGTCCTATCCGATCTCGCAGCTCGGTATTCCGCAGACAAGCTCCTCGTACTCAAAGTCGACGTCACGAAGCAAGAAGACATCGATCATGCGTTCGCTCGCACCCGTGAGGTGTTTGGACGGCTGGATGTGGTTTTCAATAATGCGGGCTACGGGCTTTTCATGGAGGCGGAAGGCACGCCTATTGATAAAGCGCGTGAGATGTTCGAGACGAATTTTTGGGGCTCGACGAATGTTAGTCGTGCTGCGGTCAAGTTTTTTAGAGAGGTGAATGAACCTGGGAAGGGGGGAATACTTCTCCAAGTTAGTTCGGCTGTTGGCTTAAATCCGCTTCCTGGATTGAGTTATTATGCTGCGACGTGAGTGAACGTTTGTCAGTGATCGAGACATTGCTGACTTTCCTGCAGTAAAAATGGTAGGAATCTCGATGCATTGAAAGTTTGTATGACTGATTTGATGTACAGCACTGGAGGGTTTCTCGGAGGGCCTAGCGAAAGAGTTGCCGCCTTCATGGAACATAAAGGTATGTCGCTCACAACGAACGAGTTCGTACTCACAACAAAAAAAACCAGATCTGCATAATCGGACCCGGTGCTTTCCATACAAATGGCATCAACGGAGTGGTGTTACCGCAACATCCAGTATACGCTGACGAGTCCTTTGCGACTTCCGTGATGCGTCGCACAATAGACGGCGCTGTGTTGGAAGGAGATGCGAAAAAGTTCGCGAGGACTGTTTATCAAGTTGTGCAAGAGGAAAAGATACCGCAGCGGTTGCCGATGGGCTTGGATGCGATTGAGATGCTGACGGCTAAGATTGACAGTTTGAAGGCAACTGTGGCTGAGACTGCGGGGTGGTCGAAGGATCTGAAGCGAGAGAGTGGAGGAGTGGGACCCATCATATGAGCTACTCTCATTGCAGTTGTGCGTGCGTTCGTGTTATGTTGGCATTGTAATATAGATTTTGCGTCGATGGTTAATGAAACGTTTGCACGCAACAGTTAGTGTAAGATCCACCCTTCGCTCTCATAATGGACGAACCCACAGTATCGTTCCTCTCTCCCTCCTCTACCGACCCCGCTCAATCCATGGGGCCGCAAACGTCCGAGGCTTGCTAGCTAAACTGGACTAGTAACCGACCAGGGAAGCTTTGGATGGTTTGTCGGCAATGAGAGAGTTTTGAGCAGGTTGTGTTCGGTATGGATTTGAAGAGTTCAGTGAGAGAGAAGGCGTTTGGAAGAGTCATGTCATGCCTACGTAGAGGAAGAATGGGGAGAGCTCGTTGGATGCGTATTTATCGCATACGGTGGAGCCGGAGTCCCTCGGGTCGTGCAGAGCGGCGGGGTAGGTGGGGAGGGAGTGCATGTGGTGTGGGCCGAGTTTGAGGAGTTTGTGTGCGTTTCCCTCTCTCTCTCTTTTGAGTGCGTGATCGAGGGACGCGATGTGTGCGATAAATCTTAAGTCGCCAGGGAATAGATTTTGCACGCTGCTGAGATCGGGTAGTGTCTCAGCGGATTATCAAGGGGTCGGGATATCTGGTATGCAGCCCCGTCTTATGTTACGTCGAGCTGAGTTGTTGTTTCATCCACTAGGTTCCTCAAGAGAGATGTAGGATTGTAAGTAAGTCCTGGGCTGTTCCTTCCTGGTGGGGGCTGTTCGGCTGATGATGTTGATATTGTCTCACCAATGTTGCTTGATTTCGTTAAAATACGTACGTGTTGAGAGACTGATAACTCCCATCACCGATCGAGCGAGAATATGAACATGGTTTGGCACGGACAGTTGCAGAGTTCAGCTTTGAGTGCTCCTCGCAGAAGTTGTGTCACCCCATTAAGAGCGCTTCATCGCCATATAGTACAAGACATTCATGCAGCCATCCAGGATAGATGACCTGATCACATTCTACAGGCAGTGAGCGCTATCAGCCCGATTCGAGAGCCAAGAAATATCGACTGCACCACAATTGAATGCGAGGGGACGCATTTTGGAAGGTGCGGAAATACACGTCGGACTGATGTGCAGAGGCACAGGGTGTTATACCAATGTGATACGTCGAGGAAGATACGTGCAGCAAGAATAGGTCACGACCTTTCATGAAAGCAAACCCTGGGCGTCTATGGAAACACGAGACAGGTTAATACAATGAAGCGGCAGAAAACACGTAGCACACGCACCTCTGTAACTTAGAGCAAGAGACCCATAATCCCTCTACCCAAGCCCACCTCGACCGTGTTCACTGTTCGACACCATCAACCTCCGGTAAAATGTTGCAACTCATTCCAAGCACCGCGCCCCTTCGAGCTTTTAAACCCCATAAGCGCTGTAGCAGTTTTCCCGGATAGACGACGAATGGTCACAGGCTCGTGGGACAATATACTTCGTCTGTGGGACTTGGGAACAGGTGTAGTGTTGAAAAAGATGGAGGGGCATCACGCGGGTGTGAAGAGATCGGCGGTATCACGAGATGGGGAAATAATAGCAAGCTGTAATGCGGGGGGAAGAGCTCGTCGCCTGGCATGGAGAGACTGGGGAATCTCTCACACAAGTTATCAAAGTTAGATTTTTGCGTTGGACTTTTCTCCCAATGGTAGAGTGCTGGCCACTGGTTCAGAGGACCAAAAGACAAAGTTGTGGAGTACCAAAAGCCTGGCATCCTCAAGGAAATCCAATCCAGTGTGGTGGTGTGGTCTGGTGCGTTCGGTATTCGTCGTCTGGTGAACTTCTTGCCATCGCAACACAGAGCAATATCGAAATTTATAATCCAGACACGAGGGAACGCGTCACAAACTTCAACTTGCCATTCATCCTGCGGACACACTCGTCGCTTCCGCATCTGAAGACGAGAATGTCTGTCTTTGGCGACTCTCAGATCGCCAGACCCCACAATCGCTCGATACCTTCGCTATCACCATTTTACATGGTGCCCTACGAGTAGCGGTACACGAACCAATACAATGTTATTCATACCAACACCGACGGTCGACGTCAGAGGTATTATTGTGCTTGTTCAGATCGGTCATGAGGAGTAAGCCAGTTGCTTACGACATCAAGTATTACGTGAATGTTTTCCTTTATATCATTCCGCTTTGCCTTGTTGTATCGCAGACTCGGGATCTCTTACCTACAACCATATTGCTCATTTGTATTACGCTCTAAAATCCACGGTTTTGTCCTGTTTACTCTCGTTCGATTCGTTTAGTGTTTCCCGCTGTCACCCCGGCGGGTTTCTAATATGTGTCCATTATAAGTCGCTACACTGTAACATTGCTTGTCATTGTGGACTCGAGTTTCTTTGCTCAAGTCGAACGTCGACTAATAATTAAGCGCAAAGCCGTACACCTGCCGGTTATTTGGATTCAAGGCTGTTGCCAAACAACTTCCCCGGCCGAATAAACCACAGTGATCCTCGGATAAGTATGTCTCTCGAGTCTTCGATGTCATGTTCGTCGGCTCAGGGACACGCCACGAGCATACCAGACATTCCGAATGGATAAGACCTTGCCAAGCTCAGCGTGAACGACGGTAGCCATCACGGAGAAGAGTGAACATTCGGCCTTCGATTTATCCTAGAACAAACTGACGTCTCCGTCCAAATCTATACGACCCGCCCCACCCCACCACCAAACCTGATACCTGGTCTGAGCACGGCATGCCGCTCGGAGAACAAGAAGGAGGCGGGATAATGTTTGAGTTAGTATTGATATTTCTTCCTGTATCCCACTCCTCACGCCATCTCCCAGCATACGACGAAAAGCTGGAGAAATAAACGCTAACGTTCGTTCACAGCACATCCCCGTATATCGCACCCGATGACAGTTTATGAGCACGGTCAGAGGAAAGGCTGCTGAAGACGACGGAGGGTATTATTTGCTAGTCGACGCAGTGTGGGGTGGAGTAGGTAATAGGTGGTGAGCTGATGGACACTACTGGCGTTGTATTATGGGCTGACGTCTTGCGTAGGACTGTGCATCTCTTACTTTGTCCAGGATAAGTGGGCCATGGCGACGAAGATGATCGGTGATGGTGAGTTCTTGCTCTGTTTCTTCTGCTGACAATACCATCCGATGAGTGACGCCAATATTTGCCGTTTGTACTCAAGTTGATGGAAATCAGCTGTACGTACGTCCGGCCGATAGGACTTGAGGCGGTCATACGTCTTGACTAGCAATCGGAACCCAAGGATGGTTAGTCACATTAATTGATTCCGAGACTTACCGAGTAAAGTAAGAGAGAAGATACGACAATTAGATGATGAGTGAACTACGTAGGCTACTGATCATCCGCATGACTAGTCTTGAGTTCCTGAGAGTGCTGAAGTACTAGTGACACACAGCTCACGAACTGTTGATCTGTCAGCTCTCCGATGCAGCGTCTCCAGTCTGTTTGGGAATATGACCCTGGGGCACGAGATAATGGTATAAAATCCACGCCCAAGGCAGGAGGAACCATCAATTCCTGAACGAGCTACAATGTCCTCTCCTAAAGTCTGGTTTAGTAAGTCATTCCTCTACTTACTAGGAGTGTGGCCGACACTGAGCATCACGCGAAGTAACGGGGACGTCGTCAGGATTCGGAAGATGCATGACAGAGTACGCCCTCAGCCAAGGAGACATCGTGATAGCGACCCTCCGCAAGCCAGAAGCCTTATCCGATCTCGCAACTCGATATCCTGCAGACAAACTCCTCGTGCTCAAAGTCGATGTCACGAAGCAAGAAGACATCGATGAGGCGTTCGCTCGTACCCGTGAGGTGTTCGGACGGTTGGATGTGGTTTTCAATAATGCGGGCTACCAGCTGGTCACCGAGGTGGAAGGCATGCCTGTTAATAAAGCGCGCGAGATGTTCGAGACGAATTTTTGGGGCTCGACGAATGTTAGTCGTGCTGCGGTTAAGTTTTTTAGGGAGATGAATGAACCTGGGAAGGGGGGAATACTTCTCCAAGTCAGTTCGGCTGTTGGCTTAAATCCGCTTCCTGGATTGGGTTATTATGCTGCGACGTGAGCGAACGTTTGTCCATGATTGAGACGTTGCTGACTTTCCTGTAGTAAAAATGGTAGGAATCTCGATGCATTGAAGTTTTTATGACTGATTTGATGTGCAGCACTGGAGGGTTTCTCGGAGGGCCTAGCGAAAGAGTTGCCGCCTTCGTGGAACATAAAGGTGCGTTACCCCTACAACCAATGAATTCGTACTCACAACAAGAAACCAGATCTGCATCATAGAACCCGGCGCTTTCTACACAAATGGCATCAACGCAGGAGTGCTATTACCGCAACATCCAGCGTACACCGACGATTCCTTTGCGACTTCGGTGTTGCGTCGTAGGCTAGACGCCGCGGTGTTCGATGGAGATGCCGAAAAGTTTGCGCGAACTGTTTATCAGGTCGTACAGGGGGAAAAGATCCCGCAGCGGTTGCCAATGGGGTTGGATGCGATTGAGATGCTGACGGCTAAGATTGAGAGTTTGAAGGCGACTGTCACTGAGACGGCGGGGTGGTCGAAGGATCTGAAGAGAGCAGGTGGGGGAGTGGGGCTCATTGTATAGTGAGCTTTGCAGTAGCGTTCGAGGGACCTATCAATCTTGTATTATGAGCTAGCATACGATACGAACAAGGGGCGGGATCTGTGTAAAGTCAAGGTACAAATCAGAACGGCGCAAAGATTCTCTGTTCCAACTTTCAAGGACCGCTCGCTATGATGGTATCATTCTTCGTCGAGGGCTGAATAAAAGGATGAGGATCATAGCAAAGGTAACATTTCTGAAGACTTACTATTGATCCAAGCAAGGAAGATAGCCTTCGTGGCCTCGTCGCTCATGTCCATCATGTATCGGTACGCTTCAAGGGCTGTTCCAAATTTACCTGACCGAAAGAGTGCGTGGTAGCGTTGCTGGTTTGCAACTTGCCACAAGGACTTGAGGTCCCAGCCGAAAAGCTGCATGAGCACGCAACTGAGTATGAAAACTTGGAGCGATTTTGAGTGGTGGCACATAAACGTACCACGACAAAGTCCTCGTACATAGAATGAATGTCCAATGTAGCAAAGAAAGCACCAGCGTTAACAGCCGCTGTGAAGTGGTCAACAGCTTCTTTGTGAAGGGCGCCATCCATGGCAATGGTTCCCAGCTGGACTCGCAAATACGCCTGATGCGCAAAGCGCAGAAAAATCAGTGGGGATATGAACCTGGACTTGTTTGAGTGTACGTACTTCCACAACACGAGATGCGAGAGGATCGGGATTGGGACGGGCACTTAGTTCTTGGATGGGTAGAATTGCCTCTTCAGAGTGATTTGCATTGAATAATGCGATGGCCTGATAACCGTAATGAAGAACGGTGTATGGGTCAAAAATTTACACACCTTGATCAAGAAAAGGAAATGAGCCGTCTTTGAATATCCGTCCGTGAACGTGAATGCGAGGTCGAATGCTTTCATCGCGTCCAAGAGCTGTTGTTTCCCACAGAGGGCGATACCTTTCGCAACATAGCCCGACAACGAGGGACGTAAGCTCAGGGACTATGACACGATCAACAGTCAGATGATATTTTAAGGGGGCACGATGAGTCATTATCACCTTGATTGCATCTTGCAGTGCGCGGTCCCACTCGAGTTGTCGTGCCATAACCAGCGAGCGGTTGGCGTAGGATGTATTGTTATTGGCATCGGCATCGATCTCTTGCGTAAGTATCTTTTCAGCTGAAGATAAGTCCCCTGTGATGCATGCCGTCTGGGTGGTTGTGGTGATGGTGAAGATCTGCATGAAACAAGCTCGAATTACGTTTACGAGTGAAGGATGAAAACGTGCCTTCGAATCTGATTCTTGAGCCTTGGAATGAAGAACACGCGAGATGAGATGGTAAAGGGGCGGGAAATAAACGGCAAAGTACCTTTGACGCCAGCATCTCGGGCGCCTCCTTTGGCCAAGCGTCCTTGGGTAATTCCCACTCTGAGATCATATTATCACGACCTCCGCTGAAGATGTGCGTGCCGTCTATAGAGAAAGTGGCGCATAGCGACGAGGCTGAGTGCTGGAATATGGCGATGGTGCATCGATCTGAAAGTTGCCAAAGACGGACATGGTTATCACGAGATGCGGAAGCGAGGTGGGTACCCGCAGGATGAATGACAATGGCAGAGATACGTCTAGTGTGGCCCGTCCAGGGATCACCGACCTGCTTCCAGGTGGATGTATCCCACTCCCGTATGGTTGGATCGTCGTCACCGCCCGCTGAGAGAAGGCGCATGCCGTCGGGCGTCCACGCGAGTGACTGGTTGCTTGCTGTGTGACCCTCAAAGTTTGCGACGCGTTTGCTGGCATCTGAATTATAGATTTCGATATTGCCCTCTGTTGCGATGGCAAAAAGTTTGCCAGATGGTATATACCGAATGCAGAAGATATTGTCATAATCACCACACTCTATTGGATTCCCTTGAATTTGCCATGTTTTCGTGCTCCATAGTTTCGTCGTTCCATCTGTCGAACCGGTGGCTAGCACTGCACAATCGGGAGAAAAGTCCAACGCCCAGATCCGTCCAGAGTCGGCTTTGATAAGTTGGGTGAGAGGTTCCCCAGTGTCTCCGTGCCAGGCAATGACCTCTCCCTTGTCATCACCGCTTGCTATTATCTGCCCATCTCGTGATACCGCTAATTCGTTCACTTCGGCGCGATGTCCCTCCATCTTCTTCAACAAAACACCTGTCCTCAAATTCCACAGACGAAGAGTCTTGTCGTCCGAGGCCGTGACCATACGTAGTCTATCGGGTAAAACTGCTGCAGCACATACAGGTCTCTCATGACCCTTGAACAGTCGAAGGGGTGTGGTGCTTGGAATGAGCTGCGACATTTTACTGGAAGTTGATGGTGTTGAATACTGTCGAGGTGGACTTGGGCGGAAGGATTATGGATGTCTTGCTCTAAGCTGCAGATCTGCGCATGCGCGGTGCTTTTTTTCGGCTATTCCACTGCACTCGTGTTTAATTACATACTAGATGCCAAGTAGACGCCCATGACTTGAAAAAGAAGGTCTTCTCAAACGTCAAATAGTCCACGTGCACGTTTAGCATGGCGCGCGGCATGTCAGCGTCTGCGTAGCCCGCAGCTCATGGTGTTCTCCACTATTTATACAACGCTTTAACTCCAAGGTTATCTGCAAGGAGCGCCCATACATTCCCTTAGGCTGCCGCATCTGAGTGAGTTATGGTCCTATGATTTTGTTTCTGGTTTCGTTCTCGTTCGCTTCTATTTCTTCCATCTCGTTCTCCTATTAGCTCCGTTCATGCCATGCCATTCTCTGCATCGTTCTCCCCGTCTCTTTCATATATTCCTTCATCACACACCGACCCCCACAAACGCACTACACGACGCAAGCATCACCAGAGGGAGTTGGCAAAGGGCAAACAAAACGAAAGTACTTATCTTCGTGGTCGAGCTGAGATGTGAGATATTGATTCCTCCATATATAGGTTCCCCAAGAGAAACGGGACGGAGTCGGCGACGTCGAGTTCCTGGATAATCATGTATAGTGCGAGGAAAGGGAAGGCGAAGATGTAGGATGATAAATAAACTTTTACGACTGTTCTTTGCTGGTCAGGGTCCGCCTGCTGAGGACGGCCAGCAGGTAACTCATGGATGAGAACGCCCTGGTAAGGACGATTTATCACGACGCCAAGCTTGCCACCGTGATGTTCGTCGTTGAACTTCCCTTCAAAAGTATGTTCAAACATTAGTACCACAGTTACTAATCACTCACGCGTTCTGGCAACTGGTCCTTCCAGACATTTTCGTGAACAGTGTGGCACAATGGAGATTTCTGCCGGTCGTCAGATCGACACGACCCGACTACGTCAGTTTCGTTTCCACTGGCCAAACCTTACCTTGATTTCGCAGCTCGTGCATATACAAGCCACTTGCATCACCGGGAAACGTGGTCATACCACTCTCCCAAAAACTAGTGTTTGTACATCGACAATACGGGCACTCAGTCGATTTTCGGATCAGGTTGGGTATGCATGCCTCCACTCAACTGTTACTTGAACGAGTTATGACAAACTTGCGTCTGGGAAGAACGCATAAAAGCGGTAAACGTAGGTGTTCCATTTCCATTGGCGTTGGGTAATGAGAATGATTAACTCGTATGCATGTATCATTTCTCATGCGTTCTAGATTTCTCCAGTCAGCTTCTACATGTCTTACTTATAAATATCAAAAGCCCCCTCTGTCTAGTCGGGACGTCATTTTCTCTTGGGTCCATGACCGTTGGTCGCCCGACAATGTCAACGTGATGCTCTGCTAGTTACAGGTCTAATTATGCACAAATCATACGAATGCAGTCTCTAGCACTTAGGGAAGCAGATCCAAGTGAGATCTCCTGGATCTTTTGTCTTCGACTTGCATCGGCGGTCGGTCGAAGCGCCACCACTGAGTACTGACTTCACCATCTTGCAGTTAAATGTCCCATTATGAGACATGGTTAAGGTGATTCACTGTGTGCTCAGGTTCCCATCTGTTGCTGAAGCCTAGGAGGGCGTTGCATCATGTTTTAAATCATGCCAATCCGATGGTCCCTAGTAGGACGGAAGCCCTGAAGGATCTTGGTTGCCGTGTGACCCTTTTTTTTCTTCAAGTGCCGACCCACCCAAACTTGGCGAGACCAGACTTTCGAGAACACAATGTAAACTTGCAGCGTACCCCCGACTGGTCCTATGAAATCGTGTCTACATCTTTCACTCGCCAGAAGACTTATACTACTGGTCACGGTATTGTCGACATCCGGCAAATTCGCAAGGCCAGCACGTCCAAGGGCACTGAGTTATTTGAGATAACCCATAGCTATAACTTTTCACAGCGACGCGCTCGACGACCTGATAGATACAATTCATAGCAGGTGATGAGGGGACTCTGCATGTAAGGTATTGTATTTCGTATTATGAGCTAGTATATGATAAGAATACAAAGGACGAGATCCGTATAAAATTGAGGAACAAATGAGAACGGCGCAAAGATCTCAGTTCTACAGACCGCTCGGTTCGATGTCCTCAAGCTTTGTGTGGCAGTAGGGTGCGCTTCATTCTTCATTGAGAGCTAAGCAAATGCGGGTGAGGATCGTGGCACTGAGAGTTGTAGCACGGGTAACATTACCGACGACTTGCTATTGGCCCAAGCAAGGAAGATGGCCTTCGTGGTCTCATCGCTCATGTCCATCATGTATCGGTACGCTTCGAGGGCTGCACCAACTTGACCGGACCGAACGAGTGCGTAGTAGCGTTGCTGGTTTGCGATTTGCCACAAGGACTTGAGGTTCCAGCCGAAAAGCTGCACGAGCACGCAGTTGAGCATAAAAAGACATTTGGATCACGGCACACCGACGTACCACAACAAAGTCCTCGTACAGTAGAATGGATATCCAATGTAGCAAAGAAAGCGCCGGCCTTGACAGCTGCAGTGAAGTGGTCAGCAGCTTTACTGTAAAGGGCGCTATCCATGGCAATGGTTCCCAGGCGGACCCGTAAATACGCCTGATGAGCGAAGAAAATCAGTGAGGACACGACCCTGTGTTTGATTGAATGCACAATACTTACTTCCATGACACGAGCAGCGAGAAGATCGGCATTGGGCCGGGCAGCTAGCCCTTGGACTGAGCTAACATTGTCCTCTTCATGTTTATTTGCAATGAAGAGCGCGATGACCTGGGACCCATAATGAAGCACGGAGTATGGAAGAATAACTTAACCAATAAAAGGAAAGAGGTCTTTAAATCTCCATTCGCGAACGTGAATGTGAACACAAGGTCAAAGGCTGTCGTCGCTTCCCAGATCTGCTGTTTCCCGCAAAGGGCGATACCTTTGGCAACATAGCCTGCCACTGAGGGTCGAATGCTGAGGGACTAGTATGTAACAGTCAATATTATTGTTATCCTACATTAAGGAGGGGTATGATGAGTGTACTCACCTTGCTTGCATCATGAAGTGCACGGTCCCAGTCGAGTTGCGTGCCATAACCAGCGAGGATCTGCATGAAAAAAATGCTCGAATTACATTATACGAGTGAAGGGCGAAAACATGCCTTTGAATCAGATTCTTGCGGCGCCTTGAAATGAAAATGACGCGAGATGAGATTGAGAAATGGCGGGCAATCCACGGGAAAGTACCTTTGACGCCAGCATCTCAGGAGCTTCCTCTGGCCAAGTATCCTTGGGTAAATCCCGCTGTGAGATCATCCTATCATTATTGTCTTCAGATGCGGAAGCGAGGTGGATGCCTGCAGGATGAATTGCAATAGCCAAGATACTGTAGTGCAGGGATTACCGACCTGCTTCCAGGTGGATGTATCCCACTCCCGTATGATGGAATCGACCGCATCACCCGACGAGAGAAGGCGCGTGCCATCGGGCGTCCACATGACTGAGACGTTGTCTCCTGCGTGACTCCCTTAAATGTTACGACGTATTCCCTCGCGCCTGAATTATAAATTGGATAATCGTCGTTTGTTGCGATGGCAAGAGATTCGCCACAAGGCGAATACCGAAGAGCCCAGTCTGACAGGCTCGCCGCTCTAAGCCTCTTGCGCGAGTACGAGCATATGATCATTAGTGACTATTCGTCTTCCATCGGGTAAAACTGCTACGGTGCGCATGGATTTGTTGTGATCTTTAAAAACATTGTGTTTAGAATGAGTTGCGACATTTTTACGAGAGGATGGTGTTCAAGTTGAGAATCGGCGCCTCATTCCCTTCTGCGCCTATCTCCTTTTGCCTGTCGCTCTCCCTTTTTTTTTTCGCACGCACGCACCTCCCTTTCTGCAACTTCTAGTGTGTTTTGGTCTGGATTAGTGTTTCCTTTCGGACCCTTCGGTCTGCGCACTTTTCGGACTGTACACGCTCTCGATGGGACTCTGATGCCAATACAGTGGACTATCCTGTGCCCACCTGCCCGTCAGATTCATTATCAGCTTCAACGACAAGTTCATGGTTTTCCCTTGCTTGCACCAAACCAACCCGCTAAACTGATATCTCCCCCATCAACGATCTCCTTGCTTCCCCATCCACCACCACCACTGACTGCTATGCTGCTGCGCCCATCCTAATCTCACCCATATCAGCCTTATTTCCCTTTTCTCCGCTCTCCTCCAACACCCCACCTTTGAGGGACACACACCCATCTACTGGGCCATTCTCAACCACCATACCCACAACCACCATTCTCACATCTTCCCTGACTGCTCCGTTGTGCAGGTACACTGCACGCATGCATTGCAGACATCTGTCTTGCATGTCTCGCGAGTGGCGATCAAGTTTTGTTTGTAAAAACTACGTAGGGGAAAGCTGCCGTTTCTAACTACTCTCAGACCAGGTGAGTCCTCCCTTTTACCTTCTGTGTCTAGTGGGCTGACGCACGGGGCCTAGATGCCCTCGTTCTAGGCTCCACAACCGCAGATATCAGATCGATGGCGAAGCAGCCTTCAGCGCATCTATCAAAAATTGTCTCTAGCAGAAGCGAATGGGCGTGGCTGGGCTGGTCGGCGTAGAGTTTATTACCCGAGGTGAACGCATCACCTTATTCTCATCCTGTTCTTCACTCACATCTTCTTGCAGGGCGTATGTGATTGCTCGCATCCTGTAATTCGCTCTCAGCCTTATGGAGCACAGCCTGCCCGCTTTCGTAGATGGAAGACTCGCCACAATGTGTTTCGTCCTCCCTCATGCGTCATAGTATCGTCTCCAATATTGGACTCGGCTCTTTCCTTGTCTTCACTTCCACTCATCCTCATATCAGCGCCGTGCTGCGATACCTACCACCCCAACACGACCTGAAAAACTGCCCCTCGCGATTCCCCTTCAATCTTCAAACTGTCTTGTACACCGCCAGTCTGACGGATCGGTATAAAGCATGCTAGAGCTTGGGTGGGTTACTGGTCATAGGTGAAGTTGTTTTTGTTTTTGTCGTGTTGCATGATGGCTGACGATGTGTTTCTATTGATATTTGTTCCCTCCCCTACACCACTCGCTTGCCCCAAGAGGCACACGGGAATTGGTGTGACCTGGGGAGAGAGTGAGTGTTTGATATTAGTTTACGTACTCTTGCTGTTTGTTCTTTGCTTCATTGCCATTTGATTATTTACTTGGTTTCTCCCATCAGCTTCTATCCTTCGTTTTTATCTCATTCTTATGTTCCGTTTCTTTCGTCTCGTTTTTCCTACTCCGTTTCTTTCATCTTTTTCATACGCCCCTTCATCACTGAGACCGATGCCAACAAACCCACCACAGTAACACCCCTTACCTCGCAGCTAACGGCACCCTCCCTGCAAGACTGGACGCTCGATTGGAGAAGACAGGGCGTGAGCCACAACATTTGTTAGTGAGTTCTTTGTCCGCGGAGGTCCAACGATGTACTACTATAGTAATATCTACGAGGATCTCCGGCCTCGGAGACAGACGATGCCCTTGTGGATGCTGATTTTCATACAGATTGGACGCTCGTCGCATATACACAGGAATCGTCGTCATTTTCATCCTCGCTGCGCTATTCTGTGATGTGTACATTCCCTTAGGCTTTCATCCGAGTGAATTTCGGATGTCGGTGATATAACAGACATCCTTAATACACTGGGGAGAAAGCCAGCAAGAGTTTGGATTCGTATGCTATGTAGGTACAGCGCAAGTGGTGATCTTCGTGCGTACGAGTAGGCGATGTAATGCGGGTATAAACCGATCTGTTCGATACTACGAAGAAAGAAGACGTCGACGAGGCATTTGCTCGCACGCATGAGGTATTTCGACGGTGGGATGAGGTGTTCAAGGCGAATGTTACTGAGACGGTGGAGTGGTCGAAGGATCTGAAGAGAGCTAGTGGGGACGCGGGGCTCATCGTATACATGGTGAACGTTGCAGTAGCGTTCATGAGATTTGCTTATGTCGTATTACGAGCGAGTATATGATACGAGTAGAAAGAGCGACAATATGTATAACGTCAAGGTACAAATCAGAGCGGCGCATAGACCTCTGTGTCGAGGACCGCTCGACACGATGGCATCTTCGGGTGTTGTGCCTCATTAGTCATCGAGAGCTGAGTGAAAGGGTGAGCATCGTACCCCGGGTAACATTACTGAAGACTTACTATTGATCCAAGCTAGGAAGATGGCCTTCGTGGCCTCGTCGCTCATGTCCATCATATATCGGTACGCTTCGAGGGCTGCTCCAACTCTACCTGACAGGATGAGTGCATGATAGCGTTGCTGGTTTGCCATTTGCCACAAGGACTTGAGGTCCCAGCCGAAAAGCTGCAAAAGCACGCAGTTGAGCATAAAATGGATTTTCGGTCGTGGCATATCGACGTACCACGACAAAGTCCTCGTACATAGCATGAATGTCCAATGTAGCAAAGAAAGCGCCAGCTTTGACAGCTGCTGTGAAGTGTTCAGCAGCTTCTTTGTGAAGGGTGCCATACATGGCAATGGTTCCCAGCTGGACGTGCAAATACGCCTGACGTGCAAAGCGCACAAAAATCAGCGACGACACGAACATGGGTGCATGGTACTTACTTCCACGACACGAGCAGCGAGAATATCGACATTGGGCCGGGCAGCTAGTTCTTGGACAAGCAACATTGCCTCTTCATGTTTATTCGCATTGAAGAGTGCGATCACCTGAAATCCGTAATGAAGTACAGAGTATGCAGGAAAAATCTAACCTGCCTTGATGAAGAAAAGGAAACAAGAGGCCTTTGTATCTCCATTCGTGAATGCGAACGTGAACGCAAGGTCAAAGGCTGTCGTCGCGTCCCAGATCTGCTGTTTCCCGCAGAAGGCGATACCTTTGGCGAGATAGCCTGTCAATGAGGGTCGTATGCTGAGAGACTATGTCACGATCAATGATAATGTTAGGCTATGTTAAAGGGGGGCATGACGAGCGTACTTACCTTACTCGCATCATGGAGTGCGCGGTCCCAGTCGAGTCTGCGTGCCCTAATGAGCGAGCGAGCGGCATAGGAGGTGTTGTTGTTGGTATCGGCATCGATCTCTTGCGTGAGTATCTTTTCAGCCGCAGACAAGTCCCCTGTGATGCATGCTTTGCGGGCGGTTGTGGTGAAAGCGAGGATCTGCATGAAAACGCTCAGATGACGTTGTACGCGAGTGAAGGATTGAAACATACCTTTGAATATGGATGTTCCTGGAATGAAAGAGGCGGGATGAGATGGCGAAAGGGCGGGAATAAACGGGAAAGTACCTTTGACATCTTCGTCTCTGGAGCTTCCTCTGGCCAAGCCTCCGTGGGTACCTCCCACTCTGAGATCATCATATCTCCACCTCCGCTGAAAAGGCGCTTTCCGTCTGTGGAGAAAGTGACGCATGACGGCCCATCTGAGTGCTGGAAGATGGCGATGGTTTGTCGATCTGAGAGCCGCCAGATACGGACATCGTTGTCATGAGATGCGGAAGCGAGGTGGGTACCCGTAGGATTAATGGCAACAGCCCAGATTTCGTCAGTGTGGCCCATCCAGGGATCACCGACCTGCTTCCACGTGGATGTATCCCACTCCCGAATGCTGGGATCGTCGTCATGGCCCGATGAGAGAAGGCGCGTGCTATCGGGCGTCCACGCGAGCGAGAAGTTCCATTGTATGTGACCCTTGAAGTTCGTGACGCGTTCCTTCGTGGCTGAATTATAAATTTCGATATTGAGGTCTGTCGCGATGGCAAGAAGTTGACCAGACGGCGAATACCGCACGCAGCGGACTACATCACTACACTTGATTGGATTTCCTCGTTGCTGCCAGGTTTTGGTGCTCCACAGTTTCGTTATTTTGTCTTCGGAACCAGTAGCGAGCATTTTACCATCGGGAGAAAAGTCCAATGCCCCGATCCGCTTGGATTGGACTTTGATAGCTTGGGTAAGAGATTCCCCAGTTTCTCCGTGCCAGGCGATGAGCTCTCCGTGATCATCACCACTTGCTATCATCTGCCCATCTCGGGATACCGCCAATGCACAAACCTCACTGCA